CTGCGAGGTTGGAACAAGCAGTAACCACGTGACCAGAGCAACTCCATCAAGTCTTAACTAATGAAATGAGACAACAACACACTGAGTAACAAACAGCTTTTGTGGTTAGAGAATATGCTCAGACTGGTAGAGTAGATGCATAGTATGGACATTTAGATCTCACTTGTAGCAGCTAGAAAGTTGGTTGGAAGATTTGCAGTAATAATAGGTTTGTAGTAGCTAGAAAGTAAACATTTTCACTCTTCACTCTCTTCACTTACAAAAAGCACACCAGGCCAACAGGTCAGTGAACAATATACAGTTATCAGGTGAATAATATAGACTATAAAGCAGCTCACACTGTGCCTCTAGTGCGCTTCTTTAAGCTGGTGTTGTTTTTACTCTGGTTGCTGCCTATCAAGCAAGCCCCGCCATGTCCTAACTGCTTCCCCTCAGTGTGTTTGATATCACTTAACGCCTTCGACCGTCTCGCATCTTCACCTCTCACCACCTTCTTCGCAGCTTAGTGATCATTGTGAAGGGGAGCGCTTGAGCTGTTTTCCACTGTCAGCCAGCGAAGGCTCAGCCAGCAAGATGGCGTTCCATAAACAGTCGATCCAGCAGTCCCTAGGCCCGTTGCTGGTCAAGTTTACTGATCCGGATCCAGATATCCGATACATGTCCTTGAACGACTTACTGGCTCTTATCGAGGGCTGCAATCCTTCATACTTCTCACAGGATCCCTCATCATGCAACAGGATGGTCGAGGGGCTGCTAAAGTCGTTGGAAGACCAGAACGGCGAGGTACAGAACGTAGCACTGAAATGGTAACTATTGCAGCTCTATTCCGTGGATGAAACATATACCCAAGGGCTCTCTGACTCTGAAAAACAGTATAGGGCCTCTGGCTACACGTCTACCTGCCGATATCCTCTCCCCCTTCATCGATAAACTTGCCCTTCTCACGAGCTCACAGACGATCGACACTTCAGTGCCAAACACCGCTCTTCGAATGATCTTAGCTTCCCTTCCCAGACCCAATATCAATCTGATCACTTCTAAAGAGGTGCAGGCCAGCTATGAAGCCGTGTCTAGAGTCCTCATTCCACGCCTAATTGGTGCGCCAACGAAGACGAAAGTACCAACCGCTGCTCCGGGGATGATCGTGAATGACCCTGCAAAGGGCTTCAGCAGTGATGCTATAGACGTGTTGATTGATGTAGTACGGTCATACGGGCCCATGCTAAATGATGAAGAGCTATCCGAGCTTCTACAAACCGTCGTGCGCGTTATAGAAAACGACCATGCAGGAACGGTTGTAACTAAACGTGCTCTTACAGCTATCTCGATGCTGTCAATTCACTTATCAGATGCCCAATTAAGCGGATTCGTCTCAGGTCTTATTGAAAGCTTCCGATCTCCGCATCTTACAATCAATCGCCGCCGTCATTTGATTGCGGCTATTTCTGCAATGGCAAGATCTACACCAGCAAAGTTTGGTCCATACTTAAAGACTTTAGCACCCTTCGTACTTTCAGCCGTTAGTGAAAAAGAGATGAAAGAGATGAATGATGACATGTCTGATGATGGAGAGCATGATCCTAAACAGGATGAGCTACGTGAGACGGCACTGGTATCGCTTGAAACCCTGCTTTGTTATTGCGGATCTGAGATGCAGCCATACATCAATGATTGTATTGCGGCTGCTTTAAGATATCTCAAGTATGACCCTAATGTGGCCGAGACGGAAGAGGATGAAGAAATGGGCGGCACTCAGGATGAGAGTAGTGATGACGGGGCTACTGAAGAACCTGATGACGAAAATGATGCATTTGATGACTTTGAGGAAGAAGAGGGCTACAGTGACATTGATGATTTGAGCTGGAAGGTCCGCAGGTGCTCTGCCAAAGTTTTATACACCGTTGTATCAACCCAAGGACGCAACACACGGGCTGTCGAAGATGGTTCAATATATCAAACAATAGCCCCAGCACTTCTCTCGCGGTTCACGAAGGAAAGAGAAGAAAGTGTCAAAGTCGAAGTTGTGGCTACAATGACTGGTCTAGTTCGAAAGACTGGCGATCTTGCAACCGGGCGTAACTCGTTTTACTCTGATCCATTTTCTCAAGCACGCTCGTCTCGAAAAAGGAGACGACAAGATAGCAATGCTACCGTGATTGATCTTGAGTCTGACTTCCCACCAGCAGCAGCTTTAGATACCCCTATTATGAAACCTTCAACTCCCCAACCTGGCCCACAGAAGGACCTTGCAGACTTAACGCCAGGAATTGTGCAGGCGTTGACTAAACTATGGAAAGGCGCACCAATACCCCTTAAACAAGGCGCCATTCTTTTATTGAAGGCTCTTGCTCTTGTCCGTTATGGAGGCCTGGCAGACTACCTGCAGCGAATTGAGGATCCTATTGCTGACGCCTTGAAGGCCTCTGGGCTATCTGGTGGAGTAATTGTTTCTGCTGGGTCAAATTCAGTCAGTGCAGGAAATCTTCAGGTTGAGGCATTAGGGCTAATTGCCGCGATTTCTGAGACTCATCCCTCTGGCTCTCTCTCGCCGTTCTTGATTGCCTTGATACCCGGAGTTGTCGCATCCGTAAATGACAGAGACTTCAAAGTGTCTAGTGAAGCACTTGGTGCAATTGAACAAATTGTGGTGGCTCTCACGCCTCCTCGAGTTTCTGCAGATGATCGAGACTTGGGGCTGCAGCTAGAGAAACTGTATGATATCGTGGTGGAGAAAATTACCGACAATAGCATTGACTTGGGGGTTCGACAACGTGGTATACATGTGCTTGGAGTAATGTTGAGCCGAACGTCTGGGCTAGAAGGGCGTAGGTTTATTTCCCTACCTCAGAGACAGAAGGCGCTTTCAGTTCTCATAGAGCGACTGAAGAACGAAACAACTAGAGTTGCTGCTGCTCGTGCTATAGATGATGTTGCATTACTTGCCCGCCACAGTGATGATATGGCTGTATCCTGGCTTGGGGAGGTTACGCTTGAGCTTGCAGCCCAGCTCAAAAAAGTTGACCGCACGTTACGGGATGTTTGCCTTGGAGCACTCAAGAGTATCGCTATGAACTCTCAGACTAGACAATATCTTGACCAGCGGACCATTGATGGCTTACGAGTCGCCATCTTACCACTCATTTCTGCGGACGATTTACACCTCTTGACGCCCGCACTGGTCATATTAGCTAAATTACTACCCCACTATGGTCCAGAGCTTGTCAATGACAGCATTATTGCCCAACTCTGCTCCGCGGTTCAAGGAACTTTAACCGGAACAGCATTGAAAGCATATATCCTTCTAGTCCGTGTCATTGGTGAACAGGGAGCAGGTACAAAGCTTATGAAAGCCTTGTTACAGAATGTTGGTGTCAATGGAGATTCTGCGGTCGTCGGTAAAGCCATTGGAACTCTCTTAGTTTACGGAGGACCAAACATTGGTGTTAAAACCGAAGATTTCCTCAAAGAACTCAAGACAGCCCAAGATAATCAACGTAAATGCCTTGCTTTGGCCATCTTGGGCGAGATCGGGCTTAGAATGGGCGCCAGATCACCCCTAGATCCACAGCTGTTTATCACGAACTTCAACGCTCCTTCAGATAAAGTCCGACTTTCTGCGGCTGTAGCCCTTGGAAATGCAGGAGCTAGCAATGTGGAGGCTTATTTGCCCGTCATACTGGAAGGACTGGAGAAGTCCCAGTCTTCTAAATATCTACTTCTACACTCACTCAAAGAGATTCTTCAGCACCCAGAAGATGTTAAAACTCATGTGGCCCCCTTCGCCACACGACTATGGCAGATACTGCTATCGGCTTCTGATGATGAGGATAATCGTACTGTCGGTGCTGAATGCATCGGACGTCTGTCCTTGATTGATCCCGCTATATACATTCCGCAACTACAGGTATGTTCTCTCCCCATTCCCTGGCCTTTCCGTTATTGGGTAATTGCATAAGACTAATCTGTTTGACCACTAATAGGAATATTTATCCCATCCAAATGCAACTATCAGAGGCACGGTTATCTCCGCGTTCCGTTACACTCTTGCTGATTCCAGCAACACATATAATGAGACACTACGCCCACTCATAGTCCCTGTTTTGGTCACAATTCTAAATGACAGCGACCTGGCGAACCACCGTCTAGCTCTGACGACACTCAACTCTGCGATTCACAACAAAACGGCTCTTGTTCTTCCACATCTACCCCAGCTGCTACCTGCAGTTATGGGAGACACGAACCTGAAGCCAGAACTTGTGCGAGAGGTACAGATGGGTCCCTTTAAACACAAGGTCGACGATGGCTTGGAACTTCGCAAGGTAGGGCACTTAAACCTGCTTATATTTGTATGCCTTTTCTTATTTCACTGACTGGTCTGAATCTATAGAGTGCGTATGAAACGCTTTACACATGCCTTGATGTAGCATTTTCGACCGTCAACCTGTCTGAGGTTTACGACAGAATCATCGCAGGTATTGAAGATGAGCAAGATATCAGAACTCTGTGTACGCTCATGATTTCGAAGTTGATGACCTTGGCGCCGGAGGAAACGCTTGCCCGGCTTGATGCATTTAGTAATTCGTTCCGGGTCGTATTGTCCGTCAAGCCAAAAGAGTCAGCCGTTAAACAGGAACTAGAGAAGGCGCAAGAAGCCTCGGTGGGTGTACTGAAGATTAGTCGGGAGTTACAAATGGCTTTCCCTGCTGCAGAGGCTTCGAATGACCACCATGCATGGAAGAGCTATGTGGAATGGATGGCAAAGGAGTTCAGCCAACTTCTACGTTCAATCAACTGATGTACTCCAAAGGTCGTTTACATGGGCTTCTCACCTGCAGATTTCGCTACCACTATGAGGTTATATGCCTATCTTCGCAAGAAAAAAAAATAATATAATTCTACATAGTAAAAATTCGACATAGTTACTACAACAGTATAATTCTGTAGACAGCGTACTGAACCGCGTATAAATTATACCTGGGACCAGAATGAAAATGCCCCCAAAGCACTCCGTAAATGCCCCCAACATCTACACCCACATCCAACAGCGCAGGGATGATGCATGGATTCGGACCCTGGAAGAGAACCCCAGACTGGGTATTTGAATGCCCCCAAGAACAGGCACGCATATACATAGTAGTCTACAACAAGGCTCAGAGAACCCAGCATCCCCCTCCTTTGTGCATTTGCATCTGGCCTGGTGATACATATACGATGCTGCATGTTTATGTGCTGTCTACATAGTACGTACAAGGACACGATTGTATTCACAGAAGAAAGACTAACATCTACAGAACTGGGTCGAGTGTCACTTTCGTGGAGGCCGAGACGGCGTTCAACCATGGAAACTCGCAACGGGCCGTGGAGGAGCTGCTATATATCCCCCCTGACAGCAACAGGGGCAAACAAGGGTTCCGGTTAGAATACCAGCGCAATTAATTAATTACATTATTATATCAAGAAATACGATCCCTTACACCCGCCCAAAGGCTGGTTATTTTTATGTTTTTGTCCTGAAGCCTTCAGTTTACACAGCGGCAACTAACATTATTTCATAGACAAGACTTCATGACCAGCTCAAAGATGGTTATTACGATCGGCTAGGCGTATTATTAGTATCCACGGAGTATATAACCATGCAGTGGTAATGAAGATCAGGGCGCCAAAAGAAGCCGTGACGTCTCGATATGCCGTATAACTAACTACTGGCTGTCTCTCGAAGCGCCGGTGTGGAGATCATTGTATCGAGTGTTGATGAACGATATTATGATCTAACTGTTTCATCCAGGCGGTGTACTCCGTAAGTCTGGATGAGATGTTGACGCCCATCGAGGCCAAACATTGAACAGTCAGACAAAACGAATTGAATACGCCTTTGCGTTGGCAATTCTTCATCCAACTTCCAATGAACAGCAATGTCCTGCAAACTAGTCTGAAACTGGCAGTTCCTCATCTCGTCAGCAACCAGTCAACATCTCATTTCCAAGGCTTGAGGCGTTGGGCGGAGGCTGGCCGCATCCCGGCTGCAGCGCCAGCACGAATCGCACGATTCCATTTGTTCGATGGGCCAAGGGGTAGCATCACAAGCCCGATCACCATGGTATCACACTCAGACCAAAGGGCATATGGGGGCCTTTGACCAAGCACTCGGGTCGCTTTTCGCCTGGGGCTGCTGGCGATTCGCCCAGAGAAGGCTTGCTACCTGTTGTGTATAAGCACGGCACAGCCTCCATCACCCATTTAACCCCGAAGCTCCTGGGGGCCCCTGTTCTTCTATTGAGAGACGTTTTCGTCCAATACGAGCATGGCTAAGCGCCGCCCTGTTGATGTTAATTATGGCTCTGAATATAATCTTCTCTCCTGGCAGTGTTCGTCTTTAAACAACCATCACCACATATCGTTGGAAATGACAGTTTTATCCCGGGAAGGCTGTACTGAAGGCTGAAGAGGCGGCTTTAATCCTTCGTATCTACACACATCAGGCTGCAGCTGACGAGTTGATAAGCTAGCTGCCAGTTCGTGCATCCCAAGGCAAGCTCGGCACAGAATCACCAGATCACTATTTGCGCTACATCCATCAAATTCCGCCGCCTTTTGTTGTGAGAAAAGGGCTACGGGCAGGTTATCCGATGCCCATGAGCGTCTTCCATTCTACCCTTCGCTCAGATTAATCCGACGTCCATACGAACAATGTCGAACCAACCGCCATACTACGGCAATGCGCCACACTATCTTCTACATTACCCTCCTCAACAACCACAGCAACAGCATCTACAACAACCGGAACAACGGCCATACTCATACCTCCATACTCCTGTCGCCCTACAGGGACCAACCTTCTCCTCATCTGAACTACCCAGTCGCACCGCTCCCGCAGAACAAACAAATCAACAATCTCATTCACAATCCGACCGGTCGGGTAACCACCGTCCGTTTTCGTATATGTCGCCTGATACCAACAGGGTAGTGGATGAATCATTATCGACGGTATCGAATAACAGGAGTGATACCGATTATGTGAATAACCTCTATTCTCATGTTTCCCCGCCGCCGCTCTCTGAACACCCGGCGCAATTTGCCCCGTTTGCAGACAATACCACCCCACCACCGCAGACACAGCAACTGCAACAAGCTCAGGAACAAGGATATCAGCATCATCAATTGCAACTGCAGTATCAACATCAAGAGCAGTACCATAGAGAACATGGCTATCAGTATCAGCAACAACCACAACCACAGCAACAGCAACAGCAACATGGAGTAGTTCCACATTCACCTATGGGCGTCCCCAAGTCTCCGGGTCCGCTGCCGGTTAAGCATAATATGGAAGCTGAAGCTCGTGAACGGCAGGCAGAGGAGGCTGCAATTGTTCCTGACAGTAACCCTCTGGCACCACAGTCGCCGGCTCCTACTTATGCTTCGCATTCAGCGCCACCACATAGGACAAACGGAAGAGGGATATCCGCCGTTCCGGATATACAATGCCATACCCCTGGCCAAGCGTTTCACCCCCAACAAGGGGTAAAAGGCGGAAGCTGGACAAACAGCCTGTGTGAATGCTCAGATATAGGGATCTGCTGCTTGGGTATATGGTGCCCATGTATTCTCTATGGACGGACACAACACCGCCTCTCTAGGAAATCAAAACGACAAGACCCGACTAACATGCTTGGGTATGAGACCTGCAACGCTTCATGTACGGCCATGGCTCTATTATGTGGATGTCAATGTATGTCGCCCCTTCACTGGTCTGCTATTATATTACTATTTTTGGACATGGTCTAACGTCAACAGGGTTATTGGCAACCATTCAGCACACACGGATCAGACGGGCATATAGCATCCCTGGTGGAATAATGTCTGACTGTGTTCGAGCTTCGTGCTGTACCTGTTGCACTCTTATACAGGACGAGAGGGAAATCAAGGCCCGCGAGGAGTTTGCCCGCACTGGTGGTAATACCGTTAGGGTCCCTTATACTTCTCCAGGACAGATGACGTTCAGTCCACCCCCAAGATAAAAAAAGCATTAGCTCCATATGATATTCTTTCCCTCATATACCCCTTTTCCTTGCATTCTTCAATCAACAGAGTGAGGATACTCTATGTATATATTTACAGTAATGTTTTTTGTTTGGACTTATGAGTCTCGGGGAACCTTTACAGGGGACTTATGATATGACTAGCACTTGAAATACCATCTCGTCTGCGAAGGCAAATAACTCTTCCCCCTTTAATTGTCAGCTTCATCTTCCTTTGTAAAATAAGGCTCGTCTTGGCATAAAAAGCTTAATGGAGACATGACTAATCAGGTCCACTTTGCACGTGTTAAAATGAACTTGGCTTCACTTGGCGTTGCTTGGCCAATCAGAGAAAGCGGCGGGCGACGAGGCCGAAAAGGGAAACCAACAAGACGTCGTCGGCCTTTTTGCAGGCGCAGCAACGAAAAGCGACCAAGAAAGACAGGAAAAAAGGCCATTGCCCGGTTCCGCACATTCCCCTATCGCATATCTAGATGTCCGGCGTGAGATAAGACACCATCCTTTCCGCGCAATACGGACGACAAAGAGACGACGATTTCGCTGCGAACAAGTCTCACCCCTTCGACTCTGGCGACTTTCCGCTAACCTCTCCGTCCTTTACGTGTTTCACGACTGTCATGCTGAGAGGAACAGCCGTTGTTTGAATGGCAGCCGCCGCGTGTACCTCTTCGGATAGCCCAGGTATCGGGCACCATGCCTTTACAATATGGCTGGCAGATCCAGCAAGGGAAGTTCAACGGCTCAAGACACCCATGTAGCTCGTTGACCCTGGGGAAAGGAGGTAAGATACGCTCTCTATCCTGTTTCATATCATGCTATATGGTGAAGTGGAGTGGCACCCACAAACACTCAGCCAGACTGAGCAGAGAAACAAGTCAGGACTAATCCGGATTTGAACAAATATTAGGGACTCTCGTCTTCAATGACACATTTTCCGTCGTTCTGAGTCAAGATGCCGTCTTTGAGCCCTCCTGTACCACCATTATCGAACCAGAAACCTATGATCCGTCGACGATCGTGGATGTCCGCGAACACTTTTATGCCTCGACCTCTCCGCAGATGTATGCTATTGCAACCGCGACCGTGCTAGCCTATGTCCTTTCCATTATTCTTTTCATAACACCCCGTACATTTTTTATTGGAGGCCGTGGTGGAGGCTTCCTTGGTCGACATGGCATGATTAGCGGATCATATGGTAGCAGCTCAGTCATCGGAGTTGGCGGGAGACCATGGCTACAGAAAATAGCAGCCTTGACGGTTGCGATCTCACTCACGATTGCTACCGCAGATTCGTTTGCGGTTGCAAAAAAACAATATGAGATGGGTTACATGGACTCTACCGCCCTCACAAACGAGGTTGTCAACGGCCTCGAATTACGCATTATACGTGTTATATCAAGCACATTTCTCTGGCTCGCCCAAGTCCAGACTCTTATTCGGCTATTCCCTCGACACAAGGAAAAAGTTGTCATAAAATGGGTCGGATTTGCACTTATTGTGCTTGACACCATATTCAGTATCCTTAACAATTTCGCACACCCTGGGAATACTATAGTCCATCCAGGAAAACTAAGGGATGCGGTCCCTGCTCTCAACTACTTATTTGAACTGGCCTTGAGTATGCTTTATGCAGCATGGGTCGTTTTCTACTCCCTTTCCAAGCACAGGTTTGCTTTCTTTCACCCAAAAATGCAGAATATCTGTCTTGTTGCATTGTTGTCTCTGCTTGCGCTCTTGATACCCGTTGCTTTCTTCATTTTAGACGTTTCACAGCCAAATATTGCCGGTTGGGGTGAATATATCCGCTGGGTTGGTGCAGCGGCGGCGAGCGTGGTGGTCTGGGAATGGGTTGAGAGAATTGAGGCTCTGGAACGCGAAGAACGAAAAGATGGGATCCTAGGGCGGGAAGTTTTTGATGGTGATGAAATGCTCGACGTAACCCCGTCTGACGAGGATGGCTCACCAGGATCTCGCGGTGATGGTCTGGATGCCAGCTTTGGCCGTGGCTCAAGATGGGGACGGCTCGGGAAGCTTTCTCATAACCCGTTTCGTTCACGCCACGTATCGTGCCCCCGGTCGCCTCATATCCATGAACGCAAAAGGCGTAAGACAGAAATAAGCCCTCCAAATCTTGAATCGTCTCAAGTAGTCGAGACCGTGCCGCCCCCGGCTGTGGCCAGTCCAGTTAGCCGAGAGAATACCACCAGCGCTACAAGTACGCTATATTGTGTACGATATCACTCTGTGGGCTCCCCGTCAGCCTCTAATTCTGATTAACAAGACTTGGACACGAGAAGGAGGTGGCTCAGTGGAATTAACCAAGCAGGGCACCCATTCAACGGAACAGAGTGACATAGTTACACCAGTTCCTTCGCGAAAGATAGGCATAGGTTGGCTCAATGCCGTTAACCCCTTTAAACGAAGGCGTGGATCACCCCCACAGGAGGTTGCAACGGCACAAGCAGAAGAAGGTATGGCTGCCACCGCTACATTAGCCACAGGTCTTTCTGAAGAGCGTGAGAGTCGGTGGAAATTACCCCCGGCACTCAGCATGGTTGCATCACATCTTCACCGCGAATGGATAGGCTCGTCTGAGAAACGGGGCTCTGAACCCCCCATTCTCCCAGTCACAGTCATACCGGCTAAAAGCAAGCGTGAGAGATTGCAACCAAGCTCTAATGAAGACGCTCCCACCCCTAGTTCACGGTTCCGATGGGGGGAGTCTGGTGAGCGGAAGGGAGTAGAAACACCGCTGCCTGTCATGGTGATTCCCGCACGGTCACGATCCGCAATTACATGGTCCACTCCAGGTTTGGACGAGCCCGGCCGCCCCCTTTTCAGCAGCCCAACAGGCTCAAGTCCTAACCCTCAAGCCCTGACTGACCGTGGAACTCCATCTTCGATGTTCTTGTCTCAACCACAGTCCATGAATTCACGAGATCCACATGAAAATCTACCGTTTTCGGCGAATACCCAGCTGGATCCAAGACATGTTCAACACACGAGGAATGAAGACAGTGGTGATTATCGACAGGGAGATATATACAACCCTCCACCAGGCCAGAATGACACCGGACAGCATAATAACCACACCGCTACTGAGCGTCCATCCAGCTCTCATTTGAATCAACAGCCACCTGATCCTCCTGATCCCCGGTCGACTTCTCAAACACGGCAACGTTCTCCATCCGATCTTGACGTCAGATAGAAGGCCCCTTTACCCCATTAACCTGTCTATATTAGCGCGGCGTATAATTCTGGATACTGCTCTATATTCCTATTTTCCTATTTTCTCCTATTTTCTTCCATTTCCTTCTCTTCTTCATTTTTGGGATGCGTTCAAAAGAGAAAACTTGACGGCCTATCTTTATTCACGACCATCTTCATGTATATTCATATCCTTTTTTTCTCCTCCCCCCGCCAAATAATTTTCACTCGTGCATAAATCTCATCGATTCATAGTCCAGACAGACCTTTATAAACTACATCCTCCTGTAGCCGAAAATCTATCTTTGTGGCTTACTTTTTGTGCCCAGAATTAACTACATAAATAAATGTACATATAGCCTTGCACAACTAAGAAAAATGATTTCAGGCTGACGTGAGCCAAATATCTTCAAGCTTCACCAACTCTTCGACAACACTTGAAAGATCACAATAATCAGCATCAATGAGATGTTATATCACCTTCGATGAACTCCTCGATCGATGTCTAATGTCAATTCCCACATGTTTGATGCTGGCGTCAGCCATGAACCTCCCATGAGGGGCCCGGCGCTGATGAGGCTTCCGTTAAATCTAATTGCCTTGATAGTATCTCACGTATGTATCCCATGGGAAAAATGAGGGTGAAGAGAGAGAGAGAGAGAGCTATATCCGTGTCTTCGATCTGATTGTCTGTATATGCCTGCTAATGTTACCTCCTCGTCTTAGCTTGAAGATGTCGGCGACCTTGCGCGCCTCTGCCGCACCTGTCGTGTGCTGAATTACATGTCACTTCCTCAGCTCTACAAGAACCTCACCCTTACATCCTACGGCAGGATACGATATAATGAAGATGACTTACCGGAGGGATATGGAAGCGCTAGCCCATTTTCCATGGGACTGAATGCTCTAGTCACCCGCAACGTGGCACCGCTGGTTCGATCAATTACACTGCGTGGTGAATGGCGGGACGATGGATTAGAAGAACATGCCCGAGTTGGAAGAGTCCCGGACTCATCTATGATGCTGAATATCAGTGTCCGCGCTGCTATCGATAAAATGGTTGGCTTGGAGAGCTTCAGGTATGCGGTTGCCACCGTTTTGTGTGCAAAGTTCCTTTTTTTTTTTTGGTATTAAAGGCGTATTTTGCTAATGGGATGGATTCGCGCATTCAATAGCTGGGAAATATACAATACCAAAGCTCTAGAGACCGTATGCCAGGGTCTCGCGCAGCTTCAGAACCTCCAGTCCTTGACTCTTCGGTTTCCGTCTAGTCGACACCCAAGACCTACAACTATAATCCCTCCCATGCCCAACCTACGCATTCTCAAGGTCACAGATATCGACCCTCTCTGTTATCCAGATGATATCTCTTTACTATTATACGGTAGCAAAAAGTTACGTGATCTGAGAATGCATTGGTCTCCCCGGATGCGGGAATCACAAGAACCAAGTGTTGCGCTCACGGACTACTTTCGACGGTGTATTGCTGCAAAAGCTCCCCTACGATTGAAGAAGCTTGCATTTCAAAATTTTTATGCTCTTCATCCCGGAGAATCGGGGGCTGGGGTTAGCCATGACTGCCTTGAAGAGGTCACCATGCTAACGAGTCCCACTGGGAATGCGGCAATGACCTTTGTCGAAGCTAGCTGGCCAACTCCAGGGCCCAGGGAAGAGATGTCAATGCTAAAGACGTTCCGGATTGACCGCGTGGAGAAGAGAGGGTTGGATTTTTTACAACAGTTGACTCCTCTCGAAAACCTATACTTTGTCAATCCATTACGTGAGCCCATAGATTATGTTAACAACTCAAGGCCCGGGGTGGCGTATCCCTCTTCACCTTCAACACCCCTCCCCAGTGGTACTGGACACCATACTATGGCCGCTGACTACCAACAAAACCAATCAACACCTCCTGCCCCCGGCATACAGTCAGCATCATCAGCTTCACGAGCGTCTTTAAGGGAAATGCATGTATCCACGATTATCTCGGTTCATGGTGCCACCTTGAAGCGCTTACTTCTCCCCGCACGAATGAATATACCCGTACCTCTTGTCGTGAAGCTGGTTCATGCTTGCCCGAATCTGGAGCAGCTTGCAATGGCTGTCGATACCAACAGCCTCGAAGTAATCGGGCTCGTACTGCCCTTCCTAAGGAAACTCCAAGCTCTCCGAATACTTATCCCAACTTCTCAGGATAGCGACCTGAGAACTTCAACGTCAACGGACAATACACATGCAGGCGGAAGAGGCCAAACTGAATCCAATGGAAATGTTAACAACACTCTTGGGTCAGATATTATGCCACGACCTGATCTGTCGATTCTTCCTCCATCCGATGCACGGGACATTGCAAGGCTGGTTGACATTGACGATGCTTTTCATATTGAGACACTTTCACTGCATCTCGCAGGGCCAATTTTCAGCAGCATTAAAGTAATCGGTATTGGCTGGAAGGCGTGGCAAGTCGGTGGACTATACAAAGTTCCAGCCCCAGCCCGTAGTCGCAATACGACAGCTGCTGGTGATATACCTAACGGCCAAGGCATGATGGATTTCACAGCTGACGTGTCTAATCCAAGCCCAAATGGTAATAACACACTCGCAAATTCAAACCACCCCTCCATACCGAGGGTCGAAAGCTATTGTTCAGATAATAGCTACAATGCATCATCATGGCCAACGCAACCACCACAATCTGCAAATTCCCCACCAGGAAGCAGAATTCCACTAGGCAAGCGAAAATATAATGGACAGAGCTCCTCCGTCCCTCCTGCGTCGCCCGGTGGAGAAACATTTTCTCCAACCGAACCAAAATCTAAAAAGCAGCTACAAAGTTTCCAAACAGTTACTTCAAATATCAACGCTGGATACAGCAATATCGCTGAAAATACTACAAAATCTGATAACAAACCCAATCTCCCCTTGGTCTCCTTCATAGATAAGGCGATCCTCGCCCAGATCCCAGAAAGTATGCGGCATAGTCTCAAGGACTGCTTTACTGAAGTGAGAGGGGGTTCTACGGACGAGCCATTTGTATGGAAACGACACGTCAAGCGAGTGGGCTGGGATGTCTTGAAACACTGGGAGATATGGGGACTCGATGTTCAGGAAATTTGAGGTAATATTCCGATTGTTATAGCTCCCTCTTTCACTTTTCGTGACGTATGCCATAATATATCGTTATTATTATCTATATGTCTTGTTATATATACCCCCTGAATGTTTTTTGAAATATTTAGTGAGAAAGTAAAATGTGTACTCTCTGTACTTTGAATTACTGCGCGCGCTCCATATTAATTGGGAAGGTATCTATTACCTTTTGGAAATAGAACAGCCCTCCAAACAGAGCGAAATAACAATAATAGACAAGACCTCCTAATAGTTCTATTAAATATAGAGACCGGGAGCGGCTGTACTCATGCCTGCTTCACTCGTCTAAAGGGCATCTGGTATCCCAGGTCTCCCGGACAAGCTTAAGGAGATTGTATATGTGGGCAAGCAGATGATCAGTCGTGGAGATGTAAGTTGGCCTTTATCTCCTTAACCATCGTCAACATCGCCTATAGAGTTAACCAAAAACTATTTCAATTAAGCATAAATTCCCAGGCTTCCTCCGTCTTAGTATCCACCAACCCACCGGCGAGCACAAGGTTTCCATTAGCCTGTTGCTAATAAGCACTTCGTACACCAACTCTGGCACTGTAAGAAGCGTGGCATTTCTGGCAGATGGAGGCCTCATCAGTGCACCAAAAGCGGACTTTGAAGGTAATCCCAAGTTTGAGCTGGTCTGTGATAAACGGAAGGCCAGGCCGTTTCAGAGTGTATAAGCAGTTTACCAATCCTTTGACTGATCTTTTTCCTCCGTGATTATTTACAAACATGTTCTATGAGCCAGTCTTAGCTGTTGCAGAATACTATGCACAAAGAGGTATAGATAATGGGAGGCAAATCATGTATGGATGAGGAGAGTGTTGTATACTATACATCTAACCACTTGCTCTACTTGGATCTAAACTATATGTATTCCGACGCCTATAACTTTAACCGCTGCCATCTATTCCCGAAGGTGCACAAGACTGCAATGCCAGCATATGCAGTGACAATTAAGAAGATAACACGTAGACAGAAGAGGTAGGCCTGAACAATACCGGGAATAGCAGCTTCGGGGAACGCATGACGGATTTCAGTAGCCCCTGTGGTAATAACTTGGAGAGGATCGACACCTGGAGCCAGAGAGGGTAATTTTGATAGGAGAAAGTTACTTAAGACGGATTGGCCAGCGGCTAGGGAGGTCGATGTGCCAACACAGAAGGAAACTGGATAGAATTAGCCTAGTCTATAAACGGACAAGAGAAGAACATACATAGCATCATAGCTGTGGTAGAGGCAAGGTCTTCTGGCTTCGTACGGGCCTGGGCTGCTATAATAGCTAAGGGCAGGCCGGAACCATACGCAAGGCCAGCAAGGATCTGATAACCAATCCACTGTGTAGATGGAGAGGTTGTATTAAGGGTGTAGATAAGGCCCGAACCAATACAGCCGCCGGCAGCAGCCCAGAGCATAAGGGGCACATAGTGTCCAGTGAGCGAGACTAGGGTACCTGCCAGTAACGAGCCAACGCCGCAGCTGATTAGTAGGGGAAGATTATAGACACCGGCCTGAGAAGGAGAGGCGTCTTTGACAACCTGGAAGTAGATTGGTATATAGTAGAGAAGGAGGTAGAAGGCACCCTCATGGAAGAAGCCATAGGCCATACCGACAACAACGATACGCCGTTTGAGGTGCTGTGCTACAAGGAGAGCATGGTTGCCTTGAAGGTACTGTGAGACTATAAAGGCAATTATAGAGATAGGACAGGCGATAAGGAAGCCAATAACCGAAGGTGAGTTCCATTTCTCCTTGATGCCGGCAATCTCAAATACGCGGGTAAAAAGGATGAGCGAGGCAAGGGCAAGAGCGATACCAATAGGGTCCATATGTGATAACTTCTCCTTAAGTGGTGTATTGTGGGCCGATTTAGGTGGGTGGAAGAGGAAGAAGATAATAAGGGCTGCGAGCCCGCCAATGGGGAGATTAACGTAAAAGCACCAGCGCCAGGTGGCTTGTTGAGTAAAGACGCCACCTAGAATCGGACCTAGGACGTTGGCGATGCTATAGATGGTGGTTATAAGGCCGGTGAAGATGGGCCGTAGCTGTGGGCGTACAACAACGCCCAGGATAGCGTATCCGCCTGATGCGATACCTGCGCCTCCCATGCCCATGACAGCCCGTCCGAAGATGAGGACGGTGCTATTGGGTGCAACGCCAGCAACCAGCGAGCCAATGGCAAAGATGAAGATGGCGGCCAGGAAGGTATACTTGATCGAGAAGAACGGGTAGACCTTGCCCCTGCAGACGTGAACATATGCATATATATACACCCGGGTAGATAGATGTATGATAGACGTACCAGAAGGGCTGGAAGCAGGCCAGGGTGATGAAGTAGGCAGAGCCGTACCAGCCAACAAGATTGATACCCTTAAATTCATCGGTGATGCGAGGGATTGCAGCCGCAACAATCGTCTATCTAGGTTAACAAGGCATACAAGAAGAAGCGGGATATTGGCGCTTACCATGTCCAGACCGACCTATGCTGGGGTTAGCAGGTGATATTCAGGGAAGAGCTGGAGGCCATACCAGAAAGAGACCGAAGGCAACTCCGACAGAAACACAGGATGCCCGGAAAGCATTGGGGTATTCGACGGCATTGTTGCTATCGTCGTTTGGTAGAGCGTCGGCCTCAGCCTTGTTATTGGGTTCCATCTCGGGCGAATATCAGGGGGGTGAGATATCTGGAGAAGACAGACAACTGGAGAAGAGAGTCAACCAGGAGAAAGAAAGAAAAGATATAGAGAAACTAGGAGGATTCCGTTTCTGACTCTTTCGTATTCTTCCTCTCTTCATTCTGCAAGCTAAGAGAAGCTGCAGCAGGGGTGGGATAACTGGTTATCAAGCAGCTGGAGCAGGGATAGCAGCAGCAAAGATGCTCAAAAGAGCGCGAGTCCTCGTTAACCGCAGGGGTAGATAGGTATCAGGCCCGGGTAACAGTATATCGAACAATTAGTTATATACTAGCCATCCGCCTTCCGCCATACCCTCAGCTGGATCTCCGCCTCGCCGTCCCCGACCCGCCTCCTATCCGGCGCAGGTGCCAGTATCGCCGGCGGCCGCTGGGCGTGGGTCTCGTTGACGATACTGATGGTCGGACTGGTGGCTAACTATTTCTTATGGCTGAGGCTGCCGGTGCGGCTTGGTGGCACGCTTGCTGCGCAGAGGTGTGTTGAGAGAGAAGCCCTGGCCGTCTTGCCGGGGAGCGCCTGTGAAGTTGTAGGCGATCAGTCGGCCGCCATTGCGCCCTATCTGAGGCTGTGTTTTGCCTGGGAGGGCGAGGAGCGGCTTGTCGAAGGTGCTTAGCGGCTGGCAGGCGTTATTCGATCGTTTAATCCAGCGACTACTATGTAACTGTTAGTTAACTGGGGATTATGGAACAGGTATGTTAACTACTTGGTCAGAATATAATCGACCAGCTAGTTATGTATAAAAGGCCCGGCCAAGGATCGTGTTAATTATAGGGAGAATGGAAAGCTGGGCAGGATCATATCCAGCTCGCGTCATAAAGCACTGTCGAGTAGGAAAACGTTGATACGTTAACATTGTATCTCGGACTAACTTGTATGGAGTACAGGCGTTTCATAAAGGGCAAGATTATATCACTGGATATCGGCTTGGATATAAAACAACCGCAATGAAGGGGAAGAAGACGACACAAGGCCAACTCATGTAGGCGAAAAGGGCTCGAAATATACACAACCCTGCATACAAGCATAACCACACAAGGAAGCGTAAGGTAATAAGAAGGTAAAGAAGATCAAGGACCAAACCCCCAAGGTCTACCGTTCCCAAACTGTCCACCCGATAAAGAGAAACACATCGTGTCTATTCTGTGAAACAAACATCTGGAAGGGAATAAGGAAAAAGAGGCTGTAAGGAAAGTCGTTATATAAAATGAGATGACATTCCAGAGCCGTTCGTAGCAACAGCAGCTACTGGGGCCGGTCCATTGGTGCTGGTGCCATTTGTATTGTTGTCACCTGTATATTGTTCTTTGAGAAGGACTTCCAGCATGTCGAATTCACCGACCATTGGGCCGGTGCCTCCAAGGCCCTGGTCAACTCCTGCAGTGGAGCTGTTGAAGAATTGATCAAGTGGAAGGGCAAACCAGTCTGACATGCTGTTTGAATTTGCCTGTGTGGTATTGTTGTTGCTTGGGGCGCTGGTGTTGATAGCTGGAGGCGCAACAGTGGAAGAGGATTCATCCATTTCCATCTTGGGCGAAGTCGAGCTAGGGTCGTAGTAATTGTAGTACACAGAAGGGGGAGGGGGCATGAAAGAGACATTAATGCTGGAGGAGTTGATCGGTTGGACAGGGATGTTGGCCAGAGGGTCGTGATGAGTTGTCGGAGGCGCGGAGGTTGGGTGGTGGTTGTCGAACGAGAAGCCAGACGTACTCGGAGTCCCGTTGTTGTGGTTTTGTTGCCAACGGTAGTCACTGTGCTCACCGGAATGATGGTGCTGTTGATCTCGAGAGTCCTGCTCTGAAGTGGGCGCGGGTGACTGGTGCCTGCTGCCTGACTCGCCTACACGATCAAAGGGAGCAAAGCGAAGAAACCGATTTCGGATATTTGAAGTGAGTAACTGAAGCAGGTCGGCGATTGTAACACTGAGGTGGACATCGTCCACTACACAGGTACGAAGGCATTCAATAGTCCGATCCTGTAGCTCAAGGGATACTCTCACATCATCCTCTTTTGCACCCAGGGTGAAGGTCTAAATTAAGGTTAGTTTTCTGAAAAAAATTAAATAAACACACGAAGTTACACTAACCTTGAGAATGAAGATCATTCCAGAAAGAATTCTAAAGTATGTCCTGACAGGTGCATGTTTTAGAATATCCCCTGGGACAAATCCTTCCAGTACGATTTGCAAGATCCGTCGAGAAGCATCAACAACTTCTTGGATATATGGTTCATTAACTTCATATTGCTCCAGTAAAACCTGGAGCGGAACAGTTCCAGCGCCAGAGCTTGTTCCATTGGCGGTTCCGTTGGCATGGTTCTGGTTTGCACTTGAACCGGCCTCATTCATGGTAGTCCATCGTTCAACGACGGCCTGTAAAGCTAAGCAGTTGACATATAGTCCTAAGGTATAATTAGCAGCTATTATTTATTATCACGGTATGTTAATGTTTACTCACGGGTATATTCATATTCAATCGTTAAGACGTTTCGCATTTGAGGTGATACTGTGAGAGCATTGGTAAGAAAGATAATCGAGGAATGTGGAGAAGTGTATACGCACCTGAAAGTTTGTCAAGTTTTGCTTTAAAGTCTCTCAGAGAGGGGGTAAATTCATCAATCCGGTCACGGTATTGGCCGCTCTTGATTAAATTTGTAGTGAGCTCCTTGGACAGGAAGAGAACCTGATTACTGTTATACATGATCTTGGAAATATCCATCCAGCAATCTTGCATCATATCGATCATGTAATCCTCATGGAAGTTAGGCGAGTGCATATCTTCAACACGAGGAGGCTCAGTATTCTGGTTCCATTGTGGCAAGGGAAGCATGGAAGGAATGCCTAATCGACCACTGCTTTGAGAAACATAGACAAGAATCAGCCGTCGCAAACGGCGTTTTCTGGCTATTTCACACGAGGTTTCAGTTGAAGCTCGAAGGTCGTTTTTTTGGTCAAAGATACCGAGCTCGAAGGCAAGGGCCTGAGCCGTGCTTAGAAGCATCCACGACATCCGATCAGAACGCCAGACAGGCTCAAGCCATTTATAGAAAGCGAGACGGCCTTCACCTGGGCTTCCTTGGCCCTTACCAGGGTGATCATGGAAATGGTCGTCCCCCTCTCCATCAAAATAGTTGAGTTGTTGTGGGTCAACGTCAAGAAGGGTATTTTCATCGTCACCAGGTGGAAAGTGAAGGGCGCGTGGATGCCAGTCAGTGAGGAGCAGCAAAGCTTCAACGGTTCCGATAGACCTTAATTGGCCGCCACCCCGTTGGCCGTGTCCAGCAGATAGTGGGTTAGATGCATCGAATTGCCTGGGTGCTGAAGCGCCGCCGCAGTCGCCAAACTTCTCTTGTCCCCAAAAGAGCCGCTCAATCATACCTCTAAGGTACGACCACAGCTTTTCATGGATAGAATAGGCTCGGGAGTTGGCTCCATTTCCAGAAAGCTTCATGTGTCGAGAAGCAATGGTGAGCATTGTGACAGTCAACACTGGTTCTTCTGTCAGAAGGGTGAGATGTGTTGATGGCGAGCTATAGTTTTTCAAAACTATAGGGGTTAGTGGTGCAAGATGTTCGTAGTAGCTAAAAATCAAATACGGTCAGTAACCTTTAATAATGTCGAGTTTGCAGACTCTGGGTGACCCTTACTACTCGATATAAGACATTGCTTCGTCAACGCTAAACCAACCAGCACGAATGAACCGCAATCTTGACCAAGCTCTGCGAGCTTTGCTGTAGTCTAGGTCATGGGATGCCTTGGGAGGGCTCAAACCAGCATCAGTGCCTTCAACAAGAACCTCAACACTAGGAGAGCCGCCCCTGTTTTGGTTGTACCAGCTCATCCCGGCACCTTGATGCGTTGTCGAGTTAGACCTGCTACCTCTGCCTGGTGTCCCGTTCTGCTGGCCTGGAGAAACAGATGCGAATGTTGAGGTTGAGGAATGGCGTCCATTGTACTGGTATTCCATCTGCTGGCGATTTAGATCTTCTGTCCTACCAGCAGCCTCAGAGAGAAGATGTAGGGCATCGTGAGTATTGCTGATAGCGGGAGAGAGCAACTCAGCGGCAGTCTTGTTCATCATATGCTGGCCACTCTCGAGAACATGGGGAGGCAATGTTGGTCGTACAGCACTAGAGAAGCTCGCGCGGTGAGCATGGTACTGATCTAGTGGGATCGAAGTCGGAGCCGGAACGGAGATACCAGTGGGTGGAATACATATTCGGTGAGGCGGGGCGGTGGCATTTGACCATTTACGTTGCGCAGCTGAGCCGTTTGGTCGAGGATCATTTTCAAAGGGAGGCAGACTGCCTCGTGGATGCGAAGTCACCCCGTTAGGAATGGGGCTTGAGATGCTATCACTATCCATGCTGGGAGAGACGGATCCATCAGCAACCATCATGCGCTTGTCCCGGCGCAAGACGCTGGATCCCTTGTCGTCCGATTCCTCTGAGATTTTGCGCTTGCGCCTCGTGGCAGAGAATTCGCATCTCTTGCTCTCACGGCGGCATCGCACACATGGTGGTGGGCGCGGGTTATCGACACCTGGTATCGAAGTCAGTCATTCACTCAATAAACTAGTCTTATTCAGGTACAAACGGAGGACGTACTTCCCAAATCGCACTTCACCTTCCGCTTCCTACACGGATCACAGGCCTGGTAGCCACGTCTATGCTGAGCAGGCGGAGATATAGAGCGTTGTGGAGAGAATCTGGTATTGAGATCCTGTGGTTGCTGTGGTTGCTGCGGTTGTGGTTGTTGCGGTTGTTGCTGCTGCGGCTGCGGTTGCGGCTGCTGCTGTGTGGGATTGTGGGTGACAGGCGAGGAATTTGAGACAGACGAAGGCACTGCAGTCACTGTCGCCGGTCTACCGTTCATTCTGATATCATCCATTGTATCCTCTTCCCACAAAAAGGATGGTATTAACTGCGTTAATACACTTGCAGGCTGCTGTGGTATCGCCCTCAGCGCACTCAATTGGCAGCCACCGTCGTCACAACGGCGATCCAAAGATGTTCCTGCAGATCAAACGGTCCTCTCTCTACGGCTCAGCAGCTATCTCTCTCTCTCTCTCTCTGTGTGTATGTGTGTGTCTGTCGGTCTGCTCTCCTACTCTCTCAGAGGAAGAAGAAGAAGAGGAGGAAGAGGAAGAGAAAGAAGGTTGACGTTGGAAAGGCGGAGAGAAGAAGAAAAGTGCGGGCCGGCAGAAAAAAAAAAGTTGGTGGAAAAAGTTGGAGATATAAAAAAAAGAAGACAACGACGACGAAGGAGAAGACACTATATTACTGCGCCAGTACTAATTAACCAACCCCAGCAGAAGCATATGCTTATAGATATATTTATGTATATGCAAATATACCACAGTGGAGGCCCAAGGGACGGGGGAAACCCCGAGATGCCCGCGAGTCTCTCTATATATATACACAGCAGAAACACAACATACACAGCACATACACACACGGTATGAGGGGAGAAGAGCGTTGCTGCTTATCGCCAGACATCCATGTTACAACGTTTCTTAAGCCATTATTAACTTCGAGCATTAGAGTTATTAGCAGGTTGCAGGCAGAGACCAAAGAAAAGAAGAGACAAAAGCTGCTCCATCCTGGCGGCTATCAAATAATCAGAGGGTAATTTTCTTCAGGCAAAATCCCAGCCTATATATACGACGATATATCAGCAATCTTGCTCTCAATCTCTCGTCCATTGATACCGTCATTGACGCCCTTCTCGAGCTGCGTTCTCTTCCTGCCCTCTCCTTCTCCCCTGGCGGGATGCGAGTTACTGTTGCGTAATAGATGCAGGGGATGGCACACCAGCTCAACAACTTTAAACGAGGAGAAAAATGTCAACTTTCCCATCTTTCTAGAAAAAAAAGAAGAGAAAGGACGAAAAATTTGTTTAGACTTCTCTTCTCCACAAATCGGTGGGCTTGCCCGGACTCTCTGCCTGCTGAATGGCCCGCCGTTGGAGGCTAATGTACGATCCTGATGCACGCCCAGAAAAACTACGACTGCGTGATGACCTTTTCTCTCTTGTGGAGAATAACTAAGTGGTACATCCGTCAGAGCCATGGAATAATGGAACATGGGGAATCCTCTTCGATGTATATAACACACAGTTCTTGTTTTAGCGTTGGGTCGGACGCTTGGATAGGCCGTCTTATATTAGCCCGAGGGTTACTTTTATATTTTTTTATTTTTTTTTTTCCAAGGTTCCCCCCTCTCCAAAACGACCTAATATCCTCCGTGGTAAGGGGAAATTAAACTCGCAAAACGGGTGCATCATCTGGGGTATGCCTTCTCTTACCCCCCGACCAATTGATGTCAAGCATTAACTATGCCATGAATCTTGCAGATTCGCACTAAGGACGGCTTTGGTAAAACACCCGGATCCATCTCAAGTCTCCATTTTATGGAGAACACGGGGCCACCGTTACCTGATTGAAAAATGCCCTGTTGGGAGAGGAGAGGGGGGGGGGGGGGGAAGCGGGAGACAATCATAATTATGATGCCCCATATTGAATGGAGTCCATCCATCTAGACACACTCATTTACTTTTCTTTTCCCTCTCTTGTCGATCGAGTCTGATTGCCGAATCGCTTACAGAGTAGCATTACGGGATTGGAGTACATAAGAGTGCATATCAAGTGGCCAGCGTTAGGCTTTTTTTGCTTGAACTCGAGAAATTTGGCGGGATGGAACCATGGTCTTTGGGTTCGAGTTCGAGTTCCCGGCACCTGAGGAGTGCTGAAGTCTGTATCGAGACCACAAAACGAGGAAGGAGCAGGAACGAGCTGGTGGGACATAATCGGCTCGCCGACAATTTACGGTTCATCTCTTGAACCCTTGGTTCCCTCGTAACTGGCTTCCCCTTGATGGCTCTATCAAAACAGGGCCTGTCCTTGTTCACGCTTTGACATAAGCAAAAAAAAAATGCAAAAGTGCAAAAGGAAGAAATGATCAGAGTGACCCTGCTATTCTTCCATCATACCATCATCTTGGCTACAAGAACTGCCTGTTTATTTGGATTCGCCCGTTTATATTCTCCTTCTCTTTTCGGTTCAAAGTCCGGGGAAATAGATACATCTTCCCTGCTTCCAGGGGCTATTCGGCTCCGAGTTTACTGACAGACATCGGCATCGTTCTCTCACAGACAGGATTTCGATGCACCTTCATTGGTAGATCACGCACTATCGATCCCGAAATCTGACCATTATTTTCCCGGGACCGCGTTTTATAGCACTCATCAGAGCATCCTCCGTATTCCTCTCTTGACCTCCAAAACCCAAACAGATGCTGAACCCTGTCCGGATCGTGTTTGCCCCAAGTTGATGATAGCGAAAGAAACGAACGAGTGAGAAGAGAGAAAACGGGCTGGAGACGAGAGAAGAAGAATAAGAAAAAGAAAAGAAACCAAAAAAACAACGACAGAGCTAAAAACTAGTCGAATCAAACGGCCATATTTCTCCATCCTGATGCATCAAAAGAGTGGTTCCTTCTTCCAATCCAGGCCTAACGAAGAGCGCACTGAACACGTTCAACGGTGAGACCAGCCCTCCCCATAGCTAACGGAGTACACATCCATGGGACCATGCCGACTCCCATCCTGATCTGTATCTATGCATAGATATGCATCGCTCATCAATCGAGGATGTATGTACGTATATACATAGCACTATGTACAGATATACGGCCCGTTGCACGTCACGCCGATCAGCACCGAAAAGCTAATTTAAACAACTGATCCCCATAATCCCGAGATCCTGATATAGAACGAGGCAAGGAAGCGCCATGCTCCATGTTCCATGTTTGATGAACATGAAATCCTGAATATTATATCGGTCTCAGCAAGACAATAAGAATTTTCGATACTCGAATCCCGAACAAGCGTTCTGACACGCATCGGTTTTCAAGAAAGTTATGGTTCAAACACGTTTATAACGTTTGTATTAGCAGATATAACTAGGCATAGGTACCGCGATTTATGACGCCCTTCCGTGAGAACTACTTACTCATCAGCCGCCTGCTGGAAACCTTGCGCGTGAGGAGGATGGGAGCTATAGGCAGGTTTCAGGATGTCATGTTACCTCCATCGTTCATTACCTGCAGCATTAATCTCTAGGATAAATGAAATAAAGTATACGAAGCGACAAAGCAGCCCATGAACTGCCCCGGCCACCTCATCTCAGGAAAACGAGTTCGTGAGACCTGCATAACATCCAAATCTCAACTCATTCTTCGCAATAACAGCGAGCCCGTGAGCAGTAGCGCCAGAGTTTTGGGCTAAAAGAAGAAAAGATTATAGCTGCTGCTGAAACGAGCCAAGACGACGTTAAGAGATAAGCGAGTCAGTTAAGATGGTCGATCATACAAAATTCTCAGGAACAGAGTAAATCAATCACATTTAGACAGATCCTCAAACCCTGCCTACGTACCAACCGATATCGCTCCCTTCAGCTGACAGCAAATGCACTGAAATAGACACAACTCCCGTTCTCTGAGGAATGAATGGCAGGCATTCTGCCCGAAAAATCCCGGTTGATATGGACTTGCAGATGGATAGCAGAGAGATAAAAAAAAGCAGCATGGAGGCAATGCAGCTAGACCTGGGAAGGTTTACAGAAGTACTGAAGTAAGTATAAATGAACGAGTACATATATGTATACTTCATCGCGTATGTGCATACTATATCGAGATAGCCGCATTGGTGTAAAAAGTAATGCTAGCGTTACTGTATTCCCATCCAAATCCTGACGATCACAAGTCTACCAGCCAATCAGTAAAAACTAGACCTTGTCTCTGGAAACAAAAAGGGAGAGAAAAGTCAAAGGAGCAAAAAATGGATGAAGAATTCTGAATGCAGATGAACTGATGAAATCGTATATAAGTACACTAAAATAAAACATTAAAAAGGGAAGAACTGGACTTTGGCATTCCCTGTCAAACAGAACTTTCGATCCCTCCTTGATCTGCAGGTGCAAGGTTCTTGCTGCGATGCCCTCTTTGCGCCTTATATTTTTTGACTAATGAAAATATCGCTATTCCCGTTCATTGCTGGGGGTGACGGGTGTGGCGATGGCCATCGACGCAGAAACCCGGTCGTTCTGTACTGACCCCAGGTTTTTCTGCATGGGGCCGATGCTTGGCTTTGCAGCAGAGGCGGAGATGAAGTTGTATTTGGAAGTTGATATCGCTGAGTGAGATGGAGGGTGAGAATGGTGAGAATGGGAGGAAAGGTAATTATTAGCAGATGGTAGGATCTTTTTCTGGCGGATTGCCATGGTCGTATCGATACTTGCCAGGCTATCACGGCTTACTTGACGAGACAAACTGGGTGTCAATCGTCCAACAAGCAGGCCGCGAACTCCACCCACCTTTCTTGCTGGCAGCTCGTTTGTCCCGGCAGTCAGCATGTATAGTAGATATTTGAGGTTTGGAAGCGTCTGGCGTAAATCAAGTACTCTCAAGCCTAGCCGATTCATCAAATATTCTATGTTTTTGTTGAGCAGAAATACTCCGTACTCAAATCGATATTGAGTGTTTGTCGGGTATAGCGGAAACGTCCGTTGAGCAAGGCCAGCTGAGATGGGGTCCTGGATGCTTGATGTTGACAGATATGGCCTGACAGGGTAAGGAAGAGGCACTGAAAGATAGAATGAGAGGAGATAGACCACGTGTGATGTATATCCCAACGCTCCCGCAACCACTTCCTTGTCAATATCGTCAAAGCAGGAATTCGGGAGAGCCAGGCCCCTGATAGTGAACCCAAGAGGCGTGCTATGGATAGGTTCTATAGGGTATGTGGCAATCAAGTCCTCACATATTCGGCGGATTTGCCCCATCGAGTCCTCAGCTGTTTTCTTCAAAAGTGCTTGGCTTGAATTTTTTGCCTCCTGGGCGCCAGAGAGGTAAGTTAAGCTATTGTTTTGGCTGAGGTGCCCTTCTGCCATAGCTTGTCTTCGTGCTTTTAAGCTCTTGATCATATTGTCCTTCTGGCTAAGGGATTGTCGAAGACGGTTTTTCTCTCCGGTAACTGCGCGTTTGACGGCTGAGAGTCTCTCATGAGCCTCTGAACTGCGACTTGAAACATCAAGCTGCGCCTGGTTTTCTTCCAGAACGGAATTTATCTGGGCCTCAAGTTTCTCTCTAGTTACCAAAGCGTCCTGGATGCAGTCATCAAAGTTTGCCAACTTCATCAGAGCATCGTATGATGACGTCTGTTGCTGTTCAGCCCTTAAGGACTCGCTTGTTCGTGGCTGGGTGGGCAAATGATGGTCAAGGGGGGGCGCGTCAGTCAGACTAGCGTATATCCCATCCGTAAAATGAAAAATGACAGAATTTGGAGGAAAAGGATGGCGAAAGTTCTCTAGGGTTTTCCCAATATACTGTAAGGACTTGAACTTCACACGGAGCTCCAGAAGTAAGAAGTACTCCGGCATATGGCTAGTACGAGCCCAAAGCTTCACAGTAGCGTCGTCCAACCGTGACACTGCCGGGCCACATATGTTCAGGTCAAAGTTTTTAAAGCTGGGATTCATAGCGTTCTCCACAAGTTCACTGATATAAACTGGTTCTGGAATACCCTCGCAATGAAGCGAAAACCAGCTGTCTGCCATTTTACTACTGGCAATTTGTTCTAGCCTGGACTGTCGCATTCCAGGGCTAGCTCCTACCCATGGTAGCGTACTCCTCCTCCGCCGCATGTAGAGTTCTTCTTTGCTACCACCTCCATTCTCACTGGCCGTAAGCTTCAAGTTCGGGGGAGATCGGGATAGCTTGAGATCAGTAGTAGAGCGCGAATGCTGGACGGTCCGACCTTCTCGCACCGCGAGAGCTCTTGCTGGAGACTGTAAAGTATAAGGGACACTTTGATCGTCTATTGTCATCCCACGGAGCTTATTTGCCGGAGGGCCAGACACCACAAGATTGCGGATGGCAATGCCTTGGAGGTGCCTCAGCTTGCGGTTCTATCTCAAGTTAGCAACGTAGATATCAAACGGCGAGAGGCAACGAAAAAAAAAAAAAACCTCACCGAAGGAAGAAGCCATGGGCCTTGCCGTCTGCTCCCAGCAAAGCCGTCGTCGCCTGGCTGCTCATCCACAATGGTCGACATGTTCGACTGGTTGTCTGCGGCGCTGCAAGCATAAGCATACCAAATGTTGCACCATCATTCCCAGGATGCTCAGGCTGTCTACAGGGCAACAGACAAGCCTATCTATCTCCACCGAGCGAGAACAGTAAAGCGCATGTTTTCGCAAGCAAGTATTGATATTTTGAATTGTTGGTGTTGGTTGTTTATTGCGCTTCTTAGTTACTCTTTTGCTTGGTTGGGATTGGCGACGTCGCTTTTTACCCAATCAGGAACTTTTTTTTTCTTCTTGAAGCTCCAAGCCAAAAAAAAAAAAAATCCGTCAACGTTTAACGAACAAACTAACGAACAACAAACGAACAACCGGCTCGCCGACATCTTACACGACGTCTAGAACAGATAATACTTGATAGATTGAGGTCTTGATTGATGCTCATTTCTGTCTAAACTCGAATTTTCCCTACCGTTCGATCACAATGGCCTCCGCGAAGACCGCGGCGGTTTCGAAGACTGTTCGTCTACTCGATCCAACAACTGCCGTAACATTACCTGCTGTACGGTTCCCAGGCACAAATGGAAAAGTGATCCAAGGGAAGGTCCGGTTTCCCAATTCTCAGGCGGCCAAAAACTTCGGAAGACAGGAGAGTGCCAGGTTAAAGAAAGCCCTTCAACACATCACTCATGGGAAGAATATCTTCGCCTACAGCAATTTCCGCACAAACCAAGTAGTCTACTCGCTCTCACGGTCCCTAGATGTATGAGTTGTTCCATCTTCTTGATTTCGCTGAGACCAAGGGACTTTGCTTCTAACAAAAGCCATTTTTACTATAGTCTCAAAACGTTCTATCACAGCTGCTGTACCACGGGAAGAAGACGGTTCCTGCTGGTCTTCGCAAGGACATGTGGGTTCCGTACTTCTCAATCCATTTCCATACTCCATCACTTGGCCTTGAAGCCTACAAACTATTGCGAGAGTTTTCTCTGCGACGACAGCTCGAGCCGCCAACCAAATTAATAACAAATTCCAAGGAATCGCTGGAGAAAAAACGGCCGCAAGATTTAGCTGAAGCTAAGAAATGGGATCAGACATGGAACCCTCGAATTGGGCAAATAATGATGAAGAAAGATCGCGCAAGAGTGTTGATGGACCAGAAAGCCACCAGCGTTGCGGACGCTGCTGCAGTCTTGACCATTCAGGCTAAGCGTGAACAGAAGCAACACGAGCAGGAGGAAAACGAAGATGAAAAGGGGAAACCACAGGAGAAGAAATTATCTCACAAGGCCAGGCGGCGTGTGATACGGGCACAAAAGCGACAGCAGGCGCATGAAGAGCTTGTTCGAAAGCGAATTAACGAGCTCGAGAAATCCATGTCAAACAGAGGCATCCAAGCTAAAGTTGATATGGAAGGTGAGCTGGCTGATTACAAGGTTGAAGAGGGGGCGGTTAAACTTCTATGGACGGATCTTCAGGACGCCCAGTATGCTTGCTCATGGCCTGATATTGTTCAGCACGGCGAGCTTGAGCCAAATAGGGAACATATTATCGGCAACGCTTTGAAGCTAGACAAGGAAGAGCATCTGTCATCGTCCTTGGAAGAAACACTCATCGAAAATGACGCCTCAACCAGTGCCCCCGCTGAGGAGCCAACCAAGAAGGGATTGAGGTTCTGGAAGAACTAGATCATTGATATAGGGCTATCTTATCGCCTACCTTGATGGCCCAGTTATCTTTTTTTTTTCTCCTGTCTACTCTTGGAATATTTTGCCCCCGTTCTGCGCTGGCAAAAGAAACCTGAGGTATAGCCACGGTTAGGTCTTGCTTTCTAGGTTTTTCTCGTGTCCCGCCCTTGATACGCTATATGCTTCCATATTCACTCATGTATCCCTAGGTCTTAAAAGCCATGTACAATATAAACCCATGTATAGACGTTGTTATTCCCACTTTGCATAACAGCTTGACTCTTTCTTGATGACTGCTTGCTTATAGTAGCCTACCACGTCTACCACATACCGGGGCCACCGCCATCATCCATGCAAGAAGCATCTCTACATACTGACATCCCCCTTGCTTGCCCTAATCAACGCTTGTTGCAAAGCTGCCAGGGCCGCCCAGGTTGGAGCAGCGATCTGCAGGCGGGTGCAATCTGAATTCGACAGAGCCAAGACACCAATATCAGGCATACACGAGCCTCTAGGTTTGAAGCACAGCTGGGGTTTCCAGGCCGATAATACTGTATAACTCCACCTTTTATTTTTTTTTTCTGTCACTCGATCTCGTTCGAAGTGGTGGGAAAACCAGAATCGCAAGATCATTTACTTGGACTGGATCCCAAACTTCACCTCTCAAAAGTGCCGAAGCTGCATCGATTGATTCACGATTTGTCAGGTATCTCAGTCTCGGCCGGCTTCGTTGGCATCAAGTCGTTCCAGCCCGTGTCTGCATGCCAGCACGGTGAGGCGGGCTATTATTGCTTGGGAATAGTCGATATTATTATATACGGGTGCTGTCTATGCAACTGGATGCAGTATGCGGGAACATCAGCATGCTTAAGTGTTGTACATGTCAGCGGCATGGACTACGGGTTCTTCACTTACATAGTACATCGATGCCGACCCTGATCGAGATATACGCCCGAACGGTGGCCGGACCGAACAAGCAAGCTCTAGAGACCTGGCAACTTGGTCATGAAAGACCATGAATATAATGATTTTGTTCGTATACGGTTAATGGACTATGCAAGTGGCTTAGTTACACATACATACTATGTATGTATGCCATGGGAAAAATATCCGGCTCATCAACCTCTGCTACAATTATGTACATAGTAACTGTGTCAACCTATACCAAGAGGAGGGGGGGATCCTGTATCAAGTCTTGCAAACTAGCATGGACTCGAGACATAAGGTATGGAGTACTTGTCTGTTGAAGGTAAATATATACGAGCAGACACGCCAAGGAGCTTTCTCCTGATTGTCCAAGTTTTCCCTCTCTGTTAGGCGATAACCTGTGACTTCAGAGAGATATAGCAGTTCCTGATATGGTGTGTGGGTTATGTTTCGTGACGATTTGATTTGATTTCTGGCCTCCAACAAGGACAGTTAATCGAAGAGGGAAAGTTTCAAAATGGCGAGATACCATGTTCGAGGGGGGGCTTATCTCCTTGCTTCGAAACCCTCAAAATGTGTTTTATGAAGACCAGCTTGCCAGCGAGAGGCGGCGATGATATAGTTTAATATGATATCGTGGAGTATATATATTATGGGATATGGAAATAGAGAATGGCTACCATCACCTGATACATGTCTTTAAATCTTGAAATGACGTATAGAGTGTGATCGGTATAGGCGTTCCTGTAGGCTGATTTAAAACGCAGCTCCCATGAAATGGAGGAAGCCGAAACGGCGTGGCGGTATGGGCATGACGGAGTGGCTTGCTGGGGGCTGAACGGTCTACTGGGTTGCAAGCCGGACCTTGCCTGGATACTAGCTGGGAAGACTGTGGATAAAACCAGAAGATAAGGAGAAAAGAGATGTAGAATTTCTACTTATGCACAGAGAAAAGAAATCCATTTATCTACCAAATGCCCAGGCATGCGCACAGTGTTGTCTTCACCCCAGCTCCATACCCCTGTTCACCATTAAATGGAAATGTAAGAGGTGTAAGAGGGTAGAAATAAAGCGGAGAAGAACAGAAAATTTGCTAGAAAACAAAAAGCAGGTAACTAGTATCTGATGAGAAGCGGAGGGAGGGGGGGGAAGTATCATCAGATCCAGTCGATAACATATCACTCCCGAGGCCGTGGCCGAATGGGTAGATATATTTCAAGTGCCAGAGACCAAGGAGTATGAATAGGGAAATATAGGCGTAGGGGAGAAAAAGGGGAGGGTGTCAAGACAGGGTTGGCATGCAAATCAAAAAAAGTAGTGAAAATAAAGTAAAAGGCATATATCTCGTTGGCGGATAGCATTATGACATGGCCCATTCTATCGTTATGGGAGTGTGCGATCCTGAGTATTCAGTAGTCTGGAATAGACATGTTGATACTCCTGATTCAATAAGAGCGTAAGCTATTCAGAATTGGTTTTGTTGTTGTTTTCACTGGCTGGTTTCTGCTGGTTATTATCAGATGCTGAATTCTCAATGGTAGCCTGCTCTTCGCCGTCGGTGTTAACCTTGTTCTCGTTGTTGTTATTTTCGGCCTCAGCTGCGTTTTTCCTGGCCATCTCCACGATTTTATCAGCTTCGCTCATCATCTTTTTAGAATTGCCAGGAGTTAGGTTTGGTTCTTTAGTAGAAGTCTGCCGGCTTGCTTCCTCTGCGGTGGCTTTGGTATCAAAACGGACAATCATACACGAGAGATTGTCGGTACTGAAGCGTGAAAGAGCGTAGTCGACTAGGATCTTTGACGCAACCTGGGGGTCCTTGGTGTTGCGCACCAAATCAACAGCCTCTTGGTCAGAACAAACATCCCAGAGCTAAAAGAGTGAGTTAGTATGGACTAAGAAGGAAGAGATTAATGCTATAGAGACGTCCACTTACCCCGTCGCAAGCTAATATTAAAAACTCGTCAGTCTCTGGCTGTATGATGGTTTCCGTGGTGAATGGATGCCCAGTGACAAGATCCTTCATATAGGTATCTCCTAAAGCACGGGTGACAGCAAGGACACCGTTGACACGGTTGTTCAAAATCAGGCCTCCGGCATTGGTTATTCGTAGACCTTCGTTTTCATCGCTACCTTTGTGGTCGTACGAGAGCCGTAGTGCCTTGCCGTTACGACATAGAATAATTCTGGCATCACCAACGTTGGCGGTATATAAAACCCTGGAGCGAATGGGATGGTCCTCTGGCGGTGATATGGCAGAAGCATCTTCCGACAAGCTCTGCTTCGATCCCTCTATACTGCCGCCTTCAGGATCGTCCGCATTCCCCTTCTTCGTTGATTCAGCAATTGACGCTGGGGGACTGGGGAGCCGGTCTTCCCATCTTAATACTGCAATAACGGCAGTACAGCCACTATTCTTTAACGGCAGCTGTTCTAGTTGCTGGTCTACGGAAGTGAAGGTCTGATCGAGGAGCATGGGGACTGGAGCACTGGGATTCTTTCGTATAGTGTCTTCAAGAATCAGATGTAGCTTCTTGCCGCACCACTCTGCAGCAAACGAACCAGCATGGCCGTCAAATATGGCAAAATAGCCATTGTCAGTTTCCACCACCTCAGAGGCCGTATCGTTATTAGACCCGCCGTCGTTCTGCGCTGCATCTTCAGACTGCTGTTTCGTGGGGGAAAGAGGTGCACCTAGGAAATTGTAGAGGTATGCATGCGTGTCTTCCATCGTTCTTCGGCATTTTCTATTTCTATCTTCTGTCACTCCGACCTGGAAGGAAGAGCGCGAGGTGGGCATGGATTCGCCAGCGGAGTTGTTCAACGACCCCTGGGGCACGATCAGAGCTGGGTCCATCTTCCCTAGAATCTGCAGAGGTGTCTGCGCGATCTGAGACTGCTGCTGCGCCTCCTTTGGCGGACTCTTGGTGCTGGAGAGGTGCAGAGAGTTCTTCGCGCTGGTGAAGAGGGCTGCAGCTTTGGTGACGGAGCTGTTTCGGCGTTTCTTATCACCGGGTTGGTTCCAACGTTCACACGCACGCTTGGAAGAGTCAGTGAGAGAGAAGTGGCGTTTCTCGCGGCTGGAGGATGTGTTGTCGTCTGGAGGAGTTGTGTGGATCGTAGGTGGTGAGGATGCAGCAACTGCAGCAAGGGAGGAGTCGGCTTTCTTCTCTTTGTTAGGGCTCGAGAAGCCACCGAACATTCTGTTCAGGATCCCGCCCTGGTTCGACAGACCTGCTCGCTTCCTTCCTGCCAGCTTGAACTGCCCTCCGCGTTGTCTGGGAGAAGGGGGGGAGGGGGGAGGAGGCGGAGGAGGAGGCGAAAGTGCAGGTTTTCCGCGTCACAGAAGATTCTGGCCAGCAACCGAACTAGCTGCAGCTACTCCGGTAGACAAGAGAGAGGTTAGTAAACGATGTGAAATGTATGTATATACGGGAGGACCAGGTTAAAAAAATGGGCTGGGGTCAAGAGAAGCGTAGAGGACCTTGCTTCTGCTTGCTTTGGACTCCAGAACCGCGCATAAGGCGTGCCGCAAATGACGTTTCGGCCCCTCCAAACTGGCGCAGAAGAAGAAAAGAAGAAGACAAAGAATCATACCTGGAAATCGTTTTTATAAGCTGTTAAGAGAGAAAAGTAGTTTACTGTGTGTGATGGACTTGTTTTTCTTATGAGAGATTCTTGACTTTTTGCCTTAATTTTTTTGATCGAGGTCAGACGAGAAGAAGAAGTTGAATTAATATTTTAGTGAATTTGAACTATTGTTTAGCGCCTCGCAAGGCTGCCGCGGAGGACTTTTTGTTCACAGGAGATGAGAGTGAATATGCGCTTGGTAGCGCATGCCAGGAGTTCATTGTTCATCTAGAGCAGAGCTGGTGCAGAAGCTGGTGATATGGCGGATGGTTTAAGGGACATGAGAAGCACCAAAGGGCATAGAACTTGCCGTTATCACAGTAAACCACTCGATATACATGGCTCCTTTTCTATGTCTGATCCTTGCATAGACAAGGTGTAAGTGTGGCTCTGTGTCTTTCTCCTTGTATCTGTCTCTTGCTGTCTCTGTCTACGGCTGCTGCTGACCTGCTCCATAGACTTGTATATACATCTTCCAAGATGAAAACTATTTGACCCCCCCGGCTCCATATAATCTCGATCTAGACCCAAAGATCTTCTGTTTCCTGGTCATGGGGAGGCTATCCTCTTCGTTACGGCTATATACAAGAATGTACAAATATCCGCGGACGAGAAGGCACCGATTCTAGTCCTAGGGCCCCTGGTACGTTACATCTTTCTGGAAGAAAACTAGGCCGAAATCCATCGCTTGCATGCAATCCATGCCCTGGTCGAAGAGAAAAGAAAAGTCACGCTGACTTCAGGCTGGATAAATATACCCCGAGGGCTTATTGGCGATATATCTGGGGGAAGAGGAGGAGGAAGAGAAAATTCTCCAGGATTCACCCTGGTTGAACGCTTTCAACTACTCATACCCCACAAAGTCAAAGCTGATAAATAAATATTATTAAAATACAAAAAGAAGCGGTGGCAAGAGCACTCTGGGGATGAGGTAGCATTCTGGAGGGGGAGGGCCTTTCTCCTCTTTGATTCTTTGCTGGTATCAATCAGCAGCCCCGTATGGGCAGATCAGGGGGGATGCTATGAGAAACTCGTAACATGCAAAAATCCTAGGACAAGGTATTATTAGTACTTCGTACTTGCATGGCAGTTCCTTCTTGCTTTTATTTAACGGAAAAAAAGGTAGTACATAGTATAAGTTAGTGTGTGTACAAAAAGCTGGCACACAGACTCTAGTTGAAAAAAAAAATAATGTTATACATCCTGGATGTTAATCGAGTTAGTTTCTGCTATTATGGGCCTGTTCCCATCCATGGTTCATGTAACTCCGTAACTCCGCTGCTAGAATAGGTATCTCTCTGGGTGTGGTATGCCTATTTTGTACATTTCACTTTCGTAGACTGTCCAGTCTGGCTTGCAAGTCTTCGTCATCCGTATTCCCGCCACCACCAACTGCCTGGGCAACTCGGGCCTCCTTGACTGCCGCTCCTTGTATCCCACTTGGTGTCTCTCCAAGCTGGATCAAAAAAAAAAAAAAAAGAAGAAAGTCGTTAGTCGAGTCTACATGTAAGGTCAAAGGAACGACGAGAACCGAACATACCGCCTGTCCGAGATCAACACCGATTTCGTCTAGTACCTCCTTGACGATTTCTTCCCCTTCCTCCTCATCGTCCAGACCAGTTGCTTCGTCGACGGCATCATCCATCATCTCTTGCCGCTGGTCCATGATCTCGTTTTCTCGCTCAAACTCCATAGCAATTCTCTGCAGGGCAGGCAGATTCATCTGCTTGTTCATACTTCCTAGCAGTATCGTCGCCCCTTTCATCGACTGCGCCATCTGCTCATTACTTCGGACGGTCTGGAAACAGTTAATCCCAAGCCTGATAGAAATGGGGTGGAGCCTAGCTGTCTCGTACCTGAATCCGTAGTGATATAGCCTGCAGTTGCGTCCGCATCGAGTAGAACTTTTGAATATACCTATCCAGTCTCGTCTGATTAGACCAGTATTCTTTTCACTTCTTTCCCCCTATAGAGGGAATTCAAAAGGAATAAGTATTACCGTCTTGTCCGGACCAAGTCCTTTGCCTGAATCTTACAAGCTCCTATCTGTCCGTTCTTTGCGCTCTTCTTTATGTCTTGTACGAGCTTCTTCTCCTGGTTCTCGAGCTTCACGCGCTCCCTGTCCAGCTCTCTCTGTGTCTTCTCCAGCGCTCTCTGGTGTTTGCGCAGCCTCTCTGCGGGGGTCATCCGCTTCCCAAACGCCCACTCGATGATCTAACTACGGTCAGCAAGACTTCCTTTTGCTATGATGTCTGTATACACACTCTGCCGTCAACTCACATTCATGGTTCCAACTGTCTAACAAGGTCTTCCTTTCTGCTTCTATCCAGATGTCTCTTCCTCTTCTTCATCATCTTCATTCTCCTTCGGTGCAGTGACGTCGAAGGCCCGGACCGGAACTTCTTTTTCCCGCAAAAACTATTTTCCATTCCTTTTTTTTATTTCTTTTATTTCCATCGCCACGAAGGAAAAAACCACCGTGAATGCGGATATCAAGTAGAATTCGCAAAGGGTGGCTTGGATGATATGTGCATAGTGACGCTGAGTCAACAGGTTATAGCCTAAATCGTCAGAATTGCATCGTCACTATGAGCCAGGACTACTTTTCCCAAGACGCGGGTTCTTCCGCCGGAGAGGGATCCTCAAGATCAACCGAACGACAGTCTCCTCCCCCTCTCGATGAACGACCGCCTAGCCAGGTTCCTGGATATATGATAGTTGGATCAGGTCCTGCCTCGGGGAACGCGACTTCACTGATGTCTACTTTGCATCAGGACTCCGGATACGGTGGAAGCATCATCGATGGCAGTTCGGATATGGGCTCGGAGTCCTGGCAAGCCGGGTTAATGGAGGACCGTCCTACGCCTTCACATACGCCTGTCGGGCCCGGCTATATGAGCAATGCAGGTATGATTCTACCGTCCTTCTATCTCTTCAGTTCTATATCAGTTGCTAATTGGTTCGTTTTCAGCGCAACATGAAAGACAGGTTATCGCGAACCACGTTCACCAGCTCGTATAGTACGAATCACCTACCCTCTTTGTCTGCGCGTATATGATGTGCTAATATATACCAGCAACTCCAACCGAACTAAGCTTGGTCGATCTGTTACTCGAGCTATTGAGCTGTTAAAGGAACTTCAAGAAATCAACCGCCAGTGGCCGGCGCATTACCCCTCTATCCAAAATACAGACGCTCCGCCACATAACAGGCACGTCCTCTCACGAACACGGTCATACGAAGAAAACAGAGAAGAAGGCACTGAAGCTGATCCACGCCCTGGCTCAATTCGTCGTACGGTTACATCTATCAGCGATGCCGCTGAATCGAGTAAGGCCGCAGAGCACAGGACACCTGCCGAACCAAGGCTGGTAACGCCACAGATTGCTCGAGAATTCTCCATTTTAAAACTGGATTTGAAGCTTGGCGCTCTATCTCCAGCGGAGCTTGTCCATTCGTTGGAGAAAAATTCTATAGCTTCACTTCTCGATGGGAAAGTCAGTCAAAGCATAAAACACTTGCTGGCCTTGCGAGAGAGGATAGAGGATACGTCTAGCAAAGTTCTCATTACCGGAGACCTTAATGCAGGAAAATCAACTTTTTGCAATGCCTTGTTGCGCCGCAAAATTCTACCTGAGGACCAGCAACCCTGCACTAGCATTTTCTGTGAGGTGCTTGATGCCAGAGAAAACGGAGGTGTGGAAGAGGTACATGCCATTCCAAAGGATAAGCAATATAACAGAAACGACGAAAGCACATATGACGTGTACTCTCTCGCCGATCTCGAGTCTATCGTTGTGGACAACAGCAAGTACATGCAGTGCAAGGTATATGTCAAAGATGTCCGAACAATTGATGAATCTTTACTCAACAATGGAGTTGTCGACATTGCCTTGATTGATGCCCCAGGTTTAAATTCTGACTCGGTCAAAACTACTGCGGTATTCGCGCGACAAGAAGAAATTGATGTTGTCGTTTTTGTTCTTTCCGCTGCCAATCATTTCACGCTCTCGTCTAGTGAATTCATCAGAAATGCCGCTCATGAAAAGGCTTATATTTTTATAGTCGTCAACGGATTCGATAATATCAGGGACACAGCTCGATGCCAGAGAACTATTTTAAACCAAGTGGCTGCTTTAAGCCCACACACTTACAAGGAGTCAGCAGAGCTGGTTCATTTCGTATCTAGCAATGCCATACCTGTCGCACCTCTCGGCGGTAGTGGAGGGGATGATGGCGACGATGATGATAATGATGATGACCCCAAGGGCAAGGGTAAAGACAAGGAGAAAACAAAGGAGAAGCTGCGTGATTTCGAAAACCTGGAGGGTGCTCTACGGCGGTTTGTCTTGGAAAAACGATCTCGATCCAAGCTTGCTCCGGCTAGAACTTACCTGCTCAACATACTCTCCGATCTTAACGTTCTAGCCTCTGTTAACCGTGATGTTGCTTCATCTGAACTCGAACGTGTGTCTGCGGAGCTCGGTAAACTTGAACCTGCATTTGAGAAGAGCAAAATTAAACGGGCAGAGATCTCTGAGCAACTGGAACATTCAATTACAGCCTCCGCCAATGATGTATACAATTATACCCGCAAGACTCTCGCAGAAAAGATATCGACAGTCGCCCAGTCAGATTTGGGTGTGGACTACCCAGGCCTTCTTTCAGTCTTCCGGTACGCCGAGGATGTCAAATTAGCTATGCTCGACCAAATCACTGCTTGTGTCTATCAATGTGAAGACTATTCCCGGAAGAAATGCGTAGAAGGCGTCAACATGATTCAGAGCCTTGGATTGCTCCATGTCGGCGAGAACAAATTCCCAAGCCTGAACTTCCGATCCGAAATTATGTTCAGACAACACCGTCATGAACTAGCACGGCAAATACATACCGAACTCGATATGTGGGATTTCATCGACCTTCCTGGCTTCTGGGAACGACAGGAGAAGGTAGCAGGCACCGGTATGGCTATGACAGTACTTGGTGTGCTTGGAGGAAGAGCATTGGGTGGAATTGGCTGGCTTGATGGTGTTCTTGGTGCCGCTAGGATGCTTGGTCCAAATAATATGCGCAAACTATTAGTACCCGGCTTGTTAGGCGCAAGTAAGTTCTCTTTATTTTGGAATATTTACTTACAGTCTACTTACTCACTTACCACTAGCACTATTGGTCGGAGCGTACATTTTGTCCCAGGTCCCAACCTCCCTGCCATCAAGCTTATCTCGAAAGATAGCTGTCACACTTTCAGAGATGGACTATATCCATTCAAACGCCAGCCGTATATCAGGAGAGGTTGGGCGAGTACTTCGTGTTCCCGCAACGAGATTGCAGTCAACGCTACAAATAGCCACCCAAGAACTTTCTAAGCGGAAGGAAGAAGTTGAGAAAATTAAAGCAGAGAGCGAAGTTGCACGGAAATATTTCTCAAACCTCTTCCGCGAAAGTACTGAACATAGGAGAACAGTGGAACAAATCGACCTGGATGCACAAGCCCCTCCTGCTGCCGCATAAGGGATTTGATCTTTACTCACTCTATCTACCAAATATCCATTTCATTTTTGACCCTGTATAGTACTTTATCCCACCCCTCCATCCTCTCTTACTCGTCACCTCATGGCCCTCTCTCCTTTTTCCCTTTGTGTTTTCTTCTTCCCTTTTTTTATTGTCAGTCACAAACATACCCCAAGGACTGTTCTGTTTATGATTTTATGATTGGTTTCTATTTATTTTTATGGAGGTGATGCTGGCGTTTTAGGATAAACAGGAACTACCAAAACCCCAAGGCCCGGTACATTCCATGCCTTGTAATATTTCCACTTCACATTCCCCTTCCTTACTTAGCAGCATTTTTGGTTTTTGCGTACTGTTAGAACATCCAAATTGCAATGGATACATTGTGATATTTGCTTCCAAAGTTCCTATACCGCCTAGACGGTAAAAATGTGGTCATTTAGAACGGGGACGAAGGAAGGCCAGAGCAAATGCAAGGGTGTAGTAATCAAATAAGAATGAGTTGTCCTGAATCCGTATCCGCAACAAATAGCACCCTGGAAACTCCGTCATTACGAAAACAAGCATTATATGAACAAGGCTAAAAAAGGGCAATGGACATCTATTCTATCCAACTCCTTCGGTGCTTTAGGTCATATTTACTAACCCTCCGATTTGCGAGCCCTTGTCTTCCTCCCGCCGCCTCGGCCATCCTGTAACTTCCCAATGATTAATTTCTTGCCTACTCTTGAGCCGTGGGACCCGTTGCCTTCTTCGGCTTCGTTCTCCCTCTGAGTTTGGTTGCTGATCATTTCACGCATTGCTACAGCATCTGGATCATCGTAGCCAAGCTGCGTTAAAGGCAGTGGTTCTTCCTCACCAGCGGTTCTCTCTGCAAATTCTCCGTTGGCAGAGTTGCTCTGGAATAGAGCAAGCCTGCGTTGTAGCATTTGTTGAGCTTCTATCTGTTCAGGACGGGTAATGTTACATTTTTTAGGGGCCGACGAGATGAAGCTTGGGGCGTTGCTTGGTGCTTTTGTCGAAGGACTATCTAACCCGTCGACTATACTGCCATACCCGTCTTCATTTAACGTATCTATTGAGCTTGCCCTAGATACACCCCGTACATCTGTCGTTGTTAGGGTGGAGCAGGATGAGCTTGCTCTGCCGAATAGCTTTCGCCGCCTTTGGGAGCGGATGGGGACTTCTGTCTCGGTGGCAGAGTTTTGGGCGCGCGATCTTTTCTGTTTTAGGAGTTCACTGATTGCAGTGTTGAGAGATATTCTGGTCTCTGAGCTGTTTGCTGTTTTGGACATGGGATCCCGTTGTGGAAGAGGTGCAAGAGAAAGTGGTGGAACTGGTTGAATGGCTTCTTTGGATGGAGACGGGGAGCGAGAAGGATTTATTGGGAAATTCGTGGAAACTTCTTTTAGCGCAGTTGTAGGCTGGTTGTTAGAAGTCTCAGCCTCTGGCTTTTTGCTGGTTTCTCTATCTCCATCTTGGGGTGTATTATTGGTATCGGGATCCGATGAGTAGTGGTTGAGAGGTGCAGGGCTGCTGGCCTGTTTCTCTCTAGGCGGCGGTACTGATAGCCTATGCCCTCCTTGAGAAATTGGTCGCTTGTCAGGGATCAAATATGCTTGGTATGGCTTCTTTTCCCCAGTTTGAACTGATATCCATAGCCAATCCGCCATCACTGGGGGTATATTCCATTCAAACACGTGTCTTAATTTTTCTGGGCTTGGGTTTGAAGTGTTACAAATAAGTACAGAGGCATTGGCGGTGAGATATTCATCATACGTCGCGCCTAACTATGGTTAGCATCTAACGCTTTACTTAATATATCTCATAAAAGTCCCTACCTAGAAGATTAACAAGTTTGCAAAGGTGGAGTAAGTCAATTCCAGTAAAGCCGGTCGAGCATATTCTCATGCCTTGGAATGCTATATAATGTTAATATAAGAAAGACTATTGCTAGGGGATAGTTCATAGACGAACCTGGAATGGGAAACTTTGGAAAAGGGGTACTGGTTATGTGAGCCTCTGGTGCAACAAATGCCTGGCTGCGTAGGCATCGTTCAATCCACATGTCTGTAACGATTTCAACTTCGTCCAAATCTTCATCAATCTCCGGAATGTCCCGCCGAGGTAAGTTGTATGGAACAACCATGAACAGCTGATTGTCATGCTTTAATAAGTCGTCTAATGATGGCGAAATAAGAGCATCTTGCGCAAAAAGATGGGATTCTAATATACGCGTCTAATAGTAGTCAGATATCAGAAGCTAGGGAGTTATTAGGGCAGATAATTACTTACTTGCTCAGTTGTAAAACCTATAATGTAAAACCTGCAATTATCCCAAAAGCCCCTTTCTTGCTGCTCAGCAATGGCTAATGCTGGGGAAGGTTTAATCTCGCGTTGTACACTATCATGCCTGTCAGGGAATGTGGTCTCACTTGCAAAGGATTTGGTATCTGGCAAATTTGGGCGTGAATTTGCTGTCAATTGCTGGCTTCCGCCATACTGAGAGTTGTCATTGGTCTCAACAGTTGTGGAAGGGTTTGGGACAATAGCAGACCATATGCCCTCAGTTTGGCCGCCTAGCTTTATGCTAGCAACTCTACGTAGCTTTCGAGAGCGCTGAGGGAAAACGTCCTGGGGTTTCACTATTTTCTCACTAATAGCCGGCTTAGATCGATTCCATGCGCCGATACCCTGCTCTTCCACTGGAAGTAGAGGATCGTACAGAGCTTCATCGAGAGCCATAGTGCGTTGAATGCTATCCTCAAGCCATTTTAAACTCACAACTTTTACTCCCCATAGAATCGCAAATTTGTACTTTTTACCTTCACCTACACGTGCGACCAGATGGGTAACGGTCTTTGTCAAATCTTTGCGGAATTCACCACCATTCTCACTAACGGTTTTTTCGAGATGACTCCTAAAATCCGCTTTCAAGAATCAGTCAATTCTGTGCAGGCAAAGTACGCAGTTCCCAGGAATACATACTGTTTTCAAAACCGGTAATGCATATTGACAGCCCGAAAAATGTGGGAAGCCGATATTCAACCTCCAGGGCATGAATGTCAGTGTCCCCACCAAGAATCCATGATGATCGAACAGCCTCCACCCATTCAGCTCGGAGAACTTTCACATCGGTTCGTTCTTTGGCCACATATTTATATTTTGGAGTGTTTATATCACCGACTATGAGGTGAGTGACATCGGAAGTAAGATCAAACTTGTGAATTGCACCCATCTGGCAAGCTACATCGGCCAATTGCGACTGTAATGTGGTCAATAACACTCTAAAGCCAGCACTTTAAGGTACGATTTTCAGCACTTACTCGATGCTCTGCCAGAATCGAAGTGCAGCAAAGAATCACCCCAGCAAGAGGCAGCTCCTTGGCTTTCATGATGTTAGCCTTCTGACAACAGAGGCTCGAGGGGTAAGAAAAACATAGGTGTCTTACTGAGTTCTGCATCTTGGGCCATTCTTCATTGTCAAGGGCCCGTATACTCATCCTCTGGGATAAGGATCGGGAGGCCCTCTAGGTCGTAGAATTTACTGTTGCCTTTTTTCTCTTTTTATATTATTCAAAAGAAAACGCGACATGACGAAATACTTAGAATGTAAGCTGACATAAGCATTATCTTATCAATCACGTGACTAAACGCGAGCGCGACTTTCCAAAAGTCCGAAATAGGAAAAGAAAAAATGCAACTACAAGATCAATTTCTATACAGGACAAGACAACATTGTGAACAATTATATAATTCCTCTGCGCTGATTTTTTGGATACCTGGCTATCCCGGGTCTGTCTTTGCAGATTGACGGATACCGTTCAGCTATTTACATGCTTCGTTCGCTGTGGAGATCGAGGACGCTCAAACCCCTTACACATTTGACCTCAGCTCTCCCACGCAGGTTCGCGGGACTCTCAACGTATGCTCAGCCGTTGCAGCCGGAAATGTTTACCAGAGCAGTTCAAGAACATCCTGAGCGGCAAAAGAAATCAAATGCATTGCAACAAAACCGCGGCCGACTTAATGCTACCGTAGCATCTCATAACGTGCAAACGAATTCCTTGCGAAAGACCGATTTCACATCAGAATTCAATAGAAGTGCCTTGGATGATCTTCACGATGCCGTCTTCTTCGGAGAAAACGAATCCGAGAACGATGACTTTCTTGAAATAGAGAACGCAGTTTCGAAACACACCCAAACACAGAGCATATCCCACAGTTCAACCTTTGCAGAAACTAATCCACGAGCAAACGATAGCACTGTCCCTGCAACGGCTATACCTTCCAGCAGCATTCCAATACCTTGGTCATCCTCTCCACCGCGTGAGCCTGAATGCCCCAATCCAGCCCAGCGGCAGCAGAAAAAAAGAGCTCTGCCTTGGGAAGATATTACCCAAGAGAACAGCGGAAAATCAGGGGCCTACTCGGACTATTTGGCAGCTAATTCAAGCAACGCCTTTAAAAAGCCCATGGTTAATAGCTACCGTGTTCCATCAAAGCTACAACAACCATTACCCCACAGTGAAGTCATTGATGCAGAACAGACCTCTATAAATAAGGAGAAAAAGCACATGCCATGGGATAAAACCTTTAGTGCCGTTAAGGAGGAACAAAAGGAACTAAGAAAACAGATGAAAATTAAATCTTTGGCTTCATCGGAGAAGAGACTCAATACCACGCTGCGGCCATCAAATACCCGGGTTCCGTCTATTTTTTTTAGTGAGGAACAGAACCAGGTTATTGAAACAATTGTAAAAAGGGGTAAAAGTGTTTTCTACACAGGTTCCGCAGGAACGGGTAAATCTGTGTTGATGCGGGAGGTTATTAGACAACTACGACTGAAATATCGGCGGGACTTGGATGCTGTTGCCGTCACGGCATCTACGGGGCTAGCAGCCTGTAATATCGAAGGAGTAACCCTTCATAGCTATGCTGGGGTTGGGCTTGGGAAGGAATCTACTCAGGAGCTTGTCAAGAAGGTTTGTTAACCAGCCACTGTATCCCTGATTACTGGCTAAGAACTTCAGGTGAAACGAAACCAAAAAGCCAAAAATCGCTGGCTGAAAACCAAGGTACTTATCATTGATGAAATATCTATGGTTGACGGAGACTTTTTCGACAAGCTTGAAGAACTTGCCCGTAAAATTAGAGGTAATGGAAGGCCGTTCGGTGGCATCCAGCTCGTTACCACTGGTGATTTTTTCCAACTGCCACCTGTCCCTGAGGGCGGCAAAGAAGCGAAATTTGCATTTGCAGCAGCAACATGGAATACATCAATCCAACACACAATCCTCTTAACGCAAGTGTTCAGACAGAAAGACCCTGATTTTGCGAATATGCTGAACGAAATGCGACTTGGCCGCCTAAGCCCCTCCGCTATTCAAGCATTCAAGGAACTTTCACGACCATTGAATTGTGGTGATAATATAGAGGCCACAGAACTGTATGATACTAAATTCCAGGGATATATTCATCTGAAGCTAATAGTTATAATTGACAGATTTCCTACAAGGGCAGAAGTGGACCTAGCTAACTCGGAGAGAATGAACCGCCTTTCAGGGTCAGTTATGACATTCCATGCCGCTGATTCTGGAGCAATCAAAGATGAGCAAATTCGGGCCAAACTGCTGAGTAATTGCATGGCACCACCGACTATTCACCTCAAAAAAGGGGCTCAGGTGATGCTCATAAAAAATAAAGATGAGACACTAGTGAACGGTTCTCTAGGGACGGTTATTGCATTTATGGACGAAAGTGGATTCGAAAACCACATAAGGGAGGGTCAGAAATATGACGGCGCCTTTAGTAACTTTGATGGAGAGACCGACTGGGGAAAGCAAAAAATAAATAATATGGCTTTTGACCAAAAGTCTGGATCTGGAGGTGTCACCACAGCCAAGCAATATCCTCTGGTTGCTTTTATATTGCCGGATGGATCGGAGAGGCAGCTTTTATGTATGCCTGAAACCTGGAAAATTGAACTCCCCAACGGCGAGGTTCAGGCTCAAAGACAACAAGTTCCACTTATCCTTGCATGGGCTTTATCAATACACAAAGCTCAAGGCCAGACCTTACAGCGTGTTAAGGTTGACCTTGGAAGAGTGTTTGAAAGAGGCCAAGCTTATGTTGCTCTCAGCCGAGCCACGTCGAAGAATGGGCTTCAGGTGTCTCGGTTTGACCCGAAGAAAGTCATGGTACACCCCAAAGTGACACAATTCTATCAAAGTTTATCGAGTATCAACGATATAAATAGCGGAAATAAGCCCAAGACGACTCGAGAAGGGAATAACTCAGACCCGGAAGACGATTTTGATTCGATAGCTCAGTACGTTTAGTACAGCATGTATCTTAGGCTTGCTACCTAACTAGGTGTATAGTACAGATAGAACTTTAATGATGATATATGTAGATATCTGATTTAATGATAGTTGAACTTGTGAATAGGCTAAATATTTAATGAACGAGAAACACGGAAGGTTATAAATGAGATATAATCAGCTCGCTGGTTAGAGCATTCGTAGGTATTAGCAAGGATGACATCCATAATATAATAGGGAAATATAGATATAAGAAACTTCAATTGTCGATAAAATGAAGGAAAATATAAAAAGGACGCAAACAATCTGGTGCCCCCTTCGACTTTGGATAATCTGTACCCAAACCTAACCCTTTTACTCCTGAATAACCCCATAACAAGAAAAGTGAAAAGCCCTCAGTTCTATAGATTCCTATCGTTCATCCTCTAAATAATCGCTCGTGATGGGAGGATGGGTAATTCTTTGGATAGCTTGATAAGTGCGATTGTTCCACGTAGGACTGTCGCCGGTTACCATCAAGTCGCTTCATTCGGTCATACTTCTCATATGTATCTAAAACGCGTTGAGGCGTATAGACTCCTAGTTGAGCATCAGGCTGCTCTGGGTTGCTTCTGTTCAGGCTTTCGGCTAGCAGACGAGCCTCGACCTCCCTCTCAATTGATCGCTGACTTTCCAAGTGACGCCGGTAAATCCTTTCTTTCTCCTGCTCCAACTCCCACTCGATCTCAGAGCGTGAGGTGCGGGCATGAGGTGAGCCGGGGCTATATGGTCGTGGGATACGTTGATGGGAGTTCAATGTTTGATGTCGAGAAGGATACGAAACGGACTCGGGCCGAGTTAGTTTTCCAGAGCGGTTGTGCATGCTATTGGATGGTAATATTTCGATAGACTCGGTTCTATATCTTGATCCGTGCTTCCCGGGTAGTTCGGCTAGGTAGGACTTCTCAGATGGACGCTTATGAGTACGATAACCTAAAGAGTGGCGATATTTTTGATATCCGTTACGGTCACTGCTTTTGCTTTTTTCACGGCTATGATTCTTGGGAGACCGGCGACACTGGAATTCATCATCAGGAGAGAAATCACACTTGTCATATTCTCCAGAAGAAAAGGAGGCTTCAGTGACGGAGCTTGCGTTCTCTGGGTCGAATAAATATGAATTATAGTCTGAAGCATCGCTCTCTTCTTGAAGCCACTTTTCCACTATAGCCTGATCTCTTCTAATTTTTTCCGAGTTGACGACCTTAGGTGGAAGTTGCTTCTGCTTGCGCGGTTTATGAAGAGGTTTGTTCAGAATACGGGCATCTTGTGGTGGCGGTTCTTGTCTAGGGTGGTCCTGTCTCGGATGCTGTTGGCCTTGGATTAATACTTGAGTATCCGGAGGGAGTTCTTCATTTCCATTTCGGGGGCGGTGAGAATAATATTGCTGACGTATCTGTTTCTGGGGTATCTCTTGCTGAGGTACTTGTTGCTGAGGTACTTGTTGCTGAGGTACCTGTTGCTGAGGTATTTGTTGCTGAAGTATTTGTTGAGGTATCTGTTGCTGAGGTACCTGTTGCTGAGGTACCTGTTGCTGAGGTACCTGTTGCTGAGGTACCTGTTGCTGAGGTACCTGTTGCTGGTGTCCCTGGTTCATGAACTGGATGTTCCTGTGCGGTTGTTCATTCCCGGTATGATTATGATGCTGGTAGGGGTTGCGGTGATCCTGACTGAAGATCTGAGTTCCTGGTATGATTTCTTTCTGCTCGGAAGGGTGAGCATTTTGGCGTAGCTGTTCGTGTTGGGGAACTGGATGACTCTCCTGGGGGGGTGGGGGACGGGATTGCGGGTGATGTGGTCCTATCGGAGGTGGTGGGATCCGCATCATCTCGAGCTGCGGCCCTTGGCCTTGGTGATGATGATGGCCTGGAGTAATCTGTATCATTTCTGGTTGCACTCTCTGCTCTTGATGATGGGGTGCGGCTCTGAACTCGTCAACAGGGGCCATTTGTCCATGGTCCGGTGGTGGGCCCTGTGGAATTGGTCTCTCTGTCATCATTCGAGGGTCATGATGTGCTGGAGGAAGTTGGTTAACGTGCCTCTGGCCCTGTGGTGGCCCAGCACTATGTGCATGCGGATGATTGAACTGATGATCACTATGGTGAGGGTGAGGATGTCCTTGAGGGTAGTTTGATGGAAGTTGTTGGTGATAAACTGGAGGCCTGTCCTGGAGACGTTGGGGGGGTTCATTCTGGAAGTTGGGTTGTGTACGACTTTGTGAATGTGGACGTGGATCTTGCTGAGGGTTAGTAAGGTTTACCCCAAGGCCTAATTGATGATGAGCCTGGCGAAAAGGGTCACCAAACTCTCCAAATTCAGCTCCATCCTGCCTAGCAGTATTCCTGGCTTTCTTCTGTTTCTGAATCTGGGCAGTACGAAGAGCACGAAGAACCTCAGGTTTCAGCTGTTTGCAGAGCACAATTGCTATTGATATCGTCAATGCTTTCTTAGGACCGAATGTAGATCGAATATCTCTGGTTGCAGAGTTGATATAGACACAGATCCAATCATACTTTGGATCATTGCACTCTTGCTTTCTCTCCTCAATTAGATTATCAATGTGCTGGCGTTTGACCAGAGTCAGTTCATGATATGCTTCAGTAACAGACTGACGCTTTTGTTTCTGAACCAGGTCGATTAATTCCGCCTGTGGAAGTGGCATCTTGCAGATGGTGGCTGTGGCCCAGGTTCGCTCTCCACCAGGCACTTTGGGCTCGCCACGGTATAGTGTCCATCCCTCGTACATGCTCTCGTGGAGCTGAGTTCCTCGAGAATTGCCATTAAAGCTTGTATCAAGGCCAATATTATTGAGTCGGCCGTTGAGATCATCTAGGTCGTCGACATCCGGGGTATCAGGAAAGTTGCCAGGCATTGGCATATCCTCCAAGCTCTGGCGGGAAGAGCTATTCCCGGGCCCATTATTCATGTTATGCATATTATAGTGCATGTCCACGGTAAATCAGCGACTGGTAGCAGTCGATAAAACCTATAAAGCCATCGTTAGTTCAAATTCTGTGGGTCAACAAGTGACGTACAGCTGATGATTATAGACAGGATAGAAGGATGCCAAAGGAGTAAATACCTGGCGATGTCTAATTTGTCCCTTTTCTATGATGTGTGGTAAAGAGTGGGTTTGGTCAAAAGATGTGCTAGGCAGCAGGCGTCTTCAACGTTGCATTTGGGTAGTGATGTTGCCGTATGCTCGAGAAGTGAAAAGCGTAATAGGCCCAGTCAAGCAGCTGATATTTATTCTAAACGATAGATAAGCTGTTAGAGAGGGTTAAGCCTCTCTTCTCTCGTTTTCTTCCCTTTTGGATTTTCCTCACACCATCAGCATCCATGCAAGGCTGCTAAAAACCAAGAGAGCCTTAGGATCAGTTTCTGGCGCCCGGGAAAAAGAAAAGAAGAAAGAAAGCACTCTACTCGGGCGTTAGGGGCGAGGGCAAGGGCAACTTGGGCTTGTTGAATATTATGCCGTCATGTATGGGAATATAATACTGACCTCCCCGTGCTAAGGTATGACTTGATTATTCTCCAAGGATGTGTTGATATTAATAGTAATTGGTTGGAGCATCCTGCACTTCTTTGTAAGCATGTTTTAACAGACTAGGATTATTATGATCTGATTTTGGAGAACTGTACAGGTCAATAAACACTCTACAATGGGTACTAACCAACTGCTGGAAGCATTCGATAGTCCCACGTCATGGTGGTTACATGCCTTGTCTTCGGAACTACTCTCAGCAAAGAATCCGGGGACATAACTAGGTAGTTAACTCTAGATCATGATTCCATGTAGGGGACGAACGGGCCGCAGTCTTCTAAAAATGGCCCGTTTCAGATGATATAACATGTTAGCAGTTGTGATGTTAGTTGGCTGAGCCCCAAAGCTAAGTAGACCAGGAGAATATAGGAACTTTTCTCCCCCACCCCTGAGTCTAAAAGGCGGCTGGAGTGGCTGTGGCCTTGCCTAGTCGTGTTCTACTCTATCCGAGCTTTGTTCCCCAGCAGATATATAGTGTCTGATGGGCAGATGTTCCGTCACATCGGGGAAGCAACAACAAGCGACTTGAGTGGACAGAGACGCAAAGCCGTCAGCTTTTAGTTTCGGTTAACTATGAGGCTGACGGTGCTGCCGGGCGCCTGAGGACACAGGATGGGTCTTGTTGCCGTTACAAGGGCCAGACCAGCTGCAAGGCATAAACGTCTTTAGCTTGCCCGGTTGGCGCCTTGCATATAATAAACCATAATCAAGGCCACTGGTTGTAATCCCAAGGCGGCCAAAACGTCATAACCAAGTTTGTCTGGAGAGTTAAAAGTCGTTTATAGTTATCAGGTAACTATACGAGGTCGATGTTAACCGTTTTCTCCAGCGAGTCAGTATGCGGGACATGGGCCTACATCTTTTTAGGAGGTAATATCAACATGGAGAAACCTGTGAGCATACCTGGGTTCAACGTCTCTGTAGTCTAACCATTATTCTTCCTCTTCTCCCTTTTTTTTCCCCTTGTCCTCACTTCATGTTAAATCTCTGGTTCGTGTCGAGCTTCCATGGTTACTCATGCTTTTTGAAATGTTTATAAGCTTGAATTTTCCCTCTTTGTTCTCTTGTCTGTGACTCGCCTGTGAGGACTCCGTATTATACCACTTTGCTTTCATACTGCAGTAAACTGTTTAAAGTACCCAGGCTTGTCTTCGTGTCCTCTTCGCTCTGCTGGTTATGTCAATATGTGAATAAAAATAACCAGTCTCTCTGCCGCTAGTTCGCCTTTTTGGCCAAATGGCAGATTTGACACAATATCTTAGGTAAATTCCAACTGGAAAGATGGTGAAATACCGTTCGACATCCGCTGTCGCGTATGCTGGGCCTCTCCTCACCCCAGCCGCGTCTCTCTGTATACCATCGCCTCCTCCTGCCAAGCGAATGCGAATGAAGGAGGGCTCTTCCGAAAACAATGGGCCACCAATAATCGGGGATGAAGACATTCATAATGAGGACTACCGGTGTGGTGGCCCGGACCTTGTCAAACTACCTGCTTTGAGCCGGTATATTCCTGATAATGGTGAATGCCAGCTCATGTATGATCAGTTAATGGATGAAGTCTTGCTTGTGCTCGAAAGGTGGCACGTTGATCTGAAGGGAAGAACCCTACTCCAGCGTGCACATCATGAGGCCAGTGGCACAGAGACTTGGACCAATACACTTCTGATCCCTGCACGCAAACACGAGCTTGATGATACCTGGCTTGAAGCCTGCAAGGAGATCAGAGAGATCCTTGTCAATAATAACCTGGGAGATACCACTGTTGAAATGATTGATGAGAGGGCTTCCCAACGCGTTTTATCAGCTCCAATACCGCGTACTAACCCGTTCTATTCCACCTGGCCGGACCTCCGCTTAACAATCTTGAACATTCTGGGCGATAGTGAATGGACTATGCTCTCTCCTCAACTCCGTGGAGTGTCTATGGAACCTAAAACCATCACAATTGTGATCCTTGTGAAAGAAGACTCTACTTTTGATTGGATTGCTACAAGAGAAGCAGTTGTTGATACCCTAGACAGCCAAGGGCTACACCATATAGCTGTGGAAATACGCCGTTGCTCTCTTCTACAATTTCGTTCTTCGCCTTTGGTAGAGGGCTTCCTCGCTAAGGATGATTGGAGCTCCAAGCCATGTATGGGCGGAAGTATTGGTGCTCACTCCTCAGCTTTATCTTCGTCTACATTCGGTGGATTCTTAGAAATACAACACCCTTCGGGCGAATGGAAGCAATACGGACTAACAACCCATCATTGCGTGACTGCCATCAAGTCTACAGCTGATTGGGATAGGCATGGCATCAAACCTGGTGACCCGGAAAATGAGCTTACCCTTGATTACCCCAGCCTTAGAGACCACAACCTCGCCATTGATCACTACAGGGAAGAAATAGAACTTTTCAGCAAATTAGAGACCTATACTTCGGCAAAACAGCGCCTTGAAGAAGAAGACCCTTCTGTTTCACGAAATGAAAGGCAGGCCTATGAATATGTGAAGGGTCAGATTGAAGTCTTGGAGGAAACCCTGGTGCATGCCCACAACTTTTACCAGCATGGTCAGCTTCTCCTTGGGAAAGTATATGCGTCGTCCGGCTATCGAATGAACCCAAACAAGAGAATTCTAGACTGGGCTTTGATAGAGGTTCCAAGCGATCGCACCACCCAAAATAAGCTGCCTACGATCGACGATGTCCCTAAATCCTGCCGCGCCGCGTACCTACCAACATCCAAAGTTCTACAGGACGCAATACCCTTGAAAGCTGGTGAGATGGGTGTCTGTAAGATTGGCCGAACCACTGGCTTTTCAGAAGGAAGACTTGGAGAAATTAGAGAGACTGACATCCAGTGCTGGGTCAAAGATGAGGACGGCCACTGGGATAAGACGCGGGGCATGGCTTATCTCATCCACCGTCGTGCGCCTTCGGTCACATTTGGGGAACCAGGAGATTCCGGGTCGTTTGTCTTTAGCCTCGATGGTTCGTTCGTTGGGCTGTACCTGGGTGGCGATCGAGACGCAGGCACTGGGCTTTTTATGGAAGCCAGTGACCTGTTTGAAGATATCAAGCTGATCACTGGTGCCCGGGATGTTCGAATTCCTCAATGATGAGGACTTGACTACATGACCTGACTTCCCTTCAGCTGCATGGGATATGTTTTCTGTGTTTTTAACTAGTTATCGAATGCTGTCATATATTAACACTGAGAAATAAACTGCATGTTATCTTCCCACGCAGGTCCATTCATCTTGTTGCTCATTATATACTGTTACTAAGAGAGGAAATTTCGCAAGAACAGTGCCTAATATCAAAATGTTATGTAAGCAAGTCAAAGATCAGTGGGTAAATTATTATCCGAGGCCGGGTTCCAGCTCTGCGCGACCTCGGGAAGCTCAAGCTTCTCCAGATTTCATCCACGATATTCTACCAAGTTGCATTTAAATAACTTGCAACAGCTGGGCTAAAGCTAAGATGGGGAAAGGTATGTGAAGTATATCCTTCTACTGACAGCCTGATATAATTGTACTAACTTGAACTTTAGGAACTGATAAACTCTATGTACGCGATTTCTAGTATCCTCCTCGCGATGCCCTTCCTCCCAACCGGATTGAAACTAACACATAAATTGTATAGATTACCCATTCGGAGTGGGCTTCTGAGGATGCATTTTCCGCTAACGTTGGCGCTGGCGCTGCGCGGCGGAAGACTGGAGGCCCTCACGCATCCTTTAAACGACTACCTTTCAATTTTTGCTCCTTATCTCTCCAGCCCTTTTCCCACCCCGTATGCACATCCGATGGCATAATATTTGACCTCACACACATCCTACCCTGGATTAAAAAGAACGGTACCAATCCTGTTACCGGCGCCCCTACGAAGAACTCGGACCTTATCAAGTTACACTTTGCAAAGAATGATTCGGGAGAATATGTTGACCCCGTTACGTACAAAGTATTCACGGATAACACACATATAGTTGCGCTCGGAAATACGGGCAATGTATTTGCATGGGATACAGTACAAAGGCTTAACGTTAAGCCTAAACTATGGCGAGACCTGGTTTCCGACGAAGAATTCAGCAGGAAGGATATTATCACATTGCAGGACCCGCATAATGTGAATTCCCGGGATCTGAATAATTTCAAATACCTGAAGGATGGAGAGAGTAATGTTGCAAGTAGGAAGGATGACCAAAGTATCAATCTTAATGCAATGGGCAGCTCTGCAAAGATCCTACGAGCAAAGGAAGCTGTTGCTAAAGCGAGGGCTGAAAGAGAGCAGAAGGCAGCATCTGCTACTGCGTTAAACCAGAGGCAAAAAGAAACCTCGTCGGTCAAGAAGAACCAGACTTCTAGTCAAAGCGGCAAACCGGTACCGTTCAATGCTGCAAGGCATACCACCGGCTTAGCTGCTGCTTCCTTCACTAGCACCGGTTTAACCCCACACACTGCTGCGGATCTTTCGATACTGACAGATGAGCAATATATGCTGAAACGCGGCCGAGTTAAGTTCAATGGATATGCCCGGATAGTTACCAACATGGGCGACCTGAATATTGAACTACATACAGAACATGCGCCAAAAGCCGTGTGGAATTTCATCCAACTAGCTAAGAAGGGCTATTATAAGGATGTTACTTTTCACCGCAATATTAAAGGGTTTATGATCCAGGGTGGCGATCCAACTGGAACTGGTAGGGGAGGTGAAAGTATCTGGGGCAAAAATTTCGCGGATGAGGTTATTGGGCCACTCAAGCATGATGCCAGAGGGACGCTAAGTATGGCCAATAAAGGGAAAGACACCAATAGCAGCCAATTGTAAGTTGAATCCCGTTAAGTTTCAAGTGCCAGTTTTATATGCAATTGCTAATACCGAATAGCTTTTTTGCATATCGGGCGGTTCCTCATTTGAACGGCAAACACACAGTGTTCGGCCATTTAATCGATGACCCTTCTCCGTCTTCTCCAACTTTGGATGCAATGGAAGTGGCTCCCGTGGACTCCAACACTAATCGGCCTACTCCTCCTATCATAATTCTTGATGTGGTAGTTTTTGTGGACCCGTTTGAAGAATTCCTGAATAAAAAACGAGAGGAAGAGAATGCACAACAGCAAGCCCTTTCTGGAGCAAGTGGTGCTACCAATAAAGGGGACGATGACCAAGTTACATGGACTGGAAAGAGACTACGTGGTAATGATTCTAACAAGGGCAGCGGTGCTCCTGGAAGTACATCGGGAGTTGGCAAATATTTGAAGTCTGCGACTGCTGCATCTGAGGGGAATGAGGATGAAATTGTTGGATTTGTCGATGATGAGCCTGAACTAGAACATACACGGAAGAAGGCTAAGAATGCAGGGCGCGGAGGCTTTGGCAACTTTGACACTTGGTGAGAACACTGTCTGGTACAATTCTTTTTGGCGGCATATACACAAGCTCGGACGCGAAAACAACCACCCCCCGAGGCACACCCGACAAGCAACAGCTACAAATAACATGAATGGCTCCAAACGGATTGGATTCAGAGTAAATGTTTGCAAACATATAGATCGTTGCTAAGGTTTCTCGCCATTCGCCGCATTGCCTTATCGAACACGGGAATCCTTTATATACAATCTAATGGACCTGGAAACCTCAAATCCAACCATATTCAAATTTAAATCATGATGTCCTTTCTATCAACTTACGTCGGCCGTGGGTTTTCATTGGCTTTGTGTTTAGTCCATGATATTGTCAATCTACCCTAGGCGGTCTTTTCAGCTCTGAAGAAGGATGGTCAACCCAATGCCCCTGAAACCAAGGCAATCTCTGCAACTCTTCCATCTCCATCCGATTAGACTCATCTCTTGCCAGCAAATGCCTCAGTGCGTCAACACAATCTTGCGATAGTCGTTCGTCAATTGGCAACTCTTCGTTCATGATTCGCAGCCTTCTATCGTAAAGGTAATGAAACTTCTCTTCATCGTCATCTTGCCATGCATAGAGGGTCTTAATGTCTCCAAGATTTGGTTGACGCTCCGGAGTTTCCCAAGGAGAATACCCATGAAGCAGATCATAAACTAGGACACCAAATTTCCAAAGATACTGTACCCTAATATCGTGATCCAGACTTACCATGCTATCCGAAACGGTCTTCATGGGTTCTTTTAAGTCAGTGGTTGCGAATGCTAAGGCTATCTCTGGATTAACGAAATATTCGAATGCCTCGATATATCCATATTGGTTAGTCATCCATCCACCTCTTTCAGCTGCATATACAGCGCCAAAGTCGATAAGTTGGGCCTTTACTACATCGTTAGCACGGCACTATATGTGACAGGGGTAAGGTAGCGAGAATAACCATACATTAAGATTTTTATCCACAAGATAATTTCGATGGCTTAAGTCGCCATGCACCATCTTCATATCCATGAGATAAACAATCGCCTCAAGAAGATGAGAGGCAATCTTGCACGCCTGAATTTCGCTAACTCTCGTACGTTTCAAACGCGTCAATTGTTCCCCATTATATCCCGGGAAAGAATGTGTAGGAATGGCATTTCTTAATTGAGGTAGAGTTTCTCGCAAAGGGCTATCATCCACGCTGTCAGCGGACATGACAATCGACGCAAACTCCTTATGGACATAGATGGAGTCAATCGTCGGGAATCTGTCGCATTGTGTGAGGAGTTGGAGAATAACTGCTTCGACAGGTAGAAAACGTTGCGATGCGGTGGCCACCTCTCGGTATTCACACGTATGAGCCCTGGCAAATCCATGCACCCGCAACGGACATTGAAGCTCCATTTTTATAGCAAACTGGCGTGGTGCTCTAGGTATGCCGCTGTTTGCCCTCGGATCAGTGGCCCCAGTTAATACGCCCATACTATTCAACCATGAGCCAGAATCGGAGTCTGTACTGGCGCCGCTGCCAATACCTATGTCGGTTGGGGGAGGGATAATTTCTCTAGCAGCATATATTCGACCAAAAGCTACACGGTGTTTAGTTGGCTTGAATGAACAAGGGAGCCGAAGCTATAAACAGGGGAATTGTTCATCTATTTGAACTTACTTCCTTTTCCGATTTTCCCATATATTGCGAGCCGCTTAGCCATATCAGGGCACATTTTGTCAAAATACATCTTCTCAATATTGGGGTCGTTGTCATCTGGGAAGTCGCTATGGGATAACAAATGGTATCGACATGTGTCTGCTCTCCCCTTCTCAGGAGGATGCAGTAGAGTGAGGGGGCCAACACGTTCTAGATCATTGCATCGAGAGAGTATTTGTGGCCCGGCAAGTCGCCGTCTCATCACAATCCTCTGTAGCTCTGGCCCCACGTCCCCCTTAAGCATGGTGATTATCGATCGACCGACGTCATCGTCTGGCCGCCGAAAACCATACCACTCGTCCAAGTTGAGCTCCTCTTCGTAGTCTTCCATAGCTTCATATATCGACGATCAAATATGCCGGATGATGTTCCCGATGTGATGGAATTTATACCTGTAATTTGAAATTCAATGATTGGTTTGCCTTTGTGAGTATAGATACGTAGGGTTAGCTAGGAGAGGGTAATGATCATACCAAATTGATAAGATGCTCGCCGCTTTTATATTATGGGACCCATTGTACATGGTTATTGAATGGACATTGTCATTGTGAGTAACAAAGGTCTTGATAACGGGGTTGTTCCCAAGTTGAAAGAGTCAGAAGTCCTATCATTGGGGTGTTTTTAGCTTGTGAAATTAATTATAGGAATATGCTTTGCTTATGCTTTAGCTTCTAGTTAGTTATTGAATCGATTGACTAGCATAATGGAAGAAACCAGGTTTGTTTCATTTACAAATCCCTACGAAAATATGAGATGCATCCTAAAATAAAGGAGAGTAGTAGAGAAGGAATAACCCTTCTTAATATTTATAAAACGACAAGTAAACGATTTTTAGGCCCATAATTGTAGCATCGTGAAGAAAAGAAGAAAAACGCCGTATACCATTAACCAGGCCCCCATGAAATTCTTTGAGCACCAACCGTAGCCGCCCCTCCCACGATGCCTGGAAGAAAGAAGGAAAAGAAAGAAACATAGACATTGATAGATTATGACTTAGGGAGTAGGAAGCTGGAATCTCAGGGGTACAACCCATGCGTTTCCAAATTCAACTCCGTGACGGCGACGAGTTCCGTATTTTCTCCATGCCACAGGACTAATGCCCACATCTGCAACAATTTGCCAGGATTCACCCTCCCGTGAAGATAATGCAGTCACTAAGCCTGTCTTTGGTGCACCAAGGCAAATGACGAATTGAGAAGATACCGCGAGCTGGGACCCTTGAGAAACTGTTGCTTCTCCTACTTGATATTAATAAGACAAGAATAAATAAATAAATGGAATGGGTAGACTTAATTAACTTACCCGTAACTGCGGACATGCCAGAGGGAATATCGACAGATAAGATATCCACATTACTTCGGTTCACCCAGGAAATTATCTCAAAGGCGGTCGCTTGGTCATCAGTACGCAAGTCTTCAAAAGCAATGTGCATGCCAAAAAGGGCATCGATGACCAGTTTGGGCTTATAATCGCCCGTCGATAGTCTGGCAGAAAGGTCCTCCCATCGCATCACATGGCCTCCTGCTTTCTGGAAGACGTCGACTTGTTTCTGAAAGCCATCAGTGAACTCGTTACCACGGTCATTACCAAGAATACAGAGTGAGACCCTATAACCACGGTTGCGCAGGTGTCGTGCAGAAGCGACGGTTCGTGCACCGGTTCGATGATTTCCAACAAACACTATAATTATTGAGGGTACACGAAGTCCCGTTGCAAGAGAAATTGCACCTTCAGCAATTCCTCTGCCAGCGTTCTCTGTGACTATGTCCTCGGTTAGGCCAAGTTCTGATATAGCTAGTTGCTCTATCTCCACCATCTGAAGAGGGCTGATACTCGGACACCGCCTGCCTGTAGTTATCATATGGAGGGAGCCCACTGAAGAGCCTGATGACCCAGTCATAGAGGACGCAGAGTGCTTCATATTTTTGATGGGCTGTGGGCTTGCAGTACGAGTGGATAGATGTGAACGTCCTATAATGGTGAATTGAGCGGACGATGGCGTGGACGCTAGTACACCACTGCCCTTGCGTGAAGCCATAGATCGGTTTCTACTCGATGTTCTACCGTTGAGCGTATAATCATTATCTGTTTCTCCAGCTTCGCTATTCCACTGGGGAGCTTGAGGTTGTGATGTTGAGTCCAAGACGTTTTCCGTATAATGAAGGTTTTTCCCTCCATTAGTTCCAGGTTTAGGTCGCCTGTTAAAGCTTGCTAAGCGATCTTCAAGAGGGGTCATATCATCGTTTCTTATCTCATCAAACACCCTTCTCTTGTCGAACTTGGACAAGTTGCTTTCAAAATCGAAGTCTCCTAATTCCTGAATGTCGGTCGCCTCTTCGGTTGCCCATCCGTTTAGGTCTTCCTTATGGGCTCGTGACTTTCTGGAGGCCCTTGATTTGGATTTGTTAGCAGTAGGGGAGGTGTCAATCGGTTCTATGAAAGCAGTCTGCCTCCACCCCTTACCCGCGGTACCCTTTTTGCCATTGTTGTTGTTACTGTTGGTGGCGGAAACAAGCAGTTCCGTCGCAGGCATATCGGTTGTTTCTCCGCCGTCCTTCCCAGGCTTCCATTTATTACTCCGCTTGCCTCGTTTTCCCACATTTTTAAGCTGGGCTGCGGTTGAGCCACCACCGCCTCCCCGACGGCCATCGCAGGGTATCGGGGTTTGCTCCAGCTCCTGTTCTTCAATGATATTTCCCCTCGTAGAAGGTGGCACCTCTTGTTTGTTCAGCTCCAAATCGCTAAAAGGTGCATTCAGTGTTGCTGGAAGCCGAGAATGGTGTCCCATCTGGTTTATATGCGCTGATGTAGGTACTTCTGAGCCTCCTAGCATGACAGGAGAAGTAGAAATCGGGTGTGCAGTGACATTAGCCGGTTCTACCTCGTTAGGTGTACCCAGCCTGGATGGCCGTTTGAAACTTAAAATTGCCGGATCCACGAAAGATGAAGGCCCGGCAGTGCGGGACACAGATTCAGGCTGTATCGAAACGGTGGGATGCTGCTGCTGGCCATGTTGTGATGGGTGATATCCGTTGTCATCTATACGCTCATTTCTAGAGTGTGAAGATGCCTGAGGGGCTGGCTGGCTAGATATCTCTAGGTCTGCGATCCTTGGACCGTCTATATGGTACAAAGGGAAATGCTGGCCGTTCCACAGGAGATGTGCTAGTTGAAGTATTAGCATGGACACTTCAAACGGTGAACCCGAGAAGCGACCAACCGTTTTGCAAGCTTAACCTGGTCCCTACGACATCAACGACTTCACCTTCGACCCGGCAGTTTGGAGGAGTCTTGAGGGTCACAAGCACAGTGCAGCCGATGAATTCTGAAGCCATGGTTGTGTATGAGAACAAACTGCGGTGAGCTGGTGGGCGCAATGTCAGAAGTTTTCCATGCTGCAGAGAAAGAAGGTCTCCCACGAAGGCGGCTCTCCCTTTGGCCGAAAAAAAAAGGCTGCTTGTCCTTTCTCATGCGCAAAAGCTGATCTTTTTTTTTAGAAGTCGAGATGGAGGCTGAGCAGGTCACGTGGAAGTTCTTATCGATAACATCAAACAAAAAACAGCGGCTCTGATGAACTCCAAGCGATCTGTTTGCGAGCGATTATCAAGGGGTAGTCGTCGTTGATACAATGGAAGCCTTGATGGTCGTTGTGTTCGCCGAAACACTTTGGTTTTGATGTGAGCTGTTTAGGTCTTTCATGGTGCTGTTGCTGGAGACGGTACACACACTCCTATAGCCCCAGGAACAGCTAGCTGTTGAAGAAGAGGATTGGCCGTAGTGACCTGCGGAAGGAAAACTATGCGAAGGGAGAGATTATAGATAGAGCGAAATAGAAAGGTAGAAAAGATGAGATATAGAGCGAAAAGAGGAAGCGTACCCCTTTAATGAACTATGCCAAAAGAACTTGAAAGATACAGAGATAATTGGTTCAATAATATGTCCGTTATAAGGGGCGAATGTCCCTGACAACATGGAATATGATTATTCTACTGAAATTGTATCACTGAGCTCGCTTGCTGTATATAAGGATTAAACGTTGATATCTTCTTCGTCTTGTAGAGCGTCGAGGTCCTGATTTGGTGCAAACAAGACAAACACGACATCCTCAACTCCAAGAATGCGATCAATTGAACATTGAATATTTAAATACGAAGAAGACAAGCAGCACCAGGGACGTCGAGTCCACGGTACGGGCAATTAGTCCTTGTTTCCCTCCGCCAGACAGCTGGTGACTTTATACAATGCTTGATTTTATGGACTACATCCAGCTCGCCTTCTCGGACGCCTCGGGATGGAACCGCGATAACTCATATTCTACCCTGACAGACACCGCAAAAGGTACCTATGATAGCTACCATAGATTTGCAATGCAGAATAACTGACGAACAGGAACTGATATATATAGCTCTTCTTGACTTTTCTACTCCAGAGAGACTTCGCGTTCACCTATCTTCTCTCTCCACCCCACAGTTTGCGACAACATACACACTCGGGACAGTAGGCCTCATAGATGGCTCCGTCTCGTATCTATTCAGTACCATACCTCTTGACAAGACGCCCAGTCGAAGTGCCCTGATATCCCTACGCAGCCTTGTACCAGGGTACAGACAGATATACCCGCCTGCTGTCCCGCTAGACCTAGGCTTAGAATGGACTCTAGGCAGCAGTGGCAATACCGGTGCTGCAGAACAGGCACTCTCGAACGCCTATGAGGACACAGGGAGGTCAGAGAGGAAGAGAAAGGCAACTCTGCTTCATGCCACGCTACATCTACCGCCTCCAACAACGCTTACGGCTCTTTTCCTGCACCGTCCTTCACCAACGACAAAGGTCTCTGTTGCCTTATGGTCTAGCCAAGCCACCAATATATCAAAATCAGCATCGCCACAGGCGTCGATATTAACTCAATTGTTCCACGATACCGGTAAATATAGCACCGAATTCTTGTTTAGTACAGACAATACATTATTCGGATTCCGGGGGTTATGGAACTTTGGCCCTGACCCAAGGGACTCGGGTGGTCGAAATATTGCAACAGGTAACGTAAAAAGGGAAAAGACCTCTTGTCCGCAGTCTGTAGCACTCCTCTCTGCTGGCGGAGAGGCTTACTATTCACCAACTTCCAGCGTCATCGGCCTCTCGACCGGTGTGCGCTTCACCACACTGCCTGCTGCTTATGATGCACGATCAAGCTCTACTTCTCCACCAACACTTGGTGGTGCCGGTGGTAGCCAGATCCCTTCTCCAATCTCGACCTTCCCATATACACTTACATTGACATTAACCCCCCTAACGGGCTCTTTATCAACGACCTACTCCCTCCTCGCTTCTCCGAACCTAGCGCTCAGCTCCCGCTTTGGATTCAATGTATACAGCTGGGAAAGTGAAATGGTTGCTGGATGTGAACTATGGAGAAACAGGAAAAAGATCAATTTACATAACTACAACCCCGACGGAAGCGTTGATGACCTGGCCTGGGCAAAGAGGAAGCTCGGTCTCTTACCTCCCTTGGAGTCTTCGGACCCAGCTTCATCGTCTTCGTCGGTATCGCCTACAGTATCCCCTGTAACTTCGGAATCAGTTATCAAGCTCCGTGTTGACCAATCTTTGAGGGTGCGGCTCCTTTGGGAAGGCCGTATAAAGGATCTGCTAGTCAGTGCTGGAGTTGCACTTGGTCCAACATCTGCACATACCCCGTCAATATCATGTTCAGGCGGGTCTTCATCTAAGGGCTATAGCTGGACAGGCGTGGGTGTGTCCGTATTATACTCTTCATGATTCAAATGATATTCGTTCTATCATATAAACGGATCTCACTCCGTTATATACATTTATCTTCATACAATAGCATTCCCCTATTTTTCCTGGCATTTGTTGGGATAATGCTGAATCGATTGCTGGTCTTGAGTGGCCGGAGACTGGTGTGAAAAGTTATATCTTTAATTGGTATATTTAACATTGATAAATACATCAATGGAGAGATCACTCTGGGTCGCTTCTCAAAGCTGACATCATAGCCAAAAGCCGCCATTTAGTAGCTAGGCAGGAGCATGGTCATCCATCTTTCTTATACTTATAGTCGAGCGTTGATGATGTCGACAACTATTCCGGTTGTTAGTTACTTGACTTATGGTGGATGTAGCACTAAGTGACTTACAGGCAGGCTTCAAGCTGGCGCCTCCAACCAAGAATCCATCGACATCCTTTTGCTTAGCCAGCTCACGGCAGTTCTTCTCGTTGACACTTCCACCATAGATGATACGGGTGGCCTCGGAGACGGCAGGGGAAACAGTTTTGGCAAGCCACTCACGGATAGAAGCGTGGACTTCCTGGGCCTGCTCGGTAGTGGCGACCTTTCCGGTTCCGATAGCCCTGGAGATGGCACTGGATTAGCTATGAATTGGCGTCGTGGCAAAAATATAGACGTACCAGATTGGCTCATAGGCAATAACAATGTTGGCCCATTGCTGCTCGGAAATCTTGCTAGCAACGGCTTGTAGCTGTCTGGTGACGACATCGACGGTCTTTTCGGCCTCTCGCTCCTGTAGATCGGGTGTATTAGCTGATGCCATTCGGCCCTGTTTCTACATGATAGGTTTATGCATACCTCGAGAGACTCTCCGATGCAGACAATCACACTCAATCCACCCTCAATAGCGGCCTTTGTCTTGCGTGCAACGAACTATACCCAAGAAAAACCGTTCATTTAGCACAGGGGTTGTACTTTTGTAGTTGGAACAAATAAACCCTTACATCATCGTCTTCCCTGAGGATAACCCTTCTCTCGCTGTGTCCGGTCAAAGTCCAGTTGATCTTAGAATCCTTCAACTGATCAACGCTAAGCTCTCCTGTGAAGGCTCCGTTTGGCTTATCAAAAACGTTTTGAGCAGAGACGCCGATTTTCTCATTTGCTTGACTGCGGGCCAGGAGAAGGTAGATGGCTGGAGGGGAGATAACGACTTCGGTGTTGGCATCAAGCTTAGCATTGTTGAGGTTGGTTATGATGTCGGAAATTGATTGAGATGTTCCGTTCCTGTTTCAACCCAATTAGCCGTTGATCTGTATGGTGGCTATTTGTAGAGATCTGTTTTTACATCTTAAAGTTACCACCAACGAAGAACTTGCGAGCCATGGTGAAGGACGATAGCGTTTCTCTGCGTGTAGCACGAGAGAAAGTGTATCGGTAGCTTATATGTCTGAAGCAGAGCTGACGAAGAAGACTTGTAGATGTTGGTGTACAAAGCGAGGGTGGAAGCATTATATAAGTGTATTTTTTTTGGCGGGGGGAGAGAAAAAGAGACGCGGGGCACGGCAGAAACCGGACTTGCTTAATCTCTCTCTGCTGTTTAATATATGAACATCCTACAACTACACGACCGTCTACGCATGGATGAAGCAACCTGCAAGTTTGATATGGAAGAAGCTGGAGAGTAGAACTGACATGGATGTTTGTCTTTAGAACCCGTGTATAGTCGATAGTCGCTGACAAGGCGCAGAGCTGCTCCACTAACTACCGTTCGACTCTAGGTACAGATGAAAGGCTCAGTCTATTCTCCAGGGATTCAGCTTGAGAACCGGGGCCGTTCTAATAAGATGAAATGTTGAACAGTGACTGACCCCTTCTGGAGATATAACCCAGCCTGCTTCGAAGGCTAAGTGCTAGGAAGCGTGACATATTAACCAGTGAGAACGTATTTATATCTGTTGGATCCCCAGCCTTGCATGGGCAGGAAAAGACAGCATATTCCCTTCTTGCTCTGTCTTCTGCACTCCCGAACATATGTTCATTCGGAATCCAGTCACTAGAGCGAGCTCGTTCATAGTTAAACAGCATCTCAAGATCATTCAAACATATTCATCAGCCACTCGAGCACCAACTATACCCATCATGAATCCAGATGTCAAGCGTGTCGTGGCCTTCTGGTTCAACCGCCCTCCCATCGAATGGATATTCGCCCCCGCAGGTCTTGATGACCAGCTGAAGTCCGAGTTTGGCGACCTCGTTCTCAAAGCTCGCCGCAATGAACTCGATGACTGGGCAGCAGAACCTGAAGCCAGCGTCGCCCTCGTCGCCCTGCTTGACCAGTTTTCCCGCAACATGTTCCGCGGCTCGCCAGAAGCCTTCACGGCCGATGCAAAGGCGTATGAGACAGCTACCAAGGCCATAGCGCGCGATTTCGACAAACAGGTCACTGTCATTCAGGCATCGGCCTTTTACATGCCGCTGATGCACCAGGAAAGCCTTATTTCACTGATCGCGGTCCGATGCCTGTTTGAGAAGCTGAAACCACGATGTGTGACCGAGGAAGAACACAACTGGGTCGATATGGGCGTTTCGGCTGTGAAAAGGCATATGCAGCAGCTGGAGAGGTTTGGAAGATATCCAACTAGGAACGCTGCCTTGGGTCGGAAGAACACTGAGGCTGAGGAGGAGTATCTGAAGGAACATGTTCCTAAAGTGTAAGACTGATAGCTTTCACTACTGGCTTAACTACCGGGCGCCGGAAGAACATGTCAAGTTTGAGCACACGGTTCAGTTATTAATGTCAGACATATGTATATATGATCGGATAATGAGGATATAATCTATGTGAATTCTTCATGTTCACAACAAGAGCGTTAGAGGGAGCGCTGTTTACTGTAGATATGGAAAACACTAGTTTGCAGGCCTATTCCAGCCCTCCCACACAAATTCGAGAAGTCCCATGGCGGAACCTGGAGGGTCTACAACTTTCTTCAGGACAAATGCCGGATCAGCGGCTACAAACAAGGCCTTCCAGTCTGCCAGAGTCCTTTCCCGAGCGTTGAAGGTATAGGCCATTTCCAGATCCATTGACCTACAAAAAGTCAGACTTGAATCCCACTCTCGACCAAATATTAGCTATCACATACCTGAAGTCTCTTTCCTTCCAATAGGCTACAGAGCCGGTCTCTGGCATAAGGGCTTCTTGCACAATAAGCCTTGCCCCTGGCTTCAGTGCCGGCATCTGCGCCTTGAGTATCTGAATACAATACTTATCCGACCAGTTGTGGAAGATCCATCGGAAGAAATACACATCAGCCCTGATTGGTTGGGGATCAAACAAGTCGTGGGCCATAAAGCGAACTCTGTCCGCTAAATCTCCTGCATCAGCGTTCTCGACCATCTTGGTCATATCCTGCACAATGATACGGAGCTGACTATATCGTTTTGCAAGCGCTATTGCAAAATGACCCTGGGCACCTCCAACATCTACGACTTGGGCCTCCCTCAGGGATTCCCAGTCGTAGTAGTCTGTGCCATAGGACAAGTCAAACGCAGGCCTCGACGTCATCACCTTCATTGCATTTCCGAAGCGGGCGGCTCGGTCAGGATCTGCTGCAATAACGTCGTAAATGGACCCTGTGGTATCGTTTGCGAGAGAAAATCCCTAGTGGAAGTGTTCAGCATCGCCTATAGTTTCGTGCAATAGTGGGGGATATTTACTGTCTCATTTGGCTCCTGCGAGCCCGGCCACTTTTCAAGGGCATCCGCAAGCTAAGAGGAATATTATCAATGTTTCCCTCCTGCTTAAATGTGTTGATTGTCTTACCTTTCCGCCTGCAGGACCCAATTCCTCAATACCAGCTCTCATCCAGTCCCTCACGTCTGGACGGGCCAGCATTCTTGATGCCTTCGTATGCTTCACGATACCTGGCTCTGGCTCATAGAAAATACGCATCATCGCTGCGTGACGAATAATACGGCCAACCATTTGCTCAGTCAGTGGCGTTTTTTTGGCAATTTCACCAAATGAAGCCTGGCCATCAGGCGGTATAAGTCCGGCAATACCAAAGCGAGAAATGACTTGCAGACAGGCCGACTTGTCACTCTTATTGCATTGACGACAATGTTAGCTGCTCAGTTCATAAATTATGCTAATGGGAGCTTACTCACTCTAGCGGATCGATGAATGATATTCGAGGGCTCCGTGAGCAAATCATAAAGCTCGGCCGTGGCATCAAGGACAGCATCCTGAGCCTTACCAATGTCTATTGGAAGAGGAGAAGCATTCTCATCAAAAGACGGCGAGGGTGCACCCAGGATATCCAGGGTCTCCTGGATCTTGAGCACTGAGCTGCTGATAGTGGCCGCGAGCTGGATAATTCTCGGGACTGGTTTTGTTCCCTCCATTTTGGTCACCCAAGGAAGAATCAAGGTACGTAACGCCAGAGAGAGGAGAGATAAGCCGGATGCAGAAATCAAGCAAGCCAATGTTTCTAAATATATTGTTTTCGAATGTAACGGATGATTTCTTCCCCTTGTGAATCAAAATTTCTTTTTTAACTAATATCACATTAAGGGAATGGGTATTTTCAGCCTCGTACTTACCAACTAGAGGTGGTAATAACGACACGCAGGAGCCCCATACCGCATTTTTTGAGGAGTATGCAGATTGCTGTATTTCGTACACTGCTTATACCCTAGCATTGCTGTACCGAAAACTGATACCCTTGGCTTAAAAGAGCCAACACGGCTTGGGATTATCTGTTGGATTGCACACTATTGGTCTTGCAGTCTCATTCCTTGTAAGTTGAAGGAGTTATTACGCCAGGATACTGGGTTACAATTGCCACGGTTGCATATCTACCCTATATACTATTTGCTATTATTGATACCTAGTTTTCTGGGGTCTCACTTGCTTTATGCAAAGAATGAAGCTGGAGTATGATACACATGCAGTGCTTGGTGTTTGTAATTGATCATGCATCTCCAATCCTTCCTCGGGGAAATGCTCGGATTTGACGTGGTATGGAATGCCCCTATCTGTTCACTGACCTAAATGTCCAGGGCTACGGAGAGAAATAGGTTCCAATGGGTCTTATGAGTCTACACATAAAGGAACAGCATCGAGTACAGGAATATAATACCTGCCCTGGAGCGGAATCCAGCAGACTCCAGTCTCCTTCTGTTACTAATATGGCTTTGCTCAATACTCTGACGTCCTATTCTACAGGACTAAAACTCTTGCCAGACCTTTATTCTTCTACGGCATCCGCATGTCATTTAACCCTGGAACCGTCGTTGCCAGGACGGGAATTTGGGGGGATTTATCTTCAAGATATCTTAAAAAGTGTGGCTGCATCAAGGAAAGGGTCAGTCATCTGCTATCCCATTGGGAATACATCTAAATATAAAGAGTTTTCCTACCTGGAACTTTACGCCCAGGCCAGTCACTACGGCCAGATCCTTCGCGCTTTTCCTAGCTTCAAAGAAGGCCACCCTATCCTTCTACACTTCGATGACCACTGGGATACCATAGTCTGGTTCTGGGCTGTCCTACTCGCCAACGGCCTACCGGTACTCTCTCCTCCTTTCAGCGTTGTTGAGGATCATCGGCTTCAGCATATTCGGGGGCTATCAAATCTTCTTCAATTGCCAATATGCATTACCAGGAATAACTTGCTTAGCCTATTTGATGGAACGCAAAACTTGCTGCAGCTGCACACAATTGAGTCACTCTATTATAACGGACCTCCATCAGGCCACAATGGGCCAAAACATGGTCCAGGAAGCTCAGCGGACCATCCTAACTATAAAGAAGGCAAACCCCTAGCAATGTTGATGTTGACCTCAGGAAGTACTGGGAATGCAAAGGCTGTATGCTTGAGCCACAAACAAGTCGTCGCAGCCATCTCTGGAAAAGCATCAGTACGCCAACTACGTCAGGATGGGCCATTTATGAACTGGATTGGCCTTGATCACGTTGCAAGTCTCGTCGAGATCCACATTCAGGCTTTGTGGCTCGGTGTTGACCAGGTTCATGTTAACGCAGTTGACATAGTCTCGTCTCCGGATGTCTTTCTGGACCTCCTAAGCCGACACCGTGTCTATCGCACATTTGCACCGAATTTCTTTCTTGGGCGATTGGTATCAACAATGAAACAGGAATATAATCATCAACGAGAGGGTAACTCCTGGGATTTATCAAATCTACATGTTGTCGCTTCTGGAGGTGAAGCTAACGATGTTACAACCTGCGTGGCTGCATCTGCCATACTTCAAAAATATGGAGCACGCCCCGATGCCATCACACCAGGATTTGGTATGACGGAGACCTGCGCGGGAGCAATCTTTAATCTTGCATGTCCATCCTACGATGTTGAATGCGGCTATGCTGTAGCCTCTCTAGGCAAGTGCATGAAAGGCATTGAAATGCGTGTTGTCGTTGACTCGAGATTGGCAGCCATGAATGAGCCTGGAGACTTGGAGGTACGCGGTGACGTGGTGTTTGGTGGTTATTATCGGAACCCCGAGGCCACCGAGGATGCCTTCCCTTTGCGAGACGGATGGTTCCGTACCGGAGATCAAGGCCGCATTGACGCGAATGGCAATTTATGCCTTATCGGAAGAAAGAAAGATATAATCAACATCAACGGTATCAAGATTGTTATAGCAGACGTCGGGTCGCTATTAGAACGTGCCATCAGCGATAAGGTAAATCGCTTCGTGGTGTTTCCCTCAAGAGCTGAACATACCGAACAGGTTACCATTTGTTATACCCCTAGAGAATGGCCGCATACCGCAGAGGAAATGGTCGAAATCGGTGAGCTGGCTGCGCGGGTATGCATTTCCAGTGCCTTTGCGCCCCCTTTAATCTTTTCCTTAAGGGAGTCGTCATTATCACTATTACCTGTATCGTCGCTGGGGAAGATATCGTCCTCCAAGATGAGCTCTTTATTTGAGACGGGTGTGTTTAGCGAGGACATTGCTCTTCATAGACAGAAGCTTGATGAGTATAGGAAAGAAAGCCAACAAAGAACGTTGCTGACTGTTGCAACTGAAGCGGAAGCTCTTCTTATTGATGATTTCGCGAATACACTCGGTATCAATATTGACACGATAGGGCCTGAAACACAGTTTTTTGAGCTGGGCTTTACGTCATTGGATCTCATCCGCTTGAAGCGCCGTCTTGACACCCGCCTAGGAATTACATTGCCCATCATCACACTCATGAATAACCCAACAGCTCGATCACTAGCTGCGGCTCTAAATTCCGGGTGGCCCGGAGACTCTCCCGACGAGCTAGAGAAAAACGTGGTAGATTATGAACCTGTGGTAACACTGAAATCTGGTGGTAAGAAGCCACCACTCTGGCTTTTTCACCCTGGTGTGGGTGAGGTGCTAGTGTTCATCGGTCTGGCACAACATCTTGCTGATGACGAGCGGCCCATTTATGCCCTCCGCGCAAGAGGCTTTGAGCGAGGGCAGTCACAATTTACGTCAATTACTGAGGCTGTGAATATCTACACTCAAGCCATTCGACAGCGCCAGCAACAGGGACCCTATGCGCTGGCTGGCTATAGTTATGGCGCCATGCTTGCCTTTGAGACAGCCAAGCAACTAAATTACACGGAGACCGGCACAAGTGGGAGCTCAGTACGCTTCCTAGGTAGCTTCAACTTACCACCACACATCAAATGGCGCATGCGCCAGCTGCACTGGAACATGTGTCTTCTACACCTAACACAATTCCTCGGACTGACGACTGAGGAAGATGTTGAGAAGATGGAGCAGAACTCTAAGTTCTCCGAGGCGTCTAGGAGTGACGCCCTGGAACAGATTATCCACAACGCAGATCACCATCGGATGGAGGAGCTGGATCTGGAAAATGCAGAACTGGCCCGTTGGGCTGATGTCGCTTACGGCCTGCAGAGCATGGCAATTGAATACGAACCAAGTGGGCAGATCGACAGCATTGACGTTTTCCACGCAATTCCTCTCAAACGAGCTGCCCCATCAAGAGAGAAGTGGATAACAGAGCATTTGATCAAGTGGAGAGATTTTTCTCAGACGGAGCCTAGGATCCATGCAGTCGGAGGTGCGCATTACACCATGATTGGGCCGGAAAATGTGGCTGGATTCGTCGCGCAGCTGAAGGATGCCTTGGCCGCCCGCGGGGTTTAACTTTTATATCATTCTGTCAAATACAAATTGTTTAGTCTTGGTTATATTACTATAGCAAATATCATGAGAAACATGCATATTGCCCTGTACTCCAGGCTTCAACGCATCATCCCTGGTTCATGTACGTAAATTCCCCACCAAGTTAAGTTGCTTTGACCACCTCGTATTCTATCTCCATTATAATTATAACTACGACCTACTACTATGTACAAGGGGCGACTCGGCACCGGCAAATATACCCTACGCATGTACGGACGGATGAACGAGTCCGCCACACCATTGAGCCGTACAACATAATATGTATGCATACCAACAACTAAATTTAATAAAGTTAGTTCTACTTTTAGGTTGTTACCGTAACGTTAATTACACGACATGATATGCAGCCGAAGCCCCCATGTCCTTCTTGTGCCTGTTCTACAAGGGATTGTACATGACAGGAGACGTTGGTTGATCATGACAGCGACGATAGGCCCAGCTAGATGCACACAATTAATATATGTGCATATTGGTAACCCCCTCATTAAATGATACTACACGTACTCTGGCTTATTGAGTAACGACCTCTCATTTCGTAAGTACAAAAGAGCTCCCCCTTCGAGCCTGAGTATGTATTTACTACGATATTCAATGACGGATTGTCCATAAAAATAACAAAATCTACATCTCTAGATCAAGCCACAATGGATGCAACCCTCGACTCTATCAAGCAGCTTGCAGCGACTGCTAGTGAGGCGACTCGCCGGCAGCTTATCATCTCGCTGAACAAGCTCATCCTCTCTCTAGAAGGTCCCAGCGACACCATTCACAGATATGGACATATGGTCGGTTCCCAATTATTGACTGTTTAACGACATAGGAATAACTGACTTGGTTATATAGAACCTAGAAACAGCGACAATCAGGATTGGCTTTGACTTGGGGATTTTCAAGCTTTTGTCTGGGGCCGAAAGGCCCTTAGGAGTGGAAGAAGTCGCCCAAAAATGCGGGGCAGAGCCCCAGTTGATGAGTATGTGATGGTTCCGTTCTTTAATCTTCGCATCACATTGTAACTGCTACACACAGGTCGAATTCTTAGATATCTTGCTGCTATTGACATAGTAGACGAGGTTTCGGCCAACCGGTACACCGCAAACAATATAACCACAAATCTTACCGAGAAGTCTGTGGAGGCTGGTTTGAGCCATTAGTGAGTGATTTATACCCAAATAATAACTGCCCGAGAGGCTAACAGGCTTTAGTTTCTACACTGCGGGACCCCAGTATGAAGCCTTGCCGGGCTTCTTGAAGAGAATAGGATACAAAAACCCTGTGGATGAGCTACACACAGCTTTTCAAGATGCCTGGAAAACACCACTCCATGCGTTCCAGTGGTTTGCCGAGAATAACTCACACCTTACCTACTTCAACGACTACATGGCTCTTCGTCGTAAGCCTGAGCTTTCATGGCTTTCGGTGTATCCTGTTGCTCAAGAGGTAGAAGGTTGGGATTCAAAGGATAATAGCAGGGCTATCTATGTCAATATTGGTGGCGGCATCGGGCATCAATGCAAGCAATTCAAGGAGAAGTATCCTGACCTGCCGGGCAGAGTAATCCTGCAGGACCTACCGCATTCGATTGCAAAGGCGTTGCCAACTCCTGGTGTGGAGAATATGGAGCATGACTTTTTTCAGCCGCAACCAATCAAGGGTGAGCATCATTAGGATTTCTTTTTGCATAGATAACCACTAACAATATCTTTGATTCTTCTTTGTTCTTAGATGCCAAATTCTACTACCTTCGCGCCATACTCCATGATCACCCACCACATAAGGCGCGCAATATCCTCGAGCAAACCAAGGCAGCCATGGGACCGGAGTCAGTTATATTAATTGACGAGATGATCTTACCTGAGACGGGCGTAAATATCATGGCTGCATCTATTGATATGACTATGCTCACAGCGCTAGCAGGCATGGAGCGGAACGAGGCGCAGTGGCGTGAAATCCTCGCAGAAGTAGGGCTGGAATTCGTGGAGAAGTTTGTGTATTCCCCCGTGCATTATGAGGGAGTAATACAAGCTAGATTGCCAAGGTAAACTGTCAGCAAAGAGGCTTTTACTTTTATCGTTAGCTAGTTACATTCCGAGGGAGCCGAAGTTAGCCTCATGATAATACCAATCCATACCTATATCAGCTGCACTAGTTCTTACGCACTTTCTAATACAGATACAGTAGTGGGAAAGGAGGCTAGCACTCAAGCTCGGCGAATCTTGGTACTCTGTATGTATAGTTAAGCATTGTCACAGGTTAATCAGCTATTTAACTTTCTTCTTTTCTTCTTCCTTGAGAGCTAGGCTGAGCTAGTACTAGCATGACCCCACTATGTTATGCTTAATTGTACTTGCTTTTTTATAAGTTCCTGTATACTTCCGCTGGCGACACTTGATTTATGTCCATACTTGTGGGACTCCTGAAAATAATATCTCTTCTGTCCAAATCACTGCGTTTACAAGAGCCGTTTCTACAATTATCCCAAGTATGGAGCTTAACATTAGTTGGCCTATGCTAGTTGGAGTGGCGTTTGCCTACTACGGAACCCTTATTTTCTATCGGCTGTTCTTTCACCCTCTGGCCTGTTTTCCCGGCCCCAAATTAGCAGCTATCTCTCGCTGGTATGAAGCATACTACGATGTTATTCTTGGTGGCCAGTATACTATGAAGATTGCTGAATTACACAAAATATATGGTATTTGTACAATCCGGTTATTATAGTTAAGTTCTAACCATTAATAGGCCCCATCATTCGCATTAGTCCGTATGAGTTACATGTCATTGACCCAGCATTTTTCGAGACGCTCTATCGCTTGGATGGCCGCTGGGATAAGTATGCCTGGGCATATGACGCCTTTGGAGCCAAAACCTCCACTATATTTGGCTCAGGTATTGTATCCCCTTCCATATTATGATGCTGTCTCTGCTAAGCTATGGTTATAGACCACTATGCCCATAAATCTCGTCGCCGTGCTATTGCCCCATTTTTTTCGAAACTAAACATTGTTGCCAGGCAAAATCTGCTACACCGAAATATTGAGAAGCTCTGTCAGCGCATTTCCACTTTCAAAGGAACCACTGTTAACTTAGGCGCGGCTATTAGTGCGTTTTCTCGAGATAATGCCAATGAGTTCATTGTTGGCAAAGAGTATAATGAACTTGATTTAGAAGACTTTGGTATTGGATTATCACTGGCGTCTCAGGGCGCGGGGGTATTCTGGCGTACGACTAAGCATATACGCTGGTTTGGACCCTTAATGAGAGCGATACCCATTAACTGGGCCAAGAAGATGGCAGATGAAAATACTCAGGCTTTCCTCCGTTATCTTCAGGTATGCTACCATTTATTGATGAACAGGTGGCCTCAAACTGGTGCTTGTTATATTTAAGTCTTTCTTTTAAATTAATACTGACCTCAATAGCAATCAGAACAAGATACACGAGATACATTGGCGGCTTCAGTATCCCCTTCTCCTAATATTAAGGTTAAGGATACTATAGTTTACGCAATTACTCATTCTGACCTTCCTCCAGCCGATAAAACTTTTGATCGCATTTTTGAAGAACTAGCTACTATTACTGGTGCAGGATTTGAAACGATATCTAATACCCTAAGGTTAATCCTATATCACGTTTATACTAATGATACAATTCTTCAACGGCTTAGAGAAGAAATTAACAAAGCATCTACTACATCTTCTAAGCCAGTCGCATTAAAGCAGCTAGAGAAGCTACCCTATCTCACGGCCGTCTTAACGGAAGGTTTACGCCTTAGTCCTGGAGTAGCCACACGAGCAGCACGCATTACAGATAAGGATCTCTTCTATGAAAACTGGCGTATTCCCGCCGGAACTCCGATTGGTATGACTACTATATTGATACATACCAATGAAAAGTTATATCCCGATCCAATGCGTTTTAACCCAGAGAGATGGATGGAACCGACCTATATGAAAACAACCTCGACATTTGCACCGTTCTCACGAGGAACTAGAACATGTCTCGGCATGCAGTAAGTCCTATTTTTCCTTGAATGCTATAACCACAAGTACGTGATTTTTGCTGACATTGGGCTAAACCGCAGCCTTGCCTGGGCTGAGATGTACTTACTTCTCGCTGCCCTAGTTCAGGAGTTCAACTTCACAATCAAAGATGCCACAGCCTGCGACTTTGAGTTAGACAAGGATAATTTTGGCATTGGTGTCAGGGTAACATGTAATCTAATGGCACATGTTACGCTGCATGAAGGCTGAATTTTATCCACAGGTACAAAATCCTTGTTCAATCAGTTGTCGGACTTGTCTTCCGGAGTGTTGGTTTTTAAAGCCGGAGGTTGGCTTTGATATGTAACTAATTCCTTGCTCATCAACTGCTCATATTACTCCTATCCCCGAGCATAGCGCCGATAAATAGATTTTATAGCTCTAGTCCTCTGTTCCATCGCCATTATTTCATGTGCCCTCTTGTTGTGTTTATAGGTTCGACCTACATTGGATATCATTTTGCCCGCTGATGCTCTTGCACTTTTAAGTAAGATACTGTGCAGTTTAACTAACGGGGAAGAAAGCAGGTTGCTATGGATAGCCTGTGGCTTTCTGCTGGTCATTTTAACCTTGCATGGGGGCTCCTTTAGAGACCAGCATACATAGTGAGTGTCGATCTAAACGGGAGTTGCAAGTCTTCCCTATGTTATATATTACACATGTTATTATTAGCACAGATGCCACGCCCTTAGCGTAATTTTTGATCTGTATCTCCTACCCCAGTACTACAGTTCAGCCTGATCGTTACGCCCCTTGGCCGCAGTATACCCATGAGCGTATTTTACTCTTTGCCTTCATATAAAGATTACAGTAATTCTTAGGGCATTGTAATTTTACTATGGCTCCATAAAGTTCTTAATGGCTATTCATTTGTTACTGCCGGGATATCAAACCCAAAACTGGAGCCTTGTCGCCCCTATTCTACCCTAGCATTGCAATGGAAATTCATGCTGATGTCCTTATATACGTTGATATACTTAAATGACTAGATGGGCTGAAGTGTATGCGGTTGGTTGGATGTATTGAACTAAATCTCAGCTACTCGCCCCAGCGCTGTCGTTATAGCTAACTTGTTATCTTCAATCGTCAGTACAAAGGCCATGTCACATATGCCTTTACTTATCAATCCGGATGATCTCGGCCGGGGGCCTCTGATTATGGCCCTGACCTGGACTTTTGCCAGTTTAGCAGTCATTGCCGTGGCACTTCGCTACTATGTACGCATCAAACTAAGCAACCGTCTTGTTCTAGACGATTGGCTTATAGGTGCTGCACTTGTAAGTGCAGTGCTATCATGAATCTCTACTCTTTTCAAGCTGGATGGTGTTATTTTCTGCCAATACCCACAGTGCTAATGCTTAAAGTATCTAGATATTTAATATTATCTCTCAGTGTTTTGTGAGCGTGGGCTACCATTATGGCTTCGGAAAGCATGATGCTAGCCTGCGGCCAGATCAGATCATTAACATCTTGAAATGGATGTGGCTTGCAAACACCCCCGGACTCCTTGTTGCTATCACAGCGCGTCTCTCTATTGCAGTCCTCCTTGTGCACCTTTTCGGCAAAGTCCACAGATGGCTCAAGTGGTTCCTGGTCGTGGTGACAGGCCTATGTACCATCTTGACGGTCATAGTTATTCCATCCACATTTCTGCAAACGACTCCTGTTAGCGGGAACTGGAACCCATTCCAGCCAAGCAAGCGCTGGAATCCAAAAATTTATATTAGTCTAGCATTCCTTAGTCAATGTGAGTCGTACCTCGTCTGACCAATTTCCTCTAAGTATTAAGGCTAGTTACAGCTAACATTTGATAAAAAGCTTTATGGACCTTTACCGATTTAACATTTGTCCTGTTTCCAGTCATGATTATTTGGCGGCTTCAAATGTCTCTTGGGAAACGAATAGGCCTGATACTTCTCATGAGCGCATCGCTACTCACCATGAGTATGTCGATTCTCAAAACTATTAGCCTCCAGCGTATCGCCGATCAACAAGCAGACCCTACCGCTACTGATGCCCAATATAATGCCTCCCTTACTATCCTTTGGTCCTGCCTCGAGCAAGCCTTTGTCATTATAATGGGTTGCATCCCACCCCTAGGTTCTATCAGGAAGCTGCAGGTACCACAGTCCTTATCGAATACTTTGGATAGTATTGTGCGGTTGATTAAGCCGTCTAAGGCGGCAGTAATGGACTCGCACAAACTCAACAGCGACGCTGGCTCTGGAGGCTATACAAACCTAGAAATGTCAAAGAATATACCCGGCTGGGCTGGCAGCAAAAGCGGAGCGATGTCGGGCGAGGGGATATCTGGAAGCCAGCAGGGTCTGGCCAAGGGTGATTCAAATTCTGAGAATAATGGCACCCACCATGTGTAAGTGAAGCCAGAGCAAAATGTGGTGGTAGCACTCAATATTTCAATAGCAAAAGACCAAAGCATAAGTATGAATACAAGCTACTTATATATCTTCTGTTTGATTTTCTTTGTTTTATTTGTTAGATAGGTAATGGAGATAATGATATTGATAGTAAGTTTATTAGTTAATTTATAAGAACTCTTGGATGATGTGGTGTACAAGAAGCTACATTGTTAACTTATTTATTTCCCTAAGGCGACTGTACTAAATTCAGATTTCATAACTGGTGATATTAGTGAAGGAGCTGATTATTAGCCCTGTTTGTCTTTTCGGCAACGCTACTTTCGTCCTCTACGTTGGTATTTTTCTTCCTCAAGTCATGCCAGCCCATTCCCCATAACACGAGTGCACAAGCAGCAGCTACCCCAGCAACCAAGTAGAAAACTCGATCGACACTATTGGCGTAGGCAGCCCGCACACCAGAAAGGTCATCAGGCTCTACAAGAGAACGGAACCCCGTGGCCCCAGCCTTGATAATCGCTGCAGCGTCGGCATGTGGTGCATGTTCTTGCAACTGAGAGCCAAGGCTCGAAAGAAAAACTACATTGCATAGAACTAGCATGATGGCTGGGCCAAGTGACTGGGCGAAAATGACCAGCGCCATGCCGGTAGCCAGTTGTTCTCCGCCTACTGCTGCCTGCACTGTAATTATGGCCTAGTAGGTGGTGTTAGTGATTGGCCTGCGGTCAGACTCAGACAGGACAGTGAGTGCATCAATAGACGAACCAGTTGCATGCTAAGCCCTGAACCGATTCCTGCAAGTATCTGGAACCCAACCCAGTATCCCGTGGGGCTATCTGGTTGCAGCAGTGAGTATAGTCCACTTCCCACAGAAAGAAGGACAGTTCCAACGATGGCTAGAGGTACCACGAATCCCGTCATTTGTACTACTTATGAATTAGCGATATGGGTATTCTTTTGTTTGAACCAAGGTCCTGAAAAACCTACATAGTACTCCTGAGAGACCAGCTGCGAGAAGTTGCGGAAGGATCGTGGGTAACAGATACACACCGCTAAGCACAGGAGTAGCATTGTTGATTGCCTGGAAGTATATGGGAAGGAAGAATGCCGCTCCATAAACTGCCGAGATCATGAATGACTGGTATAATGCTGATGTCCACACTACTTTTCGTTTAAGCATGGAGGCTGGAAGCAACGCATTGTCTCCCTTGTGTTTGTTCCAGATAAGCCACACAGCAAAGTTTGCAACGGAGCCGCAAAATAGGCCTATAACACGAGAAGAGTTCCATGGGTACTGGTTTGTTCCGTATTGAAGAGCGAGAAGAAGTTGCAGTACGGCTGGGGCAAAGAGAAAGAACCCAACAAGGTCTAAGTGGTGATGCAGCTTTGAAAGAACCACCAATGGACTCTGCTTCTGCGTTTGTTCAGGTATCCGTAACAGGAGAAGGAATAGGGCAGTCAATGCCCCCAGAGGTAAGTTAATGTAAAAGCCTAACAGCGACCTAGTGAGTTCTTGCTACTAAATATTAGTGGGATCACGAAATGCGTAGACTCACACCATCTCCAGGTAGTATATGAAGTGAAAGCTCCTCCAACAAGAGGCCCGGCTACAAGACCGAGCTGGTTTACTGCGCCATTTCCAAGTTAGTGGTACTAGCTTACCCGGTACCAGTTGGACACTTACATCCCATCGTCAGGCCTATGAGGGCTAAAAAAAAAAAAAACAAGTTAACATTTCGGCAATCTCAAAATAGTAAAATTTACATATGGATCTAAAGTCAATCTACTTACTAGGGCGCTGCTCCAGCGGAGCACAGCTTGAAATAATGGTGATAGCACCGTTTATAATGCCAGAGGCACCAAATCCAGCAACAGCCCGTCCAACAATCAACATATTAGACGAGACGGCAGCACCACATAGAACGGAGCCGACCTCAAAAATGGCAAAGAAAACCAGAAAGGACCACTATTTGGTGATAAATGTCAACCAAAATAATGTTTGGGAGTGTACAGGCCTATACACGGACCTTTGAGTTGAAGTTCGTATAAATCTTCCCGGTGAGTGGCTGTGGGGCGGCACTGTACCTCATCTTAGATCAACATTCCTCTGACAGAGCGTAGACAATTACATACCTTCCAAACTGATACGCACTGGCATACCACCCGACATCGGGGAGGGAGTTGAAGGTATCAGTAATACGGGGAATTGCCTGAAAATGAATATAAAAACTGAGTATCTGATTGATAGGATAGGGTATGAGATAGGCAAACTCACTGTGCCAATAACCATTGTGTCCAAGAGCATAAGGAAACAAGCAAGTGCCACGCTACCAACAATCAAGGCTAACTTGAAGCCTATCACATACTCGGCAGCATCGTCTGATTTAACATCTATCTTTTCTGCCCCCTTAGCATCGGGGCTTTGCACTGGAGGCTCCTGAGACGGTGACATTTTTTAGGTGTTCGAAAGAATGAATGAATACCAGACAAACCCTTGCTCATCATACTGGAAAACTGTTGCTTTTAGCTGAGGAAAGGCAGGTCAAAATTTTCGGCGTTCTACTATGCATAGTTAAGGTGGCAAGCAAGAGCTTACTATGTACAGTGTGGGGCAACAAGAAGATCCACCTTGGCGTCGGGAATACCCCTAACCTTAACCATGCCAACGGCCTTGTCTTACCATACCTTACAGTAAAAGTTAGTTTCCACGGCCCTTGTCAGCCTTGCATATCCAACCTTCAATTCCTCGTCCAACATTACTATATTAATCCTTCCATTATACCATCCATAATTCAGTGCACAGAAGTGGCCCAAATTAATAAAACTTCAGGCAGGTGAGCGGTTTCCTGTCATTATTTAACGAAGGCATAGGCATGGATAGGCCATGATTCTGGATTCAAGCCAAAGCTCGTTTAGCGCAAGTAGCAAATATGGCAGCAGCTACAAATACTGTTTTCGTTTGCGGTGCCACTGGCAGCCAGGGAGGAGCCTTGGCCCTCAAAATCTGCAAGCAGCTAAATTGGGTCGTTCATTCGACAGCCCGCAATATTGCATCTCCTGCGGCGATCTCCCTTCTCGAAGCCGGTGTGAAGCTTACACAGGGAGATTGGGACGACAAAGCAGCACTCAAGGCAGCACTAACCGGCTGTGATAAACTATTTCTCTGTTTGCTACCGGATTTCAAAGATTCAGACCGCGAACGGCGGCAGGCAGAGGGCATCATCACGGCGGCCAAGGCTGCAGGAGTCAGCCAAGTTGTAGCGTCAACTTCACTGGGTGTTTTTACACTGGACGATGACCACCTTGAGCTTGAGGTCCAGAAACATCTCACTCCTGACTCATTTATGGCACGACATATTGCGAGCAAGAAAAGTATTGAGACTGCTGTTAGAAACGCTGGCTTCGAACACTGGACCTTCCTCCGCCCTTCATTCTTCATGGCCAACTTTCTGGAGCCCAAAGTGGCACGATATCCTGAGCCCAGGGAACATGGTACCTGGACCACAGCAATGACACCACACGCCCAACTCGCATTAATCGATCATGTTGACATTGCGGCATTTGCTATTGCTGCATTTCAGAACCCTCAAAAGTTCCACGACCGTGCAATTGGATTGGCCAGTGAGATGTTGACTGTGCAGGAAACTCTAGAAATTCTGGGGCAAGCGGCAGGGAGGGAACTCAAAGCCATATTTATGACGGATGAAGATATTCGTGAAAAGCAGAAAACTTCGAATGTATTTACTAATTCTCAGGTGTCTATGAGGTATATGTCCAAGTATATTGACCTGGAGATGATTCAGTCAGTCATTCAACCTACCTCTTTCAGGGAGTTCCTAGAAAGGGAAAAGGAAGGAGTGCGAGAAACTTATAAATAATTACACAAGCGAATATAGAATCACCCAAGTTATTAAATTGTCTTCCGTTATATTCGCTATACCTATAGACCATGTTAAAATAAATATATAAAATCTATGCTCTCCTAGTAACATGCAATTCTGCTTTTTGTGGTGGGAGCATGAAATTAAGGAATGAAATTCTCTTTCCAGGTCTCTTCGTGACTTCAACATCATAGTTGAGAAGCACATGAGAAATTGCCTGTTTCACCATATGGGCCACGAACCACCTCCCGGGGCATGCATGCCTACCATATCCAAACGGGAGAAACGACGTGCTCACAGTTGTCATAAGTTCCCTCTTAGTGGTGACTCTTTCACTGGTAGATTTTGTATCATGTTGTCGCGAGAATCGAAAAGCATCAAAGTGTTCAGGATTATTATATATGTCAGGGTCTAGATGAATCATCTGCGCTGGGAAGACTGTCCGTATTCCTGATTTAGTGGGAATTTGAAGCCCATCACCGAGATCGATCGGCTGGCCTGAGATGACGTCCAGGGGGAGTAAATGTACCATCACGTCGTTGAGGCGCATTGACTCACGCGCAGCGGAGTCAAGGCAATATAGTTTGTCAACAGCTTCCTTGGTCAATATTCCTTGGTATTCAGCAGAGACACGACGACACTCAGCTACTAGCGTAGTAACGATATCACTACTGGGGGGGCTGCCGTAGATATCAAGCACGGCATGAACAAAAACCCATCCGATTGCAAAGACGAACATGGAGGTAAGGGCAAGGATGCGGCGGGATATCTTGTTCGCGGTTAGCTGTTCCGGGCCATGATTCTTAGCCACTCGAATCAACCATTGAATCACATCACCCTAGAAGTAAGATGGTTAGAACCGGAAGGTATAGTAGAAATTGATTGAACGTACCGGGCCGTCCACCTGGCCTTCTTTCTCATCATATTGCCGCATCCTTTCTTGCACTAGAGGTATCAAGATATTCAATAATTTCCGTTCGTAATACCTAGCCCGCATGGCAAGCAAAGGGGCTATCATTGGTCTCACAGCGGGAGGGAGACTGTTGATAAAGCAGGCGTCCACCAGAACTGCATTTGCATACAGCCTGGATTGCTCTAGATAATTCTCATCCCTACACCCAGGCAACCCAACCATGATGCGTAGTGCGGCTCGAGCAATAATGCGTACCATTGAGTCCCAAGCATTAACAACCTTGCCCTCCTTACAATCACCCCAGTAGAGACGGAATGCTTCACTCCACTCTTCAGCAATGATGCCAGCAAGAGAGCCCATATCCTTCTCCCTCAGGTTATTGCGGACGATATCAAAGTGAATGGTATTTCCCCAGACATCCTTGTCTGACATTAGGTACTGAAACTGGGCGTTTTCAAGCAACGCATCAAAGCTGGATAATTCATTCCGGGGCCTGTTGAGGAGGTTTAGTTTCGAAGGGGGCAAGACGAGCACGGCTCCACCAATCCACATGGTAGGAAGGGCAAACGGTTTGTTGACTTTGGAAAACCTTTCATATCCGTTGCGCATTGTCTCTTGCATAGATGTCACTGACTTTGCGATAGCAAAGGCCCATGAGAAGATACCGCCTCCAGGTGGAACACCAATAGTGTCAAACTTGTCCCATAGTTTGTTGTACGATTTAGCCCATGTGAGCCTATACACGAGCTGCAGAAGAAACAGGCCAGCTGCCGCAAAGGCCCAAGTCAGCAGATGAGTTACCCAAGGCATACTAGAATTGCTCTCGAACAATGGAGCGTAGTTTGGGGCTTGACAGATCAAAGGATGAGGATAAGCGGAGCATATCACTATTTTGTATAAGAAGTTCAGAGATGGTAGTCACAATGCCTATTGTGCTTTGAGTCGTAGAAGCAGCTTCTATATAGTTTATTTAGAGGCACTGAAAATGCGTATGTGTCTATTACTCCTCCTCCACCCCCACTGACAGCAAGGACTGAGCTTAAGGAGTTGCATGTTGTAATGTTATACTTCCGGAGAGATATTGATAACTACTAGTTGGATTTGAATCAAAGTTTTTGTGAGTTACAAAGTTACAATCCTTGGGTAACTCTATATTTGACACAGCCTTGCATGACTAGGGCGTTCGAAATTGATGTTTGAGCCATTAGGTTGATTAGTATGGATAGCCCACCGCTATAGCAGGGAACCAATGCATGGCTGAGGACAGGGATCTCTAGCGGATGAACATCTAAGATCAGGTGGAGAGATTGGCTTCAACCACTCAATTTCCATTAATATGTCTTAGTTAACCCGGCTACGGCTGAGAATCCCCCGTCGAGTAGAAAAAAATTAAAAAAAAAAAAAAAAAAAAGATTCGAGTAAACTAGTTACTAGTCCGTTTAATGATATAACGATTAAAACTGCTTTTAAACGAAGATCAAGATTAAGCATCGTATTAGCTACCCCCTTGCCCAAAAACATGAAGTAATAAGGATTGAGTTGTTCCCCCAAATTATGGGAGTGGTCCGAGCTGGGCTTTAAGCCAGGCAGATGGACATATCAGGTTCAACCAATCTGCTAAGGTTTGTTAAAATAGGTATATTGATATATTGTATATAGTGGTCTATAGCTATCTAGGATTATTTTACTAGTAATCATCACAAGGAGTAGTTCAAAATTGTCGCATGTTGAACTCCATTTCGAGTAAAATAATCGTTGTCCCTTATTGGTAGAGGGATCATCAGGGGGGAATCCGGACGAAGAGAATCGATGGCCCTTACAAGCTCACTGCCGTCCAAAGCAAGGGGCATTAATCACCGTGCAATGAATAATGAAGAGTCAGCGAGTGTCGTGAGAATAAGGTGAGCATTTGGCTTTTGAGGCGCGTGTTAGGGCCTGCTGACTAAACTGAGCCGATATGGAAGCTGCTTCAGTCATGTGATCGTGACTAAGTCTACCGATAAGGACTAGCGGCGTTTCTTATCAATAATTTTCCGGCGCCGACGGTGAAAAGCCAAAAAAAAAAAAAAAAAAAAAAGATAGCAAAACAACATTTGGCGATAAAGAAGAATTCGAGTTTTAATAGATACCCCGACAAGCCATCAGCTACGCCGCCCTGTGGAGAATAGGGATAGAAAGCTGAAACCTCATTCACCACCAACTATTCTTCAAGACATCCATCCATTATGCCTATCTCAAAAAGAGCCAAGGTGGTCCACGAGTCAAGGACCCTCAAAAAATCGCACAAAGAGCAGACTCGACGGCTGTATGCCAATGTGCAAGCTGCAGTCACTGAATATGACCATCTCTTCGTGTTTTCTGTTGACAATATGAGGAATACGTATTTAAAGGATGTACGAACAGAATTCGCTGACAGTCGGTTAGTTGTATACAGCATTCTCGTTCCTCTTCCCTGGGAAGCTTCGTAGTGTATTAATTTATACAAAGATACTAACTATCTTCGCAGATTGTTTTTCGGTAAAACCAAGGTCATGGCAATTGCTCTAGGAACAACACCGGAAACCGCCTACGCACCAAACCTCGACCGTCTCACGCCTTATCTCACTGGCGCAGTCGGATTGCTATTTACATCTCGCGAACCTCAATCTGTGCTTGACTATTTCGAATCATTCCATCCCCTCGACTTTGCCCGTGCGGGTAACATAAGCCCTCGCTCATTTACTATACCCAGCGGCGTCGTATATTCTCGAGCTGGCGAGATACCGGCCGAAGATGACGAGCCAATTAGCCATACTGTTGAGCCTACTCTACGGAAATTGAACGTCCCCACGAGACTAGTAAAGGGAAAAGTCACACTTGAAATGGACGGGGACGGATATCAGGTCTGTAAGGCTGGTGAAGAGTTGGATTCCAGGCAATCAACCCTCCTGAAGATGTTTGGCGTTGCTGTTGCCGAGTTCAAGGTCGAGATGAAGGCTCGCTGGGTGAAGGAGAGCGGAGAGGTCGTGATCTTAGAAAAGCAGGAAACAATGGAAGTAGATGCATGAGAGGACATGAGCCTTGTTTTGTCGATTTTTATCCTACTCTCTCAAACTTCCTCATTCGTTTGATGAGATGATGACCGATTGAAAATTGTGGGCGTTATTAATGGAGTTCTGGCGGTTGGTGTTATAACACCTTTGGTGCTTGACCTGGTTGTTTTCTTTGTGAAATAATTGTATACCATTGAAATGGAAAAGCTGTCCGTGTTGTCTATGCTACCGAGTTATACAAATATCAAGTCATGTAGATAATACATCGCTAATAAACAAGAAAAAGGGGAAGAATTAACTATTACGGCCCATACTACCCATCTTTGCAATGATCAATGCGAGAATGTCCAGTAGTAATACTAAACAGCCTTACCCGATCTTACCTACACAGACAACCCACGGAACATAGAGATACAATTTCACCAAGGGTGCCATAACGTACATACTTACCCCCTAGCAACAAAGCCCCAAGATGAAAAAGGAAAGGAAATCAAAGGGAACGTAAATCAAAGGCGAATAAAGGGCGGAAAAAAAGGTATAATAATAAGACATCACTTCGAGAATTAGTAGCGCAGGCCCATGGTAGGCAGGAAACCGGGCGAGCGAAGTCGGATGGAGGTATCCAGGAGGCACCCAGGAGACATGCTAGGGTCTATAGCCTGAGATATAGGTGGTTCGTTATATGGCGAAGAGACATGCTACCTCTTATGCCATGTGATTAACGTTGGATCTGTTTTGATGACGATGAGATCGTGGGCGTTTTCTAAGCACCAATGATCTTACCCTTGAGGCTATGAAAAAATGAGATAAAATGAGTTGAGGCAACCCACCAACAAACCAGTGCTGAATTGTTAGGATAAGCCGTACTCAGTACCTTCGTTTTGTTCGAGGATCATCGTAGGCATCTCCTTCGTGGTGTCTCTTCCTTGGGGGTTCGTCATCACGTCGACTGTATCTGTCCCTGTCACGGTCACGGTCTCGAGGCCTATCACGGTCCCGATCGCTTCGACCGCCTCTGTCTCTTTCTCTGTCACGATCACGGTCACGATTACCATCTCTGTCCCGCTCTCTGTCTCGATCACCGTATCCTCTGGGCCTGACAGGCTCTCGGTTGCTACCAGTTACGCCTCGATCGCCTGATCTGTCGTATCTGGAGCCACCTCGGCTTCTATCATCAAAACGCCTATCTCCATGACTATCACCATTTTGCTGGCCATACCCACCACCTCCGCGACTTCCACCTGGGCCCAAGGGGGCGTTGGGAGGAGCTTGCCCCGTTGCGCCGTTGGAGGGGCCTCCAAATCCGCTACGCCCGCCTTGGAAGCCAACTCCTCCGCGGCCACCAAATGGCCGATCACCTCCTCTAAACCCTCCTCGGAAACCTCCTCTTGGCCCTCGGAAACCGCCTTGGAGGCCACCTGGGCCAGACGGAGGGCCGTATCCACCGGGGCCTAGAGGCCTTGAGGGCATCGCCTTGGTGTATCCACGCCCACCAAGACCGCCACCGAATCGACGTGGCTTCCATCCCTTGACTGTGCGTCCACGCTCAACATCGACAAGCGCACGTCGATCTTTGATGCGAATTCCATCTGTTTCCTTATAGGCGGCTGTATTTGTGACGCAGATAGCAATCAATAGCATTAGTCTTGTACTTGATTACCTTTTGTCATAGCTGTACTTATATGCTGAGTAGGGAGGGGGGAGGGGGATGAGTAAGGGGGCGAACGAATTGTTCAGGATTCAGTACCCTTCATATCTTTTTCACGCTCGTATACTATAAACGCATATCCTCGATGTGGCTTCTTTGGATTGGGGTTCTTCGTGTCCTTAACAATTCGGATCTGCCAGAAACAAAAGTTAGTCAAGTCGTCAGGAGAAAGGCTGACAGAAATAAATTTTGGCTATGGCACACACCCTCTCTATAGGACCAAACCGGCCAAATTCCCGTTCCAGATCGGCCTCTTTAACCTCGTAGCTCAGCCGCGAGACAAACAGCGTTCTGAAAGGGTCCCCACGGATTTGCGGGTCTTCAGAAGGGTTATCTAGATAAACATGTTAGAAGCAGAGATTATCAAGAAGAGTATGAGAGCCAAGATATTGTAAATACACACATTCTGTGAGACCTGCGGCCAGGCGCTTCTCAGCCTGCTCTCGTTTCTCCATCTTCAATCTATCCTTGCGCTGCAACCAACTCTCTGTCGCATTATAAGGGACCTCCTCTCCGTATTTCTTCAGCTCATCGAGATATCCAGCAACGCCAGATATCGTACTAGGCTTCACATCATCGGGCGCCCTGCTGATGGGTTGAAGGTAACGAAGTGGAGGTCGTGGCGCAAAGAGCGCGAGGAGGTTTGGAGGGAGTTTATCAGTCATGGTCGATGCATGTAGAACTGAACAAGTAGCATATATAATGTGCTACTGAAGCATCAAGCCCTCAAAGAGATGTGAAGGTATCGAAAGCTCTTTTACGTGTCGCGCTGTGTTTTGCGTTGTTGAAATCTTCAGCTTTTTTGCCAAAGATTGCTTAGTCAGTTATATCTGACCAATCACGCGAAAGCAGCCGAAAAGCATCAAAAAGTTCGACTTTTTTGCTTTCAATAGAACTCCAGGCAAATTCAATAATTATATCAGGAGTGGAAGACGCAAAATATGCCTGTTAAAGGAATCGTATCAGTGGCTTCTGGCCGAGTAAGTAGACTTCCAGCGTCAAATCTTTGGTTCTGTGCTAATGTGACTGTAGAATGGCGTTGGTGCATTCATCCTACAATGCAAACGACTCGACTTTCACTACTGCGACTGGGCAGGTAGCTCGAAGGGCATGAAGTGAGTAATTATGTTCTCTAGTTGTAAGTGAGGGTGATTTGATCTAACTCGTTCCTTTTCCAGTGCCTTCATCAAGGAAATGCTACCCGACTTCGCCAGACGAAACCCCCAAATCGAAATCCGCATATCTCCCCGTCCACATAAACATCCCGTCATCAAGGGCCACTATATCAATGGCCGCGAGAAAGCAATTTGCGTACGGAATCTCGAAGTATACGACATTCTTCAGAAAACGAACCTGTTGAAGGAAGCTAGTGGAGAGAAGCTACGGCGGACAACGAAGCCTGTTCTCAGCACGAACGAGAGCGTCAGAGGCATCTGGTCTCCTTACCATGGAGACATGAAGCAGATATAAATTTGCAGCTTGGCTCCTTGCTGAGATTATACAAGGTTGACGAGAATGTACAATTATTAATGGCATGGCGCGTCTGGTTTTCCACGATTTTTTTATTGTATTTTTGCTATTTGGAGGTATATTGCATTATACTCGGGAGTTGTATATGATTACTAGGGATATATTCTTCGATATAGGACCTCCATACCAGCCCATCTACTTTTCTGGAAACGTTTGGTTGAAAAGGCATACTCTAAAGGATACCCTTTGGAAGCAAGCTGGTATAACAACAAATATTCATGTATTCATGTAACGCTAATAACATAAGATGGATGCACCTAAAACCATGAGATGCTGGGTATTAGAATAGAAAAATGATATCCCCGTACACATTCTACCGAACGCCAACCGAATGAAGGGGGAAAATATAACGCTGGCAACTGATGATGACTAAAGATAAACTTGAAACATTGCCTTGGGCTGGCTAACGGATTTCCCGCAGTCTGCCACAACGCATTTCGCAAAAGGCTTCGTTTTTGTATCGGGTGATTGGTCTGATTTCTTCGCTCGAGATGAAAGGGCTCTGTTTTTGGTGCATGTGCCACAGTAAACCTATGAAGGTTAGTATAAGCCGGATGTAGTGAGAATAATTCAGTCCACTCACATGTCCACAAGGTCTGCAAACCCATATCTGTTTCCGTAGCTCATCACCTGTCCCTAGCTCATGTTCGCAGTTTGGACAAATAACCTCCTCGTCTTCTTGAACCGTTCTTGTAAATCCCTCGGGGGCTGCTGAAGGCGGGTCATAGGGAGCTTCTGCCCTAGGAGGAGGGTTGCCGACAAATCCTGTTGTGCTATAGTCCAAATGTATCGGTACATCGTCCAGTTCCATCGTCAGGTCTATCCCGTTATTAGCTGGAACGTTATTCCAGATCATAGGTGGCTGTGTGTGAACACGTCTAATCAGGCGTATATTTCTTGTGCGTAACGAAAGCTCATATCGTAATAACTGTTCCCGGTCAAGCGGCGGCGGCCTCCCCGGTCGTTGTATGCCTCTCAGTAAATTCATCAAGTTGGAACCTCCGGGTAAAAATTGCGAACGATGCGCCTGACCGGATCTATCATGATTGCCGCTGATATCTTGTGATGTGCTCTGTCTTACTGATGACCCTAGAAATTGTACCTCCGGGCTTGAAGGTTGATGCTGCTGTTGCTGACTTGAGGGAGAACTGTCGGCTTCCAAATCCACAACGTCAGCCATGATATTTCGTCCAAAGCGAGGACCCCGTGACGCTCTGTTCGTCCTAGTTTCCTCTCGTCTCCCCGTTCGCGCAGGCCGCAAAGTCGGATCTGAGTCTTGTGTCAAATCTATGATGTCCCCCCGGGGTAGGTTCTGGAGCGTAAACGACGGTGGCGAGACTCTGGTCGACATGACAGGCCTGCGGAAATCGAACCCGTCACCAGGAAATCTCATTTGCGGGAGCGATGGAAGGGGTGGTAGCCGGGGACGGGAGTTATTGAGAGCACCCGGGCGGTTTACCGAGCTTGAAGACTCTCCATGTTGGCTCCAGGATGTCTGGCTTTCGCCATCTGAGTGAGATCCAGATATCTCCCGGTGAGAGCGCTAGATGGACAGTGAATATGGTCAGCTTCCAGTCAATTCCCATGTAGATATCCTTTTTTTGGAGGGTGCTGTTGCCGCTAGCTATATTTCTCCAAGGGTTAACGAAAACCCCGCTAGCAGAACGCCAGGACTGACCTTTCTCGACGCTTGGGGAGTGAAATTTCGCAGGTTAGAGTCCTCATTCATGGTAGAAGGTCGGTACGGCAGCGGTAGAAGTGCTGGCTCCGTGGTGCAGACTTGTTGGATGTGGTAGTAAACTTCGAGAAAAGAGAGAGAAGAGAGAGAAGCGACACAAGCCTTTTTCCGCGCTTTGTCATGAACGAGCCAACTCAAAAAATAAAAATAGAAATAGTATGTATAATCTCTGTATTTGTATCTTCAGACCTTCTGCTGGCCCAGGGCGAGAGAAGACTTGACTTGATCCTGTGAGCAGAAAACACTACGCTTGCGTATGACTTGCCTTGCAGAGGATGTGAAAAAAAAAAAAAAAAAAAAAAAGGGAAGGGAAAAATGAAACGGTGAGAGCAAGTGTACAAGGGCAACGAGGGCGACTCGGGAAGCAGCATAAGGTGAGACCAGGACAAAGAGGATGTTCCAGAGAAAGTCTTGACATAGTCCTAGCAAAAAGGAGGCAAGGGTTCCCTAACAAATGCCTTCTGTGGTCTCCCTCCCTGCCATCACTCGCTGAGACGATTTGCTTTCTATGTTGATCCGTATTGATCAGAGCAATGAATACTTGTCCAGTACGTACACAGCAGAGGTAAAGGACAACTACATCACAGATATTGACACGGGGATAAGAGCTAGAGCAAGAGGTCGATAGTCAAGTTGCAATAGAAACAAAAAGGGAGTCCAAGTCTTGATAATGATATCTTATATAACAGATCTATATATGCAATATTATTTACCGACCTCTTCAGATAGACTAAAGACAGCTACGAATGATCTTAAGTCAGGATAACAGCCCTTCAGGGTAGAAAGTGGAACATTGTCGGTAGCCCAAGTCTAGGGCTTATCAAGGTAGGTTGGAATAGTAGCAGCCATCAATTCACTAAAGTACACAAGAGAGAAAAAAAAAATTACTGAGCAGTAACTGACACAATAACACCGTCTCCATTAAGCGCCAAAACACTCTGAGCAGATGGTCCCCAGGCTACAGCAGTGGCAGGCACTGCACTTCGTAAAGGCTCCGTCCAGGACTTTGAAGCCTTGGAGTATTGCTGAACCGTAAGTCCATTGGGTCCGCCTGTGAGGAGGAACTGGCCAGTGTAGTCCCAGCTGATAGTGTCGACTCTGCTACCGGTTTCCAATACCTTCACGACTGTCGATTTACGGAGATCCCAAACTGAGATTTCAGATGATTCGTTCGTCACTGCCGCAAGCCAGGTTCCGTTTTCAGAGAAATATAGCGCTTTGATGGGGCCAGACATGTCGAATGTAGCTGCGCTAGTGCCGCTCTTCACATCAAATATTTTGATCTGGCCGTCAGCTCCACCGGCAGCAAGTAAGTGGCCATCAGGATGGAATTTGACACACGATAGAGCTGTATATACTAGTTAGTAATGGCGATTGCACATTTACATATAGGCGATATATACATACCAGAGTCAGTGAATGTTTGAGCGATGACAGAGGAGTTTGAGATATCATAGAGGGTATAACTCTTGTCGATACCAACGGAGGCAACGATATCACCAGTTGGATGTACAGCCAAAGCTGCAGCCGTGCCAGCATGAATACTAAAACTGGCGACCTCAGATTCATTTTCAAAGACCTTAACAGCACCGGTAGAGGTGCTAACGACAGCCTTGTCTCCAACCCATGCAGAGTCCGTTATCGAGCCACTACCTCCTTTGAGGGAGGCAACAACCCGTTTCTCGGAAAGTGAATATACGCCAGCAACTCCGTCTACACCTCCTACCAGAGCGAGGCTGCCGGAGGAGTTCAAAGATATGGAATATCCGCCAGGATATAGGGGCTCAGACTGGCTGGAAGGCCGGAACTCTTGAATAGCTTCACCGGTGGCCCAGTCCTCAGGGATAGGCCGTTTGCGTCGTGTTTTTGAAAGTCTGTAAGGGGAATATCGTTAGCTATGGTTATGGCGTACAGTAGAGCAAATAATCGTACTTCTCTTGAGTTTCTTCGATCCTTGAAATAACACCGTCTGGAAGACCTGTGCTATCCACTTGCATCGCATCTCCAGCCGCGGGAGCACGACTGGCGCCAACCGAGATTTTTGAAAGTGCATCCCGGGCTTCGTCTCTCTCCTTTCGCAGTCTCGCAATCACACGGACGGCGGCATCATGCTGGTAGAGTGCTGTACTAAGCTCCTGTCGCGTCTGTGCTAGCGTCTGCCTGAGAGTAAACGTTTCAAGGGCTAACGCATCCCATTCTTCTTGGAAAACTCCCAGTAACGAGGGGATTGAGGTAAGTGTCGGTGGTCGAGGTCGGGCGATGCGAGCTGACTTCAGTTCGATGAGATCGTCGACGGTATGTTCCTCGCCCGTCACCGGCTCCTTTCCATGCTCTGAAATATACTCTTCAATGAGTCGCTTCTCGAAAACGTTCCCTAGCCACGTTATATAAGTATGCATTGCTATAGCAGCTTGCGAAGTGCTGCTTACCACTCTTGCGCGACACCACGGGCACCTGAGGAGCCTCGCCAGAAACTAAACCGCCAAAGGTCAGTTAATTGACATTCTTAGAAAACACACATCAACGTAGAAGGTATCTTACTTGCACACAGCATGGTTTGAGAGTTGGTTTAAGGAGTCTTTGGAGCTTCGCGAACTCATTCTTGCTCTTCAATATCGATTTTCCCATTTCTGCATGTTAGCTCGGGTGTTTGTATTTCCGCCCCGAGGATCTTCAAGCCGCAAAATGTCAAGATGTTGAATTATTACATTTTGAGCAAGGCTGATGGTTTTTAAGGGATACTCCCGAAGGTTTATGTTGGCCTCTTTCTATATCCTGGATATCATTTTTACCCAGCTATGGCTCGGTGATCGCGTAGCGCAATGCTTGCGATCGGTTTCGTGCGGCCAGAAATCAATCCACGCCAGTTCAACCCATCATGAGCCGCAGGGCAAACAATCTCTCTTATGGTAGATACATGTGCCCCTGGGCCCTGCAACAAACCGTTAAATTGAGCTTCAAGTTACTTATTATGCTGGTTGTATAGAGAAGCCAGAACCATCGTTCCTCCGTAAGCTGAGGAATCAATATGGGGATGGCGGCGAATACCACCGCAGCCGCCCAAGCCCACGTCCTACCAAAGGGAAATATGTCGAAGACGAAGATGATGGGCCTACTTATATTGATGAAGAAAGTAACGAAGTCATTACGAAAGACAAGTATCTAGAGATGGTAGCAGGGCCTAGGGACGAAACCACTGGTGCCGAGGGAATTGGAACGGAAGAGAATGGCCAATCTGCGGCCACGAAGAATAGCGCAGGCGAAGATGGAGCTGAGGTAGAAACCCGGGCTTCCAAGTCTAAGCAAAACGTGGCGGAGATAGGGGCCTCAAAGAAGAGGAAGCAAGGGAAAATAGTAGGAGGCGACGATGTTCCTGAGGACCAACAGGCATCTCAGTCCCAGCCTGAAGCGCCGAAGAGAAAGAAGAACACAAAGAAGAAGGTCAAGCTCTCGTTTGAAGATGAGGAATGAGATATTCATGACTCATGGAAGCCTTCATCTGCCTCGTCTGGGCCAGGTTGCCAGCGTAGTCCTTTACCACCGCAAGAACATAATGCATAATATTAAGCATACGGCATTTTCTTGACCTATTTAGAGAGTTCGATTCCAGCCCGGTGTTGCAAGGCGATGTTTTGCTGTAGATTTCATCGTTATGGCTCATAAACAGTCATACCTTACTTAATGTTTTGACTTTGACCAAAAATTATTTCAATATTTAAAACGACAAACAATATTAAGTGAACTTCTAATTTTATTCTCTTTTTATCCGCATTATATATCTTTCTTGCTATAATCTCTCTCTCTTGATATTTATTTACGTCATCTAGTGAATCTTACAAGCCTACGAAAATCTAAACTTGGGACTGAACGAAGGGCCTTGCGAAGCCTAGAGAGCCGGTGTAAGCACCTGGACGGCTACATCTTTCGTTCGACGCGGGCGCAACAGGTAGATGACCTCGTGCCAGATGCCAAAATGCCGATAGTTAACTTGGAAGATCTTGTTCGTCTCCAGCAAAAGGCTGAAGATATCAGAAATGTAGCTATAGCTGCCCCTCCCCCGCCATCACGATTATATTTGGTGGAACAATAGCCAATTTACTAATTCATTTGATAGATCTGTATCCTCGCGCATGTTGTATGTGACTATAAATTCCTGGATCTTTGTTTCACTGGAAATATCAAGTTTCCATGTTGACGCAGACATTAATGTCTATTATAGGATCATGGAAAGACATCATTAACAGATAGCTTGATTGCCACAAATGGAATTATATCACCTAAGCTGGCGGGAAAGATCCGCTACCTGGATTCTCGTCCAGATGAACAGCTACGAGGAATCACGATGGAGTCATCGGCCATCTCTCTTTATTTCTCCATGTTACGGAGATCTGCTCCAGAAGGGACTCCTGATAAGCGGGAGTTTCTTATCAACCTGATTGATTCCCCTGGCCATATTGACTTTAGCAGCGAGGTGTCGACAGCTTCTAGGCTCTGTGATGGCGCTCTCGTTTTGGTTGATGCGGTTGAGGGTGTCTGCAGCCAAACAGTTACTGTTCTACGACATACATGGGTAGAACGGCTGAAGCCCATCCTCGTCATTAATAAAATCGATCGTTTAGTTACCGAGTTGAAGTTGACGCCTTTGGAGGCATATTCCCATCTTAGCAAGATTCTTGAACAGGTGAACGCTGTGATAGGGAGCTTCTATCAAGGAGAACGCATGGAAGAGGACCTCCAATGGAGAGAGAAGGTCGAAGAACGAGTTAAAGCTGCAGCAATAAAAGAAAAAGATCGGTCGAAATCGAGTGCAGAAACCAGTACTCAAATAGACACTGAAACTGCAGAATTTGAAGAGCGAGATGATGAAGATCTATATTTTGCGCCAGAGAAGAACAATGTCATATTCTGCAGTGCCACAGATGGCTGGGCGTTTACTATTCGACAATTTGCTGGACTCTACGAAAAGAAGCTTGGGATCAAACGGGCTACGCTGGAGAAAGTGCTCTGGGGGGATTATTACCTGGACCCTAAAACCAAGAGGGTCCTTGGTTCGAAGCATTTGAAGGGCAGGCGATTAAGCCCAATGTTTGTTCAACTGGTTCTGGAGACCGTTTGGGCAGTCTATAACGCAACCACGGGAGGAGCCAACTCTTCAGGGTACGTTCAAACTCCGTCCACCGGCAATCATATCTCTAGTACCCAGTCTAATGTTCTTTTATAGTGATCCTGCACTCTTGGAAAAGATAACCAAATCTCTTTCGATAAAGATACCCGTACATATACTCAGATCTCGGGACTCTAGGAATATTCTATCTGCAGTATTTTCATCATGGCTGCCGCTCTCTACCGCTGTGCTTGTCTCCGTGATCGAATATTTACCTAGCCCTATAGATGCTCAAGCGGTCAGACTTCCTGATATGATTGATGATTCCCCAGACGCGAGCTATGTTGACCCCAAGGTCCGTGACGCTGTAATAAACTCCAAGGCAGGAAAAGAGGACCCGATTCTAGGCTATGTCAGCAAAATGGTGTCTATCCCGGAGAGCGAACTGCCTACGAAAACACGCCGAGCACCTGGCGGAACCCTGTCTGCGGATGAAGCTCGTGAAATTGCTCGGCGAAAGAGAGAAGAATTTGCTAAACTCAGAAGTGACGCAAATGATGGAGATGTCTCTGGCCTCGCGCACGCTTTGTTGGACTCACAACTGGATGAACCCAAGGCAGAAGAGAAGACAGAACCGGAGCATCTTATCGGGTTTGCGCGACTATATTCTGGCACTCTCTCGGTGGGAGACTCAATATATGTATTGCCGCCAAAGTTCTCCCCCATGAACCCCAGGGCTCGCCCTGAACCGACAAAAGTAACGGTGAAGGGGTTGTACTTACTTATGGGACGGGCTCTTGAGAATCTAGACAGCGTCAGTGCTGGTGTTGTCTTTGGAATTGCTGGACTGGAAGGTCATATCATGAAAACGGGAACAATATGCAGCCAAGTAGACGGAGCTGTCAATCTCGCTGGCGTGTCACTAAGCCAACCACCCATTGTTCGAGTTGCTCTCGAACCCGTGAACCCGGCAGATCTCAATAAGATGATAGATGGGCTGAAAATGTTAGAACGAAGTGACCCTTGCGCGCAGTACGAGGTACTACCAAGTGGAGAACACGTTATTCTCACAGCTGGAGAACTGCATCTTGAACGATGTCTTAAGGATCTTCGAGAAAGATTCGCCAAATGTGATATACAGGCTGGAGAGTCCATCGTGCCGTACAGGGAAACCATTATAAGTGCTGCTGAAATGAACCCCCCAAAGAACCCAGACTTGCCTCGTGGGACTGTCATTACAAGTTCGGGATCGAAACAGCTTAAGATTAAGATTCGAGTACGGCCGCTACCCGCAACTGTCTCTGAATTCCTTCTCAAACACGCTGGAACTATTAAACGGATATATGCACGTAGAAGGAATGTGCCGACGGATACCACGAAAGAATCCAATGGAGATGATACCACTGATACAGGAAATGCTGGAGAGGCTTCCCAGGAGGGGGCTACTTCTAGTCGCAATACTCTTTCTGCGGATGAATTTAAGAAAGAGTTGGAGTCTTGTTTTAGCGGGGTAAAAGAAGACAAGGACGTTTGGGCTGGTGCACTTGCAAAAATATCTGAATTTGGACCAAGGAAAACAGGAGCCAATATTCTTTTCGATGCAACTCCTACCGGACGCTATGAGAAACTGTACGTGAGACTGCATAATCCGATATATTATACTAAGGCTCATGACTGACACACTCTTAGATTCGCGGAAGGCTCAAGTAACAAGCCAGCTCGGGACTCTGCCCTGTTTTCGGACAAGATATCATATGCCTTCCAGCTTGCTACATCTCAGGGCCCTCTCTGCCGTGAGCCCGTTCAAGGGGTAGCAGTATTCATTGAAGATGTTACACTTGAAGATATTGGGGATGAAGAATATACTCGCCTGACGGGAGAAGTGATAAGGCTGGTACGTGATGCTGTGTGGCAAGGGTTCCTTGACTGGAGCCCCAGAATAATGCTTGCCATGTATAGCTGTGAAATCCAAGCTACAAGTAAGTAATAGATTGTCTGTCCTGTTGGATATCTCTGATAGATGAAAGCTAATTTGAAAATTCTGCAGCCGAGGTCTTGGGTCGTGTATACGGTGTAGTGACCCGAAGACGAGGACGTATTCTGTCCGAAACTATGAAAGAAGGAACCTCCTTTTTCACGATCCTTTCTCTCCTTCCAGTAGCGGAATCATTCGGATTTTCAGACGAAATTCGAAAACGTACGTCTGGAGCTGCTTCTCCACAGCTTATATTTACCGGGTTTGAAATGCTTGATCAGGACCCATTCTGGGTTCCGGCCACGGAAGAAGAGTTGGAAGACTTGGGCGAGCTGGCTGATAAGGAGAACCTGGCGAAGAGATATATGGATAGCGTTAGGAGTAGGAAAGGAATGGTTGTTGCAGGGAAGAAGTTGGTAAAGGACGCTGAGAAGCAGAAGACGTTGAAAAGATAGTTTAAAGGGTAATGCATGGGAATGTGGTCATTACAAAAGTAAACGTTGAATAGATATATACCATGGATTTATAACAATGGTAATGGGCTATTGGCATTGAGTATTTAATCCTATCGAGTATTAGTTTCTGATTCGTAATCTCAGCCTAGCCAACGTATATGCGTACCTTGGCGGTATTCCCTTGAATGCTTCATGTAAGTCCACGGCGGGGGGAATGCGTATCTTTGCTGATTCTTCAGCTTCTCTCTCAAGCAATATGATACGAACTTGTTCAGTCCAAGTAGCCCATAACCCATCAAATAGATTATTGTAGCGCGCGCGCGGAACCGCTCCAGTAGGCCATCTCCACCAACCTACTCAAGCGAACCGATCACATACATCGGGGTTCAAACAAGATACGTATCGTCCATAAAACCACACGCCAACTTCAGTCAAATCAAAACGGCTTCGCAACCTTCCTTGCCTCTCCAACCCCACTGACCGGATCCCTCATCTCCTTCCAACTAACAGGAAACATCATATTCCCGCCCTCACTCCTCGCCATAACGACACCAAGCTCATTCCTAGCCGTAGAGCAATAATATGAACTCTGGTCACCGACAGAAATAACGTAAGCTCGCACTATATCTCCAACCCGAAACATATCTTCCATCACCACCCGGTCCTTTTCAACTGCACGAACATCTTCTTTCCGAATAATAGCTTGGAACCGTAGATCATCTGCAGTGTTGCTTGTGCTCGTACTGTCTGTTCCGGCGGTGGTGATTATCGGTGCTGAAGAGAGGATTGTGCGCATGTCTTGGTCTATTAGATCATTGTTTTGATCGTCTACGACCATGAGGATGGAGACTGTTGCCTGACGCTTTTGGACACGGGTGACTCGCGCCAGAACAATGGAGTCGACAGCGGGTAAGGTGTTGAATTTTAAGGGTGCTTTTGTGTGGGGGGTGGAGAGGGGCCGTTGGGTGCCGTTTGTATCTGCTTTCGGGGAGCGGGATACTGTGATTATTTTTCGAGGATTCCGCTTATTTGTTTCGATGTCATCGTCTCTGAGGATTACTGGGCCGGCTATGGAAGCACAGATGGATGAGTCGCGAACATACGTGCCTGGGCCGGAGGTGTATGTTGAGAGATCACCTAGGCGGAGGCCGGGTACCGCAATCGAGGGTATACTCATAGCGATATCGAAACGAATAACAAATTCCGCCAATACTAAAATAAAAGAAAGAGAGATGAACGAATGAATGTAAATCGCGACGAAGGCGTCGATGTTGAAAAAGAAGTTTTGATATCAAAAGAAGTTTTTAGCCCGAAAAGCTAAGCTCGTTTAAAGTTATTGCTTACTCAGCCTGAACGGCATGACGTCATGAAGTAAACAAAAAAAAAGAATTCATGTTTGGCGGGTTGAGAAAAGAAGTATGTTAAAACACCAGCGAATGAATACATTCTTTATGTATTTGGATGCAAAACTTGGCTCAGACCAGCTAGTGGGGGGAGTGCTACCAAATAAAACTGAAGGTATGCAATGTAACGGTCGAGGTTGTGGATAAGGGAGGTCCGCGGAGGCGGGAAAGGCGTGATGGCGGTTAAAGTGTATTGGAAACAGTCTTATATAAATGAACAGAAAACAATGCAGGGTAAAATAAATAGACAAGGAAGAAAGAATAGATGAAGGGAACGAGAGAAAGAGGTTTTCAGCACCTGCCTCCGGAACGCCTGGACTCCTTGCCACAATTAAATGAGATATCCACAAGAGAAAAACTAGAGAAGAAAAATAAAAAAGGAAAATGATGGAGGATAAGAAATGAGAACGATGAGGTTAAAAATGAAACACGTTCGACAACGTTGTAGGTATCGGGCTAGAAAGGCGACATACGACGGGCGGGAGGCGTCCGGCCAAGGCTGTGGGAGAGGGCATAAAAAAAGGGCACCGAGGGGCGCCAAAAAGTTCATAAGTGGTGGCCATCAGCAGGTCAGCTATGCTTAGAGTCAAAACCGAGTAGTTCGAGAGATCGCTGCGCAAGAGCGATGACTTCAGCGGTTCCTTCTTCGCCATCTTCTCCCTCGTCGTCTGATTCAAGGCTCTTGTTTGCGATCGCCCGGACTAGCTGTGTTATATCTTCTGACCGGGTAATAAAGCCGATTAGTCGCTTGTCTTCAGACTCGATCAGTTGGAGGAGCGTCCAAATAGCGATATGTTGGAATGTGGGGTCGCCACTGGCTAGGAAGCGGCTTAAATAACCGTGAAGGCCGCCGTTTGGTTCGGTCCAGTCTCGAACGAATATAGAGTAGTCGCCAACTGTTCATGCTGGGTTAGTTATATTGTAACGAGTAGAACGCGTGTTCGAGAGCATACCTTTTGATGACAGGTTGCCCAAGGCAGCGGCACTGTTGCCTTGAACCTCGATGCTCTCAGAAGCAGTTAGGGGGATCAGCACGTCAAAGACTCCAAGCTTCAAGAGACGACTCTTTAGATCATCACTAAGCGCCAAAACAGCGATGGCAGCAGTCATTTCTGACTGCACCGTCAGTGGTACCTGTAGAACGAGTTCCTTGCATTTCTGCACAGCGCCAGCTTCCAGCACCAACTCCTTATTCCTATCCGAGCTAGCTGCGAGGTTGCGCAGCGTGGATATGGCGTGGCACTGGATCTCTTCGTTGTCGATAGAGCCAAGGAGGTCGACCAGTGGTTTGAGGAAACCGGCGTCGATGATTGGCGACTCGTTGTTTGGGTGTATGGATATGTTTCGGATGCACGCTACCGCGGAGAGAATTAACGGGAGGTATGATGATTGCAGCAACCGAAGAAGAGGTGGGAGCCCTCTGGCACGAACGATCTCCAGCTGATACTTATCGTCTGAAGCTAGGTTTCGAAGCGCGAGCGCTGCTTGACATTGTACCTTGGGTGTGGACGAGTCCATGAGCTGGACAAGAGACTGGACAAGCCGCGACTCGGTCTGCGCAAGCTTCTTACGATTTAGAGCGTCAACCGCGATATTGCTCAGAGCTGTGGTGCAGTAGTACTGGACATCGACGTCTGGCGACGTAAGCAGCTGGACCAGGATCGGTATCGCGCCGGCAAGGACAAGCTGCTGTCTATTTTCGTCTGTAACAGGGATTAGAAGCGGGTGGGAATACATAAGATACCGGGCATGTCTACATACCCGAATGCGTCATGTTGAGCAAAGCTCCAGTCGCATTCCTCTGGACACGCATATCCTTGGACCTAGCAAGTCGAGTGAGCGGGCCCAGAGCTCCAGACCCAGCAATCTTCGCCTTGTTTTCCTCATGGGTAGCCAGATTGGTGATGCAGCCTACGGCATTGCACTGCACCTCGACGTTGGTGGACATCATCTGCCGGATAAGAGGAGCCAGGCCTCCGAGAAGAACTATCGACACTTTGTTTTCGGCTACATCAATGTTAAGACATGCTCATATAAAGCAACGGAACAAAAAAAAAAACAACGAGACACAACGTACTGTTGACGGCAAGGTTCCCTAGAGCAGCACTGGCAGCCCGCTGCACTTCGATATCAGGGCTCTCGAGCAGGAATAGTATCGGCTCTAGGGTATCCCGGTCGACCTCGCGGACATCTATAATATCGGGTTCCCGTTGTTAGCACAGACGGCAAGCAAAAATAAAAAAACACAACAAAAGCGGGGTCTCCATCTTGTCTCCTCTGTCCTGTCCCTGCTCACCTCTTTCTGTTATCTCAGCAAAGGTGAGACTGGCACTCCGCTGAAGGTCGACATTATCAGAATATACAAGGGTGCTGAGCGCTCGAAGCGGCTCCCCGGTGAAGAAGTCAGTCTCATTCCGCTAGACAGGAAAAACACATGTTAGCAGAAAAGCCACGACTCCGGCGCCAGAGAGAAGAGGTGGGAGAAGACGTACGTTTTCCAGATACTGTAAGAGGTCAGCTACAGCTTCGCGTTCACTGTCGGCGATGATTGGCTCGTAGAGGCTATCCCTCGATCGACCTTTTATTTGACAGGGAGCCTCCAGGTCAGCAAATGCGGTGGTGGCACCAGGCTGGAGGGTCGAGGTTTGAAGGTACCTGTTAAGCAGGAAAGACATGCATTTCCCATTCTTCCTAGGAGTGTCTGGCCCAGGTAGATACCGTCTCTCTGTAGCAGCCAGTCGGTAGTTTGGCGGCGATGGTTGACGATGTTGTTTTGCGTTGTTCGGTGGTTGGTGGTTGGTGGTTTTGGCTGGTGTTGCTTGCTTGCTCCCTTCTGCCGCTTGCCTAGCAACGACGGCGTGTAAACAAGCACGACAACGGGAGTTGTGTTTTTGTTCTCGATGGTTGGACGAAGAGCGTACGGCCAACGGGCGGACGCAGGTACTGGGGGTGGCTCGATTGGCCTGTATTATTTATTTATGGCGAAGGAGACGGAGACGCAGCGGCAGCGAGAGCTGATGAAGTCATCCCCAGACGAGCAGAAGCAGAAGCAGCAGAAGCAAGGAGAGAGCGTCTTGTGATGTGGGCGACAGCCACAGGGAGGGATGTTTCTTCTTGTCTCTCTCTCGTTCTCTGTGCGGCGGTGCAAGATTTTCTGTTGTCCTTTTTCGTCTTTCTTCGTCCTCTTCGTCTTTCTTCTTCCTCTTCCTTTTTCCCGTTTTTGTTGCTTTTTCTTGCCTTTCAAGCGTTTTTTTCGCAGCGAGTTTTTTTCTTTTCGTTTCGGTGGCTGGAGTGTATTTACAATACCGGGTCATGGCCTGTTTGTCTCTATAGCCAGTGGTAATAATGGTAACTACGGTACAGACATGTTTCGAGTCAAGGCAAAGCTATATCCAGGGGGTTTTAGAGAGGAGGATGAAGAGGCGTCTTGATGGAACAGATGGCTGAAGGCTGAGGCTGGAGTTGCACTGGAGACTGTACTATAGATGCTGTGAGATATAGCTGGGAGCTACATAGTAAAAAGGAGAGCTACATAGTAAAAGAAGAGAAGAGCTACATAGTAAAAGAAGAGAAGAGCTAAGTAAAGAGAAGAGCTGAAGAGCTGCTCTATCAGACTATGATGTACAGGCTGATGCGAGTGATGGCAGCTTCCACGCCCTCCTTGCCATGCACGGTAGATCATCAGCACAAGTACTTATGATATGCGGACAGACGCTACCATCGACGGATAGCTTCACGTCTCTCCAATGACAGCTCAAGTCTTCCTCCATTGGCGGAAGCTCAGATGTCCCTCTCGTTCTCTTATTCGTCGTCTTCTTGCCTGCCCGGTGGAAGCTCCAGGAGGCGGCATGGACTGTCTTATGACAAGTCGAACTTCACAGAACAAGGAAACCTTCCTATACACGAGTGTATATACCCTGATGCTTGTTTATGATGGGAAACGGCCGATTTAAGCATATCATGCAGCTTCCCCGTGCTGTATAAGAAGTCCTCGAGGCTTGGTAGCTTCAGGCAGACCAATCGACGGCCCCGGTCGAGGCTGAGAAGCTGCAAGGTGGCGCCGGGGAAGACGAACTCTGACGGCCAGCGTGAGCAGGTCAGATGATTCCGATGGCGTAGACCCTTGTGAGTTTATATACACTGTGATGGTTTAACCATGTACATAGTAGAGACGTTTTTGGTCGGTGTCTTGTGGTGAATAAGAGACGAAGAGTGCTGCTCCTCTCAGCTCCAAGCTGGTGGTAGCTAAGGGGCTTGCATGAACCCGCAGTCGCCTCCGGTTTAACTCTGGCTTTCAAGTAGAGAATAAGCCGGCTCTGAATACGGAGTATACAACGACTTACACTATTATATCTACTATAGACCAGTCTACTCTTCTGGAAAGTCTTCGTGCAGCCACGGATCACTCAACAGCTCCTTTGCGGTGCTGCGGTCTTCAGGCTTCCACTTGACCATCCGCCGTACAAAACTGATGAATCTCCTCTTTCGTTCTCCGCTCATCATGCTGACCGTGCTTTCAAAGCTAAAGTCCGTTGGGATCAGGGATGGAGTGTGCAGGTTCCCTAGCAGTGATGCTCTTTAGTCCTGGGATACGGGCCATACAGGGACCAAGGACTTACCGCTGGGGTTATAGAACATCGACGTCCGCTTGCCTTGGTCGAGCAAATCTTTTGGCGCAGGTCCCAAAAGTGCAGTGATATAAGCAAGATGTTTCTCGTCATCATATTCCGGGACTTTAAAGGGGTCAACGGCGTCAAACAGGGTTCTGCCCTCGAGAAAGTCCCACAGCTTTGGTCTAGTCAGCTAAAGGGATACGTTAGATAATTCATAAAGGTACAACATACCATAACCCCTAAGCTCCAGATATCAGCACTATAGCTATAGCCTTTGTCCAGCACCACTTCTGGGGCGCGGTACACTTCTGCCTGGATGCACCCATCGTGAGCAACAGGACCGTCTCCACGGACTGACAGGTCAAAGTCCATTATCTCAATCAGACCAGTGATCTTCTTTAGCGGACCATAGTTCCTGCGAGAGCGATATATTATACGTCCATCCTCACATTGTTTTTGGGGTAACGGGTTAATGTATTCCTCCTTGGCTGATAGAGACAGCAGACCTCGATCTTCCAGCTTTACCATGATATTATCCGGTTTGAGATCTGTGATTATTTATAAGAATAAGACCCAGAAGGTTGTAAGAGGGAATACGCATACCAGCGTGAATAATGTGACATTCCGTGTGTAAATAGTCGAGTGCCTGAAGAATCATCTGAAGTACTATTCTAAAGAACTCTGGAGGCATTGCACCGGTGTTCCATCTTCTACAGTACCGCCCAAGGGACTCGCGAAGTGGATCAAACACAAGGCATGCATGAGGCCTCCCTGGAGCAGTGCCCTCTAGCTGAAAGGAATCACGCAGCTGACGGACGAAATGCCAGCCTACATGCCCGGGATTCGCTGTGGAAATGTGTCGGAGAATGTCGACTTCGGCATCGCCCGCCACTTTACGGGTATCACTATTAGAACTTATCTTGACTGCCACGTATCTTTCATGAAACCAGCGCCATCTAGATGAGATTAATGTTCAGTCAAGCATCCCAACAAGACTAAGGGGATGGCTACAAACTGATAGAGATCCTTAGCAAGCCAGACGGTTGCTCGACTACCGTAGCCGAGCTTGCTCACAATCTGATAGCGGTCATGGAGGACCTGCCCGATCCTGGCTGGGTAGAAGCAAGATGGGTGGTAGTATGGGGAGTTCTCTTCTTCGACCGGCTGGCTTGAGTCAAGTTTGGGAGGAATAGCTGTGGATGGAGGCCATGACTGGTGACGGAGAGCTCTAAGCGGACGGAGGACAGAGCGTAGAGGTAACTTGGCTATCTTGTTGGCTGCCATGTGTGTAGAATTTTTTCTATAGTTACTATGCAAGAGCTGCAGTGATCGCCATAATTAGATTAGTAGTTTTGCTCTTCTCTCATCCGGGCTGTGGAAGCCTGGCCCTGGCTATCACCGTAAGGTCGAGCTTGACGTTAAAGATGAAGAATATAGGCTCAGGTAATCCTGATGCCAGAGACCTTCACGACATTTAGCAAGTAGAGACGCTTGCCGATGGCATGTTTGATGTTGACCACCCTGGAACGCCCGCCAGGGGAGGCGCACAAATAGTAACAGAAACAAATCTCCACCCGGGGACCCTCCTCGCTTTGATATATTTAAATATCGTGTCTCAAAGCTCCAGCATCCGCACCTCGGGAGTTTTAAGTGGGTTGAATAGTCTCGTCTTCATAAAAAGCCACCGATTAAAATCTCCGTAGGTGCCTCTGCGTCTGGTCCAGCTAACCCGCCAGGTTCACTGATTTTATCCCTCCCTGGATTTTCCTCTCCTTTAGCCAAACTGAGGCTAATACAGACAATTTGCAGCCAGGGCCATAAGGCTGAAACACCCTCTGCAGGATCTCTCTACACGGTATGTCGAAGAACGGTGAAGATGGTTCGTCCGGCGAGCTGCAGTGGTACTGAATAAACTATGCAACCGGAGTAAAAAAGAAAAGTCCCCCGTCGATTAACTATATGATCGCCCTGGACGTCCAATATGTATACATATAGATCGGCGCAGGATGTCTCTGGAATCAAAGGAGGCGCAAGGCTGGCCGGCTGTCTGTCTGCGTCTCACAGGCCGTAACTACGGAGTACTCCGTAGATATTTATAAATGTCCAGTCGTATCCTCTGGGGAGACTCTGTATCGAGCCAGGGTAGCTCGAGAGGAATTGCCAATGCAGCCGAACGGGCATCGGTGTGCAGCGATATGCAGACGCGATGCCCTGCAGCCAGCGATCATTAGATTATGTCTGCCGGCAACCAAACCGTAATACGCATGTTGTGTCGTTCTCTCGTCCCGTAGCTCTCTCGTAGCTGTCTCGTAGCTGTCTTCCCAGATGTAGATGGACCACGCCGCCCTCACATCAAGGACAGGCAACACCCGTCACCGCTCCGTCCGTCGCCATCGCCATCGCCATCTTGCATCTCGTCAGCTTTTCTCGTAAAAGAGAGTGAAGATCAAAGGGTGAAAAAGCAATTCCTCCCGGCCCACTGGAGGGCAAGCAATTGGGCGTCTGGCCGGCTCGGAAGTCTGCCCGTCCTCTCTTTGCCTGCTTGTCTTCCTCTCGTCCTTCTGCTTCGTCCTCCTCCATCGGCACCCCCCGCAAGCCTGAAACCAGAGTACGAGCAGCCGGGCCATAAGATTTAGATCGAATGTACGCTGGTACACCGCAGCTACCGGCCAGGCTATTCTCAGGCGCTGCACACTAGTTTGCAAGCCTCCCAAGCCCACCAAGCACACATACACGCACACGGGACCTCTTCTTGTCTCCCTCTCTTGCGCCGTTAGCCTCGAGCTAGTTCTGATGCGAGCGTTGGGAGGTTTTTTCTTTTCTGTTTCGGTCGTTTTGGTCGTGCCACCGTGCGGCGTCGGGTTGGTTTAAGGGACAGCGCAGGACGGCTGGAGGCGAAGTTGATATCTCGTCTTGTCGTCTTCTCTTGTCCTTTTTCTACCTGTCTTCTTGTGTCTTGTCTTCGCCTTCGTCTTGTCTTGTCTTGCTTGCTGTCATAGATCGGCCCAACCTGACAAACAAGATAGATGCCATAGCAAGCAACATATCTTGTACATTTTGGTAGGCTTGCGGTACGGCTCGAATATAATATAAGATATATACCACTCGCACATACGCACATATATATTGTATATCGTTATAAGCCGTCTGGTACGTCGATTGCGTGTTTTCTCCTTTCTCCACCGGAAATCCGCTTCTTCTTGTCTTCTTCCCAGAGACTCCAAGGCTTCAGGGTGAGCATCTCCTTTGCTATTGTGCCGCTATATGCTGCTATACGATACTGAAACTGAACCAGCAAGTCCATCCATGACCGCCGCCGCGCCTTCGACCTGTCCGTCGACCGCCTCGCCGTCGTTTGGGAGCAGACTACGCCGTCTGAGCCAGCGACGGCCGCATACGCACTCCAGCAGCGCCGCCAACGGCTCCTCAGCGACCAGCAACCACCGTTCGTATCGCAAGCGGCTCAGCTGGGTCGTTGGCCGGGGATCTTCTCACGCTCCCGCCGCCCCGGAGGAGGGAGAGGAAGAGGAGGACGAGCGAGAAGGACGAGAGCGGTCACTCCAGCAACACCAGGAAAACTCCGACCTGCTGCACGCAGAGCTCGCCCGCAGCCCCTCCGCAGAACTCGAGTCTTCGTCGCAGAGATACAGCGTCTTCAGCCGTTCCGACGCCGAGAGCAGCGAGTCAGACCGATCAGAGCAGTCGGCGGAGTCCGTACAGTCTCGCAGAAGCGACCGTCTCCCAGCACCCTCTACGCAGGATAGCAACAGCAATAACCACAACAGCAACAATACCATGGCTTCCGTCGTTGTTGTCGGCGCTGCCGCCTCGAGCCAGCAGCACCAGCAGCACCAGCAGGCGACACCTCCTGTCTCTTCCTCAGATGCCGGCAGAGGGGCCAGTCAGTCTCCTGCTGCCGGCACCAACACCGCCGCCGCCGCCGCCACCAACACCACCACCACCCAAAGTCCTCCTACGTCCAGAGCCAACGACTCTTCCACAGGAGCAGGAGAACCGACAGACACATCTACGTCCGAAACCAGCTCGTCCGGCCAGCAGCAGCACCAGCAGCAGTCCATCATCCGCTTCTTCGCCTACCAAGACCCCCACCAGAACTCCCGGCCGTCCCTCCCCTTCGCCCCCATGACACGAACCATCACGGACGAGTCCTCCATCATAAAAGTAGGCCGCTACTCCGAACGTGAAGGGATTCCGCCCGAAGGCACCGCGGGCTCCTCCTGCGCTCCTGTCGGCTTCAAGTCCAAGGTCGTCAGCCGGAAGCACTGCGAGTTCTCCTTCATCGGCGGGCAGTGGCATATCAAGGATGTCGGAAGCTCCTCGGGCACTTTTCTCAACCACATGCGTCTCAGCCAGCCCAATGTGCAGTCGAGACAGTATGCAGTGCGAGACGGCGATATCGTCCAGCTTGGCATCGACTTTAGAGGTGGTGAAGAGCTCATCTTCAGGTGCGTGCGCATTCGCATCGAGTGCAACAGGATGTGGCAGCAGAGGGCCAACGAGTTCAAGTAAGTCTCTCTCTCCCTCCCCATTCTCTTTTTCAACCGGTGGACTCGTTTTCTGACCAGATGAATCAGTAAAAACACCGAGGCTCTTATAAGCAACCTTGGAAAGGGCACAATGGCCGCCACGGACTACGAGGGCTGCAGGGAATGTTCCATCTGTCTCGGCTCTGTCCTGGTAAGTTGTTTCGTGTCAGTGACGTCTAATTCTCCATCTAACCAGGTTCTACAGCGGCCGTATCAATGTCTCTTCATGGCTGCCTGCGCTCACGTCTGGCACTACAAATGCGTCCGTCGTCTCATCCACTCCCCCGAGTATCCCATGTTCCAGTGTCCGAACTGTCGAGCATACACGGACCTAAACGCCGAAGTCGACGACTCAAACGACTCGTACGAAGATAAAACCAAGCCAGCGTCTAATAATAACACATCCCGTCTTCCACCGCAACAGCCACTTGATAACAATACCAACACCACTCCCAGAACACATAGCAGCAACAACGACAACAACAACAGCAGCCAAAATCCATCCCAGCCAATCGTTTATACAACCACAGAAACAGATGGAACCCTGGCAGCCGCGACAGGGAACATGACGCTAGAATCTGACCCTGAGCCAGAACCCGAACCCGAACCCGAGTCCTCGGAGAATACAGATGGAGAAGTGTTCCATCCCGCCATGGAGGAGCCGTCTGGGTCCCCTGCAGCTGACATCCAACGCAGCCAGAGCATCGACATACTCTCTCCGAACTCGGCCAACGGAGCAGGCAGGAGGAGGGTACCCGATAGAGCCAATAGAGACACCATATACGTCGAAGATCCCCTGACACCAAGAAACGATACCGGACTACTTGCTCTCGACGGCCGTGCTGGGCGACTCTGATATCGGCTCTCTCTCTATATATGTACACCTCTCTCCCCGCGTTCTCATCATGCATCTTCTTCATCCTTGGGGTGTTTTGGCCGGCGTCTTCCTCCCTGTTCCATAATTTCCATCCATAATATTTTCTCTTCTCAAAGTGAAATACTGTTCCCCTCCCCCAATCGGCGTTTGAGCGACGACTGCTTGATGATACTTGTCACCCCCTTATACTCACCTCTCCTTTGTCCTTCCATCTACTTCGTTTATCCTTCTCTTGATTCCCCCCGCAGACGAAACATCTGCGATTATATCATATATGCTATTCTTATTCTTGCTTTTTTCTTCATCTTCTTGGATAGTTCATAGTCAAGTCACCCAATGAACCGCGCTTATTGTGATCCTTTTATACATCTTGTAGCTCGAACTTCAACCTTCGTAATATCCATGCAGAATAACATTGCCATCGCCAACGTAAGTGGCTCTGATTTGTCCCTTCACGCTCCCATACCTGAAACACGGCCTAGGAAGATGCCCTTGACCCGTCTCCCCACTTGGGTGAAGTCGAGACAAGGGAGAATCTAGTTAATACATAGTATAAATATCATCCCAAGCAGCCAAAAGTGCAAGTGTTTTGCTTATCTCGTTTCTTTTTATGCGAAGTCTTGGTTTCAGGGGCTCGAGATATAGAGTGACTTCGACCAGCCGCCCATCTTGCCTGGCCATCGAGGTACCGACGAAGAGACAAGAGACAGACGAAAGAGACACACAGCCATGCCGATAGAGATCACAACTACCGCGGCCCAGGAGAATGGCAGACATCATGACCGTCGGCCTACCCATCCGTTCAGGCTGTCGCATCGCACCAAACCACGGAGGTATTTGAACATATACTGACCAAAAGCCCCCTTTTTTTAACGACTCCCATGTAAAGCAACCCAAGTTCTAATAAGACACCGGAAAAGATGGCCTTTAGTCCTGCGGTTCGTCAAGGGAGCCGTCCATGCAGCCATCCTGGTGCCTGTAGTCTGCCATGCCCTCTTCACTGTCCTGGTCGTCGTTCTCGATAAATATGTATTTGATACTGTGGGCGTTCCGCCGACGATCGTACGTGGTGATCTGATTGATAGCTTTTTGTCCTTCCCCTGCAGTCCAGATACCAATAATATTGACAAACGAATTACATAGATCCCTTCTCTGTCCATCGTCGTCGGTCTCATTCTCGTCTTCCGCAACCAGACGTCCTACAATCGCTTCTGGGATGGCCGCAACAGTCTGACTACAATCACCACCGCCCTGCGCAACCTCACCCGAACCATCCTCGTCACTTCTCGAAATCCCAACGGCCCGCTGACAGATGCTGAGAAGCAGGATATCGAAAGAACGATACGGTTGCTCATCGCCTTTCCGTATGCCGTCAAGTGCTATCTGCGTGCTGAATGGAGCATAGAATGGGGGTCCATCGCCAACCCCAACATGATAGCAGACGTCGTTGGCGGACAGGAAACTGGAGGCCCCAGTCAGGAGTTTCTTAGCCTGCTGCCGGCTGGATTTCAAGCACACGAGGCTGACGGACTCGGGCTGCCGCTTCAATTGACATTCCCTATCGAAGCGTTTATCCAGCGTGGCCTGAAGAGAGGCTGGTATGATCCTCCTGCCGCCAACCAGATGGGCAACCAGGTCAGCTCGATGATCGATGCATACGGCAAGATGGAGACTATCAAGCTGACTCCCATCCCCGTTGCTCACCTGTAAGCTTTCTCTCCTCATTCCCAGAAATAAGAAAAAAGAAAGAAAAAAAAGACTAGGTTCTAATGAAGGATAGGATTCACCAAAAGCAAGTTCTGGCTCTGTTCGGCTGTGTGCTACCCTTTGCCATGGTAGACGACATGGGCTGGTGGGCAGTGCCGATTGTGTGTCTGGTTATATTTACTCTCTATGGTATCGAAGGCATTGGCTCCCAGCTTGAAGACCCCTTTGGCTACGATAAGAACGATATCAAGATGGATGCCATTGTCGAGGACGAAAGGGTCGAAATCGAAGCTATACTCAACGAGTGGAAGAAGATGAACGATATCCCTGTCGATAGTGACGATTCGCTCTCCAACGGTGCCAGGAACGGTGCCCGTAACGGTACCAGCAACGGGACTCGTAATGGGATTCGTAATGGCACACATAACGGGACTAGCAACGGGAATACTGCTTATCGAGAAATGTTCATCCGGGCTTAAATGTTGCTTCAATCTACTTGATTTACCCCTTTACTATGTCTCGAATGTTCCATCTATTATACCCATGGCTTACCTTACAAAACCCTCTCTTTTTGAAGAGCGTTTTCTCTCCTTACTGCATGCATCAGTGTTTCAGTCTCAATTGGTGGCCAGCTTGTCGTTATTCCATCGTTCTCTTGCTCTCGCTCAGTTATATATATCCCTTCGTTTTACGTTGTTACCGCGCAAGTGGAGCCTAGTAGAATCAATATGTTACCCAGAATCTCGCCGTTACCCTTCTATCCAGCCATATTTATATCCAACATTTTGTTTAGGCGTATCACAGTATCTAACGTCGCATGGTTATAAGACATTTCTTACGAAGGATCTTCCCAGTGTTAAAGCTACCAATTAACAACTAGCAATAACAGACATGATTAAAAGGGGTAAGAGAGTAAACACTGCCCCATCTCAGGTCTATACTAGCAGGAATATATGTAAGAGTAGTCAAACTTCCAGTGGGGCAAGATGAAAAATGTTTTCTAACTGAACGAGCACCTTGATAGCAAATACTCAATACTCCCATCCAATCTTGAAATCAGTAATGAAACAAGGACAATCGTTATTGGTTAGCAGAGCTTTACACCCTGCTGCGGGTTCTCAGGAAGAAGAAGCTTGGTCGGATACAGGTCGCGTGAATGAGAAAATATCAAGGAGCTTTACTCTCCCTAACCCTTGATGCGAGAGGCAAGTCCTCCTCCTCTGTGGCATGACCACATATATTAACGTATGGGTACCTTGGCGATACTTCCTGGGGCTGCATCAGAAATTGAGCCTGGCTCCCATACGCTCCTGATAGCTGTTTTATCCGCAGCTTCAATGCCACCGTCTTTTTTGACCGAGGAACCGAGCCCGGATAGCTGGTGCATAGTCCATCAGCTATATTAGTTATTATTTCGCCTGTATTTGCTAAGAGTGCCTTAGGCCTAGAAGCAAAGGAGTCGCCGGAAAATTCATGCATTACCTGACGGCAGAGATCTTTTATCTTTAAAAGTGTTTCGATCGTTGGTGTTTGGTCATTTGCCTTGTCATTTTTATGGCATAGCGCATCGTGCCTCTCTTTGCATCGTCTCCGGCCTTCAGCCAGGAGGGGAAATTCGCCCCTTTTTACGGGGCCTGGTCGTGGCGGACGTCCTTGTCTTCCGTGGCCGCATATCCATAGTATGTTAGTTCTCAGCCTCCAAATAGCGTCAGGTAGCCAGTCCTGGTAATAAGCATATGTTCTTCCTTCCCATGTATTCTGGCCTCTGGAAATCCAAAATGAGTGTGCTTCTTTAATGTTCTGGAGCGTCCTGAGCCGCACATCTCCGAGCTGCACAAGCCATAGGTGCATCAGAAGAATAAGCTGTCGAATTTGATATCGATATCTAGGTATGTTCTCCGGATGCAGCTTGGTAGGTAAGTTACTGAAGCAACCATCGAAATCAATTTTGGGCAACTATGTATATTAAGCTACGGTAAGTACAAAACATTATTTTGGTTTTAAGGAGAGTTCCTCTATAGGTGCTTGAAGGTACGTACATAAAAGGCCGGATTCCCATGGTCATCTTGCACTGCGGAACCAAGAACAGAGATATCGTATTCACCAACGTCGCCCACTGAATTGAATACTATTGAAGTTTCTTGATCAACCTCATCCAGCTCTTCGGTATAGTCCATCAGCAGTTTTGCATTCGAGAAATTAGCCACCTTAATGGGCACTGGGCCAGGGCTTCCGCTAGCTTTACGTTTTCTGGATAACGGACCTAGGCCGGAGCCTTGGGGCTGAGCCATAAGAGGAAATGGTATAATAATTAGTATCAGGCTGCTGCCGTCGGGATCCAGCAAACAGTGATCCAAATAATGGAAAATGAGGCGCTTCTCGGGAGTTCGCTTTGTAGGAGCTCTGCTCCAACCTAGGGAGTGTGGTGCAATAGGCCTCCCGTGGGCTTAAGGGAAAGTATAGTGTACGCCTGCTCAAATAATGGATAATTAATCGTAATTATAGCAAACCTACAAGGATTAGCCAGAGTAAGGAGTAGCTGTAAGAGATAATTCATACAGAAGGCAGCTATGTTACGTCATAACGCTTTCTAGTTCGGGAGCCCTTGCTGTTCTCAGATCTTTGTAACCGACAAGTGGATGCATCCGGATAAGGCAGGTATAAGAAATGCATATAGAGTTGGATTGTATAAGGATACAGTGTATCAAATGTTCACAAAGGTGCCTCGACTTCAGCTAACACATCTTCGATTATGCTTTCTGGAGTCGCATCTGACAGAATAGTCTCAACAGCATTAATGTCACTGCCATACATCATACTGCGATCATCCTGTGGTCTTGCAACCGATATGCGATGACGATATATTTTTGTGGTTGCTAAAGCAACAAGGGACGGCGGGACATAATCAACTCCATGTAACGGTGCGAGACATCTATCAACAACAGTGAGTACTCGGTGGTGGAATTGATAAATATTTTCCATACTTGACTATCTTGTGGAACTGGCGTGTAGCCGGGGCAGTTATTCCACTGAATACTGCCCTGTTGAACCTCAGGAAATTGATTATATTTTCTAGATAACAATATACCTCGGTGGATATAGTCACATCATGCGTCAATGTCCTTAAAAAGTCTATATTCTAAATGTCCAAGGGGTTAGCCTAACGCATAAAATGGGCAGCTGCACCTACATACCTCTTCCAGAATTAGTGGGGTTTCAACTTTATTTGCAAGATGACCCGAAGAGGAGGATTTTCGGAGAACAGATGATAACGATCCTCTTTCATCAGCTAGAGAACTATCGTCGCCTTCCAAATTGACAAGGCCAATTGATGGATCATGGTAGTGAGAAACAAAGATATGCTCGTTCTAAAAAGAGTGTAAGTAGCATTCCGGTATTTTGCTTATGATGATGAAAATAGATACCAAATGGTTGTTCAATCGAGAGGATAACTCCTGTGTGCTAGAAGAAAGAATGGGTATAAATATAAAATCGTTGGGAGCATTGTACATAGCGGATTTGATACAGACTCTCCTTGACCGTAAAATCTGAAGCGGTGACATGATTAGTTTTTTTACGGGGAAATGGGGTCTCTAATGCATCAAGGCAATACCTCTAGGGTTTGAATTTGTATACTTTGGGAGATGCGGTCAAAGTTTTTTGCAATTATAATGTTGACAACTCTTCCACGGCCGTGGGATCTGGTAAAAGTATCGGTGCACGTACGTTGTGGAGCCTCAAGATTCTAAGCCAACGTTAGATATAGGTATTCGGCCACTTTCGAATATTCATTTTCTAGGGCACCCCTGAATAGAATGGCAAAAAACATGGATGAGAAATATAAACACTGCTACAGGCATTTCATCACAAAACTGAGATGTGAACTAAGTATAAGAGATTAATACCTTAGATGAACATTCTCTCGTGCGAGGAACATGAGATAGCGTTTCTTGCTCATAACATTGCAATATCCCCCTATAGAACTCGTCCTCGGAAGTATCGTTCGTACAGTCAATGACAGCATGGGACAACCCAAATATATCTCGAGAAATCTAATATCGTTTGTAATGTTACTCATGTTGCACTTCACTGGGCAAGGCTCCTACCAATATGAGCTCATTAGCGAGATCATCTAATGTGCTGGCTGGGGTATCAATCAAGCAATGTTCTTTGGCAATTAGACAAAGTAGAACAGCAAACTCGAGGTCCGTTAAGTCTTCCACCTTATTGACTAGGCCCGCAGGGATGCTCATTGTATCCAGATTACGAACCCGCAGCTTCAAGATCAATATCAAGATATGATAATTTGATAAACAAATACAAATGGTCGTTAGTTTCGTGTACTTCACGTCCAGATAATCATATCACGTGACATTACATTATGTGTTTGTAATAAGCTTTAAGTCATTTGTGACTAAGCATATTTTCGCGTTCTGACGGAATATATATACTCCGACGGGGAAGGTTAACGCCCGGGCCCCACTTTGTCAGCAAGTTTATTTTCACTTCATATATTAAAGATAATTCCAACATCAACGTTGACCTTGATATTGGAGCAAGGGAACTCATATATTTATACCACTCCTGTTACTGATATCCTCACTAGGTCATTTGCCTCCAAACCCCGCTCAGAGGAAGGCTGATTTAACCAGTGCCCCTGCAACCATTTGTGAACCCACCAGCAGCAAAGACAACTTTGTTGTTATTGAAGCATCGCGCTTGGACCCAGATGGGTGTCTTGAAAGTTACCTCCCATTCCATCCCATCCTTGTCTGGCTCGCTGAAGTACTTGAAATTATACGCTGTAAGGCCTAACCCGAAGCAGCTTTTCATGTTTGGTACGAGAGTTTCCTGGCCAGAATCCCAACTGCTGAAACCGGCACCTGTTCAACATCGGTTAGTGACCTGTATTCAAAACCCACAAAGTTGCACTGGGGAAATACCTTTTAAGGTATATGACGAATAAAAAGCCCTATATATCCCTTCACAGAAACCATAGGGTGATTTAAGAGGCCATGGTCTATTTTCGCGCTTAACAGTTAGCTCATAGGTATATTCACCTCGCCTCCACATCCCACCAAACTTCCAATTTAGCGGGTTATTGACATCATTGCCATCGCATCCATGAATGATGCGCTCAAATGACTCCAAACACTCTTTTTTATTGAAGTCCGCTGTATTCTTCCCCAGCTGAACTTTGAAGGTATGCTCATCAGGCGTGTCTTTGAAATAGGTTTTCTCACTTGTCCAGCCTACTGTATGCGAAGGCTGCACGACCCCATTGCAGAAATCTTTATAATTTTCATCTGCCTTGGTAGCCGTCACATATCCTTTGCGGCCCACTTTTTGCCAGCATTTGAATTCATCTGTAATTTCACAGGATTGCGGCTCAAGCCCTAATACTTTTGCTCGGAGGTCAATTGCCTCCGCCAACGCGAAAGAAGCAATGGTCTGATGACCGAGCTCATTGGGGTGAAATAGTTTTCCAAAGCTGTCTGGCAGCCCCAGGCCGAGTGTCGAATCTGGCCAGTCATTATCACCGGGACAATTGGGAGGAGATGGAGCACGTTTATCTAGCCTGTGGAGTATTTCTGCACGTGGTGAAGGGGATTTCCAAAGCAGGCTATTATAAATATCCTTGTTGATGTGATTTGCTTTTCCCTCATCGACGGACTCTATATGCCTTCGCTTGAGCTCATCATGGAACCAGGATCTAATGTGGGTGTCCCCCTTGAAGAACTGAAGGTCGGGTTGGTTTTTATCCGGATATTTTCCAGTGGAGGTTGGGTCGCACATCTGGCCGTCCACACCTTCGATTGCCCAAAGATCCCAGTCAGAAAACCCAATATTATAGTCAACCTCATCTGAGACGTCTTTCACAACCTCTCTAATGGCCTTATTAATGTTTTCAACTAACACGTTAAACTTCTTTCGTCGCTCAACAGTGAGTGTCAGGGGCGTTTTAAACCAGTATTTGAGATACCAGTGAAGTATATTCCACTGTTGGTCTGTTGCGCATTTTTCATCCTCAGTATTGAAAAAACGGGCATAGCCATTATATACGACAATGCCATCTTTTGCCATTTTGTCGTCAAGGGCCAACAGGATTTGCTTCAAATTAGGTTTGAGTATTGTGTCAATGTTCTTCTGTGCTTGATCTATAACAACATTGCATGTCTCCTCGCCGTTATAGGGCAACATGATGCAATTCTTGATCATAGCAGCCTAGTCATACCGGCGGTTAGAATATTACTACAAGAAAGGGCCCAAGTGATTTCTGCGGCGAACATTACCAGGCAAAGGTCATTCCCACCAGCCGTCATTACCACCATATCTATATCCTTTTTCAATTCCTTAACTTGCTCATAAATCTGTGAGGATCGGTCACCACTGCAAGCGACGAATTGATATTCGTTGAGCGATGGCCCAATTATCTGCCTGATAAGTTCTGGGTATGCAAGGTCGTATCGAGAGCAATACCAGCTTGCACGATCGTAAAAAAAACTTCCTAGTTGGTAACCCGACCCGATTCCAGCTGTAAAGCTGTCTCCTATAGCAGCCATGTTGTGAACCCAAGCGAAACTAGTCGCATCGACCTCTCCACGAGCTATAACGGGCATTTTCACGATTTCATCTTTGGACGTCTGATTGTGCCCTGCGCTATGATTTGTTGGGGCCGCATAGATCTTCGCGGAGAGACAGATGACGCATCCAAGCATAACAATGAGCCAACTGCGCGCCATACTTATTGTGTCGTGCTTTTTTCTAGTATGAATTTTTTGCCAGAGAGGATGATATTGTGGAAGAAACCGATAAGCCGTCACGTTAGGAATATTAGTACGGCTCGATATAATGGATTGCTCCTTATTGTGCAATGAGCGAAGGACTTACTTGCTTGGCTGATGGCTTTTTGATTACCCCGAAGCTACCCCTCTAGGTCCCTGGGGAGGGAGGGAGGGAGGGATGGACGGCAAAATATGCGGTTGGCTTCTATCAAAGCAGGTGCACAGTCAACTAATTTTCTCTTAGAACCTACAACCAATTTCTTTTACGTCACCTAATCCCACTTTTTCCGCTCCCCATCTAGCATGGATACATATGAAATGATTATCCAAGAGCTGAGATGAGAAATATTTTCGGCCTACATATGCCCCTATTCAAAATGAGGAATCCTCCGACGGATCCGGCCAAAAGAAAATGAAGTTTTTTGGTTGGAAGTAATCATATACATGCAGCTGCCAGGGCAGGGTTCAGCTAAGATATGCATAATGGTTACATTGCACCCAATATCGGGGCAGGGCATCTACACGCCTACCCCTCATCAATCCCCGGACTACGCCGCCCCATAGTACACAACTTATAGCTTGCTGTTATGGAAATATAAAGCCCGGGGAGCTAAGGCCTAGAGTCAGAGTGCCGGAAAACAATCCCTAACGGCTTTAAGAGTGAGGCTATGGAGCCAAGTAAAGGACACAATGTAATCTTTAGCCGACGAAAGCAAGCCTCAATTATTATACCGAAAACCTATTCATAAGTCCTATGCCTACTTACTCTACCTTACTAGTTTCTATTCCTTGGATAGAACGTTATGCCGTGCGTATCATGGGTACTCAGGAACTGATAGGGGGGAAGGGGGTACATAGTCCTAATTAGGTAACTATATCTTGCTTTCAAGGGGCACGGTACAGATGTTCGTTCTAGATATATCTTTACCTTCCCGCGCATGCCACCCCAGATATCAACATCCCTGGCGGCCTGAACTCTATGCAAGCTATGTGCATGCGGCGCTAAAAGTTCGCTTATCCCTGTCTGCTGCCGCCCAAATTACAATATGCCGGCTATGGTTGATTGAGCGTTACATTGGCAGAAGTACCCAAGACTGATTGTTGGAAAGCGGTGAAACATAAAGATGTTTTCTATACCCCTAGAATACCCAGGAGCCGTTCTTAAACATCCGGGAGACAGTAACTAAAAGAATTCAAGATTATGAAATTCACTCCGGGTTTCTTCTCTTTTTGATATCCTACTACCCAACGCTGGCAAACTCTTGGAAGAGCAAGAAAATATGGATTTTTTTTTCTCCTTTGCTTTGGTAGCTATTACCCTCACTTTTCCAGGCGTTCTAGGAGGAAATCAAGCATGGGAAACCTCTATCAAACTTGGGGGTGTCCAGAGCCCCTTGGATTCGGCTCTGCCAGTCGATAACACGACGGTGATAGCAGATCTTCATCGCGCAAAGCGAGCACTTAGCATCGTTCCAGGATCTGGGAATGCTGACAGGCATATATGGCCTAATATGAATATCCCATACTGTTTTGAACACAAAAGTTGGCCCGATAGGGGTGGGAAGTCGACAAAGGAGATTTTATTCAACGATTTGGTAGAGGCGCGAGATTTATGGTATCAACAAGGCCTCCCTGAGTCGTTCAAATGGACTGAATTGAATGATTACGCCTGCAGTAGTAGTCAGAGGAGCGATTACTTACTCATACAATTTAATACGGAGGGAAGGCTGAGTTCTACCGTTGGAAAACCACCGATTGATTCTCTTAACCCTGGGCCAAGGATGCTTCTCAGCGATTCTGTCGAAGTTGGGATGCTTAATGTGGTTGCTAATTATGCACATGAAATGGGGGTACGTATATTTGCCTCTCATAGCTTGGTAGACATATACTGATAGTTCGATGTCCATGGCAGCATGTATGGGGGTTATACCATGAGCATCAAAACCAAGCGTACTGGGGATCACCATACTCCGCCTCTGGTGGAAGCGTATTTGGAATGAACAACTTTCACTGTGAAAATCTAAACGACTACGAAGCGACTGTTGCTCGGGTTACAAATGCATATCCCGCATGGCAAGTTGGCAATATAGTGAGGGACTTTTGTAGATTCAGGGCCAATGCCGAGGACGTCCGGTTCTCAGCCAGCGACTACCTGCCATGGGTAAACACTCAAGTTCTGGCAGACTCAAACACGAATATTGACTGGGACTCGATCATGATATATCCCAGCGGTGCGGGCGGAAAAGGCTCTGCATCCCCCGGCAATGATCAGCGTATGGCAGTTCTCACAAAACCTAATGGAGACCTTATTCCCATCAATTTGAAGCCAAGCGCTAGGGATATTGCTGCGTTAAAAAAGTTATACTCATACAAATCATCGGTGGTGTTGAATTTCCTTGGGAGCTCGAAGAATAAGTTGAAACAAAAATTTGACAAGATAAGGAAGAAAGACCCGGATAACATATGTAATGTGTCCGCAACAACAATGCCCATGACGACTCCTACGACGGTACCTCAAACGACGAGACACATCTAGATTCATGCTTTCCCGCAACATGAAGGCCCTGGACTTTGTTTTAAACATACGGCATTTATTTTACACTAGCTATGGTAATATAATAATTGACTGATATATAGGGTAGATAAATAGTTAGGTAACAAGTGAGTTAGTGTAGCCCTACTAGCCTAGTTAGATACGAGTCTACAACTCATCATGGTCTTCTTCATCCCACGGGGTACCCAAATCTGGAGTATAATAAGGAGCCTTCCGTAGAACGATGCTTTTCTCTCGGCCAAGGTTAGAGCCCAAGGCTTCAATTAACGTCCCATCATCAAGATCAATAGCCCAAACCATAGTCCTGTAGATGAGCCGAGCGGCAGTTAGTTATTGGAAATGTAACAACGGTGCATAAATAATGAATGGGTTGGAAATGGGCTTACCCTCCCAAGCACCTATGATTTGCATAGTCAAGTTTGAGCTTCAATGTCTCCTTGTCATCCCAGCTAACCCACTGGTCTGTATCCCAGGTGACTATTTTCACAGCAGCAGTTTTGTCAAAAGTAATCTTTGCCCCTTTTTTGATGACATCATTGATCTCAGTCGCAGATAGTACACCGGGGGTTCCGGTGCATATTCCACCTCGGGCACCGTCCTTGAATCGACATCCAGCTTCTAGGCAGCTAGGATCTTCCATTGTGAAGCCTAACAGATATAAGCAGTTAGTAAGTCTTATCCTTTAATTATATAGATACTATATCGGTTACTTCTGCCATAAAAACCCAGGCCCATAACAACACGAGCAGGATTAATATTATTTCTCCAAAGGAGTTCAAGGCCCATCTGAATTTCGGTGAGGTTCGTATGGGCGTAGGCATATGGGCCTATAGCCTTAACAGTGCTATCCCAAACCCCATCTTTAGGGTAGGGATATTAGTAAATGTAAATATTTATGGAGTTTTAGTAGGTGACTCACGTATATCATAAGTCATGACATTGAACCAATCTAAATATGGTTCTATTTTGATGATGTTAAACCCTCTAAGGTACCAGTATGAGGCAGGCTAAACTCTTGTTAGCAAACACATCATATATTGCCAAATGAAACATACGAGTGTAATGCTTAACCCATAGGTTCGGCCTGATGAGTTAAGCCGCTCCCTTAGTCGGCGTAGAAGGGTGACAAAATTGTCGAAATCCGCTGGAATGCCACCCCTATCCTCGGCCCAAGGGTATTCCCAATCAATGTCCACGCCATCAAAATTGTTCTTTTGCATGAATGTTATGAGTGACTCGAAGAACTCATCTTGTGCTGAAGTTGACTTGGCTAGATCGGAAAATGTTGTTCTATAAGGGCCGGGGTCGTTCATTGCCCATCCCCCGATTGCTGGATTAAAGTCAGAAAAAAATGTGGATAACCGAAGTGGGAATAACTTACCGATCCAGACTTTTAGATTAGGTTGGCGATTTTTAAGACCTGTCACTCGTGTGTATAGGGATGCAGTTTGCGCATCCATAGGGGTAATGCGAAAGGTGTGAGGGTCTATTAGTGCGAATGCGAAGTTGATATGCGTATACCAACCCAAGGGAATATCTTCCGGGGCCATAACTATATCGTTTTTAGCAAAAAGAGTATATACGGTGCAGTAGATGATAACTTACTTCCACATGGACGTTGTAAATTCCAACCCTCATAATAGCCTATAACTTTCTTTGATGCGCTATCACCGCCACCACACTCTGGAGAGGGAACAGTAACTCCACCACAGAAGTCCGCTGTAGTACCGCAAAAGCCGAATGGGCTGCAACAGACATTTAAAGGGCAGGTCGAGGCATTAGACCATTGGGATCCCCATCCTGGATCACACTCACTTTTGTAGTCACAGGTGGATGTGCAGCCTGTCCCACAAAACTTGGGACCTAGGCCGCATATTCCACTTCCAGACGAATCACTAAAGTATTATTAGCAATTATTAGCAATAAAACACATTTATCGTGATAAATATTTCATACAGAGGCCCGCAACAGCCGATCTTGCATGGCTTCGTTTTGCTGCAAGCATAGTCAGCTTCATTAGCGAATCCGAGACTCTCTTCAAAGGCTTTCAAGTCTTGAGCAAAAGCAGCCCTTAGACTGAACTGTAGCAGGCTCAAGTATAGTAATACAGATTTTATAATTAACGCCGCCGAATTCATCGTGACAAAAGGATGAATCGCTCGCCTGGATATTAAAGAAAGACCAAATAAGTAATTTTCTTCGTCAATAACAGAGAAGAACCAGCAGGACAACTCATTAGATCCCCTAAAGAGCAAAACTTATGTCCGCAAGACGGTAGCTTCAATAGGACATAGCCCCGGCTACGTTCATAAAATGGGAAATAACTCCAGGTGAACCCCAGTAGGTTGCTTTGCCGCTACATGGGTTATGATCGTATTACATATGGGCATGGCACCCTTGACAATATCCTTGATGGTAGGTGCATAGAACGTAGTATACGCCGGAAATTTATCGGAACCAAACCAGGGATCAATATTAGACCAGAGTGTATCGTGCATTAACCCACTTTGCCTCGAAACTAATGCGAAGTGATATCAAAATGCAGTCTAGACTGCTAGGGTATAGTTAGATCCAGGCACTAAGAGCAGAATTTCGGCATAAAGATCATGTCAGGTTTATGCGATTTGAAATTGAGAGCCCAAAGGGCCTGGGGTCAAACATCAAAAGAGAAAGAAGAAAAGAAAAAGCAGCGTAGAATCAAGGATTACTGAAGCCGCGTGACATTGCTTGCATTAAACTCATACCCGATACGGAGTAAGTAATGTAATTCAGGCAAGAGTCCAAATGAAGGGCTTACTTGTAACATTGTAGCCCGTGCTGGACTTTCGGAGTTGAGTGCCGCTAGCCCTTTATCCGTCTTATGTTATGTCGAAAGGGGATCTTCGATTTATATAATGCCACAAACTTGAGATCTGTCAATTATCCAATTATTACTGCAACAGAAACAATTGAAACAATGTTTTGTCAATTCTCGGGCATTTTGTTGATAGCCATCCTGGGCACCGGTTATGTCTTCGCACAAGACACAACCCCAAAGGGCCCTACTCAGCCAGATATTGCAAAAAACTGCAATTCATGGCATACAGTAGGAGCCGGTGATACGTGTTGGTCCATTGAAACGAAATACAAGATTTCACATGAGAAGTTCCTCGAATGGAATCCATCCGTCTCGAGTGACTGCCTTACCAACTTCTGGGCATCGTATTCCTACTGTGTAGGCATTGGGGCCCAGCAGAGCACGCCGTCCAGCACAAGTTCGATAACCAGCCGAAGCAGTAGCAGCAGCAGCAGCAAAGTTGGAGAGACTTCATCACATATGACCACATCACCAATAACCAGCACTCTCAATACAACTTATTCGGTCCGTGTACCTATGAAAAGCTGGAATATCACCACACCAACAATGGATACGGCATTTCCACCTAAAAGAACCCAGCCAGGACAGCCAGCATATTGTCGAAATTGGTATTATGTTACTGCTGGTGATACTTGCGAAAATATCGTCGCTAGTAGTTCGTGGGTATCAATGAAAGAATTGTAAGATTCTCCATTTCGGTGCACTTCAAAAAGACTATTGGCAACATAACTGATAAGAGAAGCCTCGAATGGAATCCAACTATCAAGAGCGATTGTTCGGGCTTATACGTAGGCTGGTGGGTATGTATTGGCATCCAGCCTCAAACGGTGACCGAGACATTCGAATACACGATCACGCCGCCGCCGTTAAGTGTGCCTCCATCTCCAACAAAATATACACCAACAACGTTTCCACCCATCAATTCTAGTTTCACATACACACCAACTCTACCAGACCTTTCAACGGATTGTGAAGGTTTCCATCAGGCCACTGCTGTAGGTATCTCAATGTTCACTCATCTCCATTACCATCTAACAAGCGCTTTGTATGCACTAGGGTGATACATGCCGGAGCGTCTTGATGCTGTTCAATTTCATCTCACAGGAGCAGTTCTTTAAATGGAACCCAGGTCTTAAAGGTAATTGCGACGGATTGTGGGAAGGCTATTGGTACTGCATAGCCGTCAAAGGCTTCACTCCTATTTTCCCAAGAGTGACGGCCAAGCCCTCTATAGTACCAGCGGGCCAACCGGGCACCTGCAATGCGTGGTATTTAACAACCGACTCAGAGACGTGCAATGAAATTTCGATTATGTTTGGTACATTCACCGAAGCAGCTTTCATTGAATGGAATCCCAGCGTTGGGTCCGACTGTGCAAGGATAAAGCGTGGGGCATACTATTGCGTGGGAATTCCTGGGACACCGACAACTCGTACAGCTCCGCTGCCAACATATACAGTTCCAACTGAGACTCCCGTGCAGAGCGGTATAGCACCTAGTTGTAATAAATTGTGGCTGGTTTCCCTGTAAGCATATGCTGATCGTATCTCCAACATATCCCACGAATCACACACGCTGACAGATAGAAGGTCTGATACCTGCGAGTCTATTTCCAAACAAAGGGGTATTTCCGAACAACAGTTTTTGGCATGGAACCCAGCAGTTGGAAAGACAACCTGCGATAATTTGGTGCCTGACTTTTATGTCTGTGTTGGGATTGAAGCGTCTTCCACTATAAGCAGCCTCCCTATCACATCTGATTCAACATTAACGACAGCTGGTCCATCTCCAACAGAATCACACACCCCTTCCGCTACTTCATCTGGCGGTGTTATTTCCACTCCAGCTCCTGTGCAGGTATAGGGCCAATATAACTTCAACTACTTATCGCAGAAACAGAGTTGCTAACGATAACTTAGTCGGGTATGGTTACAGGCTGTAAAAAATTCCACCAGGTTCAATCTGGAGACGGATGTTGGGATATTGCAAATACGGCCGGAATTGACTTGAAGTAAGTAGCCCATGGCAACTACAAACCCTCCCATATTATGAACTTTGAGAGTCATTGACTAACCCGAAAGTAGCGATTTCTATAAATGGAATCCAGCGGTCGGTACTGACTGTGGTGCATTGTGGCTCGGATATTGGTGTTGTATTGGAATTTGAGACGAAGGGAGCCGCCGTATGCGGCCGAAGGGCAATGCTCCAGGTGTTATTGAACCCCGTATTAACAATCCATGAAAAACACAGGAAACCGGTGGAGAGAAGTGAGAGTATTGAAGACGCTTTTGATTTTGTGATATTATTCTTCTGGCTCATCTGATTCTGGTTCCTCAGCATCCATGTCAAATGCTGCAGAATCAAGCGAGATATCACGATGTCCCCGATTAATCCAGTAGCCTGGTAGATGTCCATATATAGTGTCAGGTTTTGTAAGATCTCGCCAAACCCTCTCCCGTTTCATTTTCATGAGACGGCGGGATCCTAGCCCATAATGTTTGGAGTTGGAAGTCTTGTATCTGATGATGCTGTAGACACGGTAGGGAAGTGCGAGATCGAATTTTTTAAGCCGTGCACCCATCCCCCGCACCATCACATCAACCGGTGTCAGGATGAGGGTATCGACTAGGTTAAACAGGTCACAGTCACTATTTCGTGGGGGGAACATCTCACCTTGAAGGGAGAGGAATAGTTTCCTGAGCTCAGGGAGTATTGTTGGTATCATCTCTAGATAGCGGAGAAATGCAGAATGACTCCGATTTTGGTGGTCTGTGCCGTTGCATTCTTGCTTTTCAAACATATGCAGGCTCCACACTACCTCTAATGATCTGATGTTGGCTAGACGTTGAGGAGGGAGGAACCGGGGTAAGTTGCGAAAAATACAGGAATCGGGTATATGTATAGTATTTGTTTGATAGAGGATTTCAATTCCTTCGGCGTAACTAACTTGTAAAGCAATGTTAGTTCTGAGCATAGGGGAGAAATACCATCCAGCTTGTTTGGACGGCATTGATGATTTAGATATGGCTACTAACGCCTGTCGACACGATAATAGCCAGCCCATAACTCCGATGAAGCAATAGTCCAGCCTTTCACGTACTACTCCCCAGCAAGAGTTGCACATATGCCGATAATCCGGATCATGGCAATTATCATTATAAGGCATTTCGTCAGTCCAAGGGGCCGGGTTAGCTATCCTGTAGTCCGTAGTCCGGTGACACACCGAGCTTTGCCACTGCCATCTCCGTCTCCTTCGTTTGTTCGCCCTACGATTTTGGATTAAGCGTGGGCCAAGGTAGGCGTGATGTTCCTGCAATTCTGGATCCAAGCAGCGTTTCGCTAGAGGCATTCTTGGATGGTCATATATCAAGTCCATATGTACAACACGGCCTCCAAACGTAGCTACTAGAATCATTTGGCGAACCTCGAAGGGAATTTTCCGGAACAGAGGACTTTCTCCTACAGCAGCTTGCATGGATTGGATAAGCGATTCACATGAAGGTGACGGAGTAAGGGTAGAAGTCCGATCAGGACGCTTTGGAAGCGCTGGTGGGCCAAACACCTTGCTTAGCAATTTAGTAACAGTTCCAGGCATGGCTGGTGTATCCGAAGAGAAAGGAAAGTGTGTGTTCACAGGCTGCTCAGTCTGAGGGATGGATACATATGCATATATGGATAGATCTGGCCGTCTTGCTGTCTCATGATATCGGAATGCAGTGTTGGATCAAGACGTTGCGACGTCGTTCTTCGAGGGGAAAAACGTTGTCGTATTTATAGCGTAACATAAATACGGTGATAAATACCACTAGTAAAATATATCCAACGACCTTTTTTGATGTTGAAGATGGAAAAACAAGCCAAACGTCAAGCAGGTAAATAAGAAAATATATAAACTTGTATGCCTGACCAGAAAGTTGTTTCTAGGCTGCTGTGAATCCATCTAGCAGCCTGCTGGCTTGTCTCGACAAAGCTATGAATGTGATTCAAAAATGACACCACCGAACCCTCTCGCTGACTGGGAAAGAGTTGGAGACCAGTTTTATAGAAAGTCTCGAATATATGACGCTGTGTTTGATGAAGACGTTGAGTTGGAGAATTACATCGCCGTAGGTGCTCCATACGGCGGTGCTATAGGTATATCCTCAGATACTCTTATCATGTTTGAAGTTGGAACATGTTCTCACGCTATAAACAGCCCTTTACCGAGACGACCGAAGGCTACAGCGATACAGAGATGCCCAGACTTCCAAGTCGAGTATTGACATTTATTCATGTTCTGGACACCGGATCTGTCGCATTAATGTATGCTACCCTTACGCTGGCATCTGGTCTTTAACTGACATATGTGCTTGTAGTGGGATCATGGGTCTATTCGTGGCTTAGGATGGTCTGACGATGAGAAATTGCTAGCCATCACTGAAGATGGGACAGTCAGGTGTTATTATGGTCTCAGCGGAGATTTTACACCGTTCTCGTTAGGGTCGGTGGGTAAACGATATACCTCTTCCTTTGTTTATTATTATGGAATTAATATTACTAACCAAGGCTCAAGGCAGCAGAAGAGTACGGCGTGGTTGCGTGTCGATTTTGGTCGACTGGATTCGTTGCCTTGTTATCAAATAACCAGCTTGTAGCAGTATCTCATTATGATGAGCCACGTCCGAAGCTGCTTGCCCAATCGCCTGAGGGTGGGATTAGCTCATGGTCGTTAATTCCCCCTAACTACACCCTTTCCCGATCAGTTGAGGTCTTGCTTGCCATAGATAAGACCATCTATGTTGTGGATGAGGCCGACTCCGAGGATCGCATGTTACAGAACGGGCCCTTCAAACAGGTTAGCGTATCACCAAATGGACTTTTTGTTGCATTGTTTACTGGTGATGGAAAACTATGGGTGGTTAGCAGCGATTTCCAGAACAAATTCGGCGAGTACGACTCGCAAGCCAAAACGCCTCCCGGCTCCGTAACATGGTGTGGAAATGATGCTGTTGTTCTTGCCTGGGAAGATGAAGTCCATGTGGTTGGGCCAAACGGCGCTGCAGCAAGGTATTATTAACCTACCTTGCCTATTTTACGGGTTAGCTCTAACAAGTTTCGAAGATACTTTTACGAAGGCCAAGTTCATATAATTCCAGATATTGATGGCATTAGGATCTTGACAAATGATGTATGCGAGTTCCTGCATAAGGTGCCTGGTATGCCTCCAATATTTCCTCCACCTAAACCGCATATACTTACACGAATCAGATGCGACCGAGGAAGTTTTCCGGCTTGGATCAAGCGCACCAGCCTCTGTTTTGCTTGACTCAGTTGAGCAGCTTGAAAAGAAATCTTCTGCTGCTGATGAGAATATTCAAAGGATTCGCACCAACCTGGTCGAAGCGGTTGACACATGTGTTAGAGCAGCCGGGTACGAATTTAATACTCATTGGCAAAAGCAGCTACTCAAAGCAGCATCCTTTGGAAAATCCATCCTAGAGCTTTATAATAGTGATGAGTTTGTCGATATGTGTGAAAAGCTCCGTGTCCTAAACGCTGTCCGTGACTATAAGATTGGCCTACCGATCTCATACGAACAGTATATACGGCTCACCCCCGAAAAGCTCATCGAACGCCTAATAAATCGCCGAGAATACCTTCTCGCTATACGCGTTTCTGAGTATCTACATCTCCCCGCTGACAAAATCTTCGTCCACTGGGCAATTCAGAAAGTCAGATCATCCACAGAAGATGATGATACAATTTGCCAAATAGTTGTACAGCGACTCCAAGGAAAACAGGGAATATCTTTCGAATCAATTGCACGATCAGCTCATGAGGAAGGCAGATCGCACCTTGCAACGCAGCTACTAAATTATGAACCACGCGCAGGTAAACAAGTCCCGTTGCTTCTCAGCATGGAGGAAGATAGTGTCGCCCTCGATAAGGCAACTGAGAGCGGAGACACGGACCTTATCCTATTTGTGCTTCTACAGCTTAAACGGAAACTTCCCCTGGCTACTTTTTTCCGGACACTTAATAACCGGCCCGTGGCTTCAGCTTTGGTGGAGGCATCGGCGAAGTACCAAGACGAAGAGCTTTTAAAAGACCTTTATTATCAGGATGATAGAGCGATTGATGGTTCAAACATCCATCTAAGAGATGCTTTGAAACAGACGGATTTGCACAACAAAACAGATAAGCTACGCGTTGCCGGAAGATTGCTGTCAGATTCCAAAGACAGTGCCATCCAGGCCCAGCTCAAAACCCTGAATGATGCAGCCCATCTTTTGAAGGTTCAAGATGGGTTGGATAGAGATCTTGCGGATAGTAACGACCTGTTCATGGGTCTGAGTGTTAATGAAACCATTTACAGACTGATTCGCTCCGGCTATGGCAAGCGTGCCATCAAGATCCAGAACGATTTCAAGGTGCCAGAAAAGACCTATTGGTGGTTGCGCCTGAGAGGTCTCGTGGCGAAGAGAGACTGGGGTGAACTAGAAGAACTGAGCAAAGGCAAAAAGTCTCCTATCGGATGGGAGGTAAGCTAATTATTCCGTTGAAGCCACTTTCTCCCTCTTTTTTCCCCTTCTCGTTATCCCGCTCTGGCTAGTTGCTAATTTAAAACATTGACAGCCATTTTACAACGAAATCCTCGGAGCAGGAAACACAAAGCTTGCGTCCATATTCATCCCCAAATGTGCGTCGTTGACAGTTTCTGAGCGGATCGACATGTGGATGAAGTGCGGGATGGTAACTAGGGCTGGCGAAGAAGCCTTGAAGGCAAAGGACCTAAAAGCTCTTGAGAATCTTAGAGCTCGCATTTCTGGCAATGCGGTCCTTGAGATTGACCGCATGATCAACCAGTTGAAACCAAAGCGATGAGGTGCTGGAGACACATACTGTCTACCCGGTAGACCTTAAGTAATATCTTCATCAAGATCGAGTCCAGTCTGCTCTTCCTGCTCAGTTGGGATATCCACAGGATTACTTGGTGCTTTGGGCGGAGGGAGTGTTATCTCAGCCTCCATCTCGTTCGTGTCCACAATGTCTACATCCCCCGTCTCTCCCTTCTCCTTCTCCTTCTCTGGCGCATGGCTTATCTTCTTGTTTAATTCGTCCCACGTTACCTATTACATTATTAGTTAGATTCCCCGTTATATAGGAATATAATACTCCCATCATTCTTACCTTTCGTGCTTTTACACCAGATAATTTCCGTACACTCTTAGTAACCTTCTTCTCCCTTTTATCAAGTACCACTTCTGCTCGCTCTAAACCTTTTTCCTGCCGCAGTCGCTGGGCTCTTGATTTCGGTTTCTTGCCTTTCTTTGATACTCCAGAGTTGTGCTGGGCCCCAAGCACTGCTGGGACTGAAGTGTTGGTCCTCTCCGCTCGAGGGAGCGAGGTTAAGGACTTGTCAACATTTACAGAAGGCGAAACCTCTCGTCTTGCTGCTCGAGAATGCGCTGATTTTGCTATATATATTATCGATTTTGTTAGCTGAGATGAGAAGAGCGGACAGGACTGGAACCACGAACATCTGGAATTGGTTTTCAATTTGGGAGTTTTCGCCATTTCCTAACTCGATCTACTTCTCTGTAACGCCACCACTATAATAGTTGCTATAATAAACTCCTTCTCAAACCCTCAGAGTTGATCAATCTCTTATCATTTTATGTGTGGGAAAAATATTTTGACAAGAAAAAATATTCCGGTGAGGCGGGCGGACCAGCGACGCAGTTTTCTTTTTTGCGCTTTTTAGGATCGAAACGGCGAAACGATAAAAAAAAAAAAAACTCCCATGACAACAACAACTCATTAATCCGCAGAAGATGGTTTATGCCGGATTCCGGACACCGTCTGAGACTCTTAGATATGCCGGCTAGCGACAGTCGCATGTGTGCATATCCCTAATAATCCTTCACGCATCTTCGCGCAACCAAACCCGGCTGGCTTGTGAAATAATGAACTCCTACCCGGGTTACCACTACCCTCCCAAACAACGATCCAGTGTACGCGGAAACCACCATGATCCTCTTTCCAGACATTCCGGCGACAGGTCTTCCTTGATATACGCTCTTGTTTCCCTGGCATCCATTTATTTCCTACTATACAGCTTCGGCCTCTCGCCGTATTTTTTCCCTCGGCTTGTCTGGAAGATACTCGTCTACTTAACACCGTCACAGCTTGTCATTGCGTTGGATAAGGAAAGAACACAGAATAATTTGACTTCAGAAGGGACTCCTCTGTCTGGGTACAGGAACTTGTATGAGAAGGGCGAGGCAATGCAGAGAATAATCGGTTACAGTGCAAACTCCATCCTGCCGGCATTCCCTCAATCAAGAGCGTATTCAAGCCTTAGCAGTGTGCTCCTGGGCTCAAACGATGTCTATCCGCCGGGACTTGGGAACTGGGACAACTCCTGCTACCAAAATTCCATAATCCAAGGCCTTGCCTCCCTTCGTTCGTTACGGGAATTCTTAGGGTCAAACATACAAAACCTGGGGCATCGCCATTTCCTTTCAACCCATATTGCCTTGAGAGCGATCATCGACAAGCTCAATGACCCTGCAAACGGCGGACAGAAGCTATGGTTGCCTGCGGAGCTCAAGTCGATGTGCAGTTGGCAACAGCAAGATGCCCAGGAATACTTTTCCATAATAGCAGACCAAATAGATAAGGAGATTCGTCAGGCCTCGAAGGGAGTTACTAGCGATATCGGTCTTAAGTTAGCTCCACAGCCTAGTCCTCGCCCTGAGGCTGCCCTTCCAAGCCCACCAATGACACCGGGTGAGAAGGAGGTTTCAACAGAACCCGATACAGATAGGAGCTGTCTACCTTATTGTAGTCCCCTAGAGGGATTACTAGCCCAGAGAGTGGGGTGCATGGAATGCGGCTGGACCGAAGGCCTCTCCCTAATCCCATTTAACTGCCTCACCGTTACGCTGGGTAAGAAATGGGAATACGATATCAGGGAGTGCCTTGACGAATACACCAGCTTAGAAACCATCGAAGGCGTGGAATGCGCCAAATGTACATTACAACGGACCCGGACCCAGCTTGAGCAGCTACTCAACAAAATAGGCCCAGTTGAGGAATCCACAGATGAAACAGACTCTGCCAAACTCAATGAAGCATTAAGAAGGAATGCCGAGACTAGGTTGAACGCAGTACTCGACTCGCTTCAGAATGATGATTTCAACGAAGAGACGTTAAAGGAAAAATGCCACATCTCCCCTCGCAATCATGTTGCCTCAATGAAGTCGAAGCAAGCAGTGATTGCAAGGCCGCCAAAGTCTTTGATAATTCATGTCAATCGCAGTGTTTTCGATGAAATGACAGGAGCACTAAGAAAAAACTACGCAGATGTGAGATTTCCAAAAACTTTGGACCTAGATGAGTGGTGTCTAGGCACTATGCCAGTTGGGGGCTCAAAGGAGGATACGGTTGAAACATGGGATATAAACCCTTCCGAATCGATGCTTCCTCGGCCAGAAAGTGAGATACACAGTTTAAACAGAAGATACGAACTGCAGGCTGCAATCACACATTATGGGCGACACGAAAACGGACATTATATCTGTTATCGAAAATACCCTGTGGACTCATTCCCTATCCAAGTCCCTCAGGCTATCCTCGGAGCCGATGGAGGGAAAGAGAAGAAGGAACATTGGTTCAGGTTGAGCGATGAGGATGTCAGTTTGGTCAGCGAGAGAAGCGTTTTAGCTCAAGGGGGCGTATTCATGCTCTGCTATGAATTGGTAGATCCATTACCAGAAGTCAACAAGGGCGCTGACCAAGTGATTCCCAATAAAAATTCTCAAATTATCAGTGATCCCCAGCTAGTCGAATATGGAATTCCACTAGATGAGATACCGTCCAGCCGAGATGAAACCACCGAGGTAGTCAACGTTGCAGATGATATTGCAGGTTCCCAAGTGGATGTTCCAGCTTGGTCAAGGAGGACCAATACCGACTCCATATCATCTCGGATCTCGAGCTCTTCCGAAGAAAGCGGTCCATCCTCTGCCACAACTAATGATGAGCCACCTATTGTGGACAGTGTCCAGAAGCTGGCCTCCAGCATGAAAACATCGAATCCTCCAAATATTGACCCGCATGAGAATCCTAGTGCCTCTTCAGTGCCTCAGCTGATAAGAGCACTATAATCACTTACTTCACTATCATTGTGACTTTTCTTCCGGGCAAGACTTGCCGCATGCTCCAGAGATATAGCCTAAGCCTCTCTTTCACGTAATGATACCCAGGATCATCATGACAACGGCGTTGATTTGTTCTTTGTTGCAACGGCAACACAATTTTTTCTTCTCTTTTGGTTAGGAGGTTCATCTTCCGACATGGCGTTCACTTGTATGATATATGTTCTTTGCATGGCCAATGAAGAAACCGATGAGACCGAGCTGTTTGATCGGCGGTTTCTCCTTGTCCGAAGTATATAATGTTTCTGGGGCATATCGTCTGATTTTAGCTACAATTGAAGGCAACATGCCGCCCTAAAGAAGTCTAAAATACTGCGCTTCGATCTTCGTGTCTTAACCCTCATAACCATCTGTATACACTTTGTCTCCACAGAACTTTTTCCCAAGCCATTAAACCAAGTAATAGAAATTTGTCAGATTAAAACACGCCAGCCCTTCTCATAACATCTTTGAACTGTTCAATAGTGACGCCCGCCTGTATACCATCCCCACCATTCGCTTCCCTAATCATATCCTTCATCAGTTCCTCGCTCACGTCTTCCTTTAAGCTCTTCGCAACCGCCCTCAAATGAGACATGAGTATAGGGCCTTCCGTTCCATGAGTAAATAGGCCATATGCATGCTCAACCCCTGCAGATATCGAGTCTTCACTCCGGTTATGCAGCTTCAGCGCAGCTACGGACAGGAAATGTTCATATATCACGAACCCTTCACCAGACGGGTCAACAGCGGAGATTATAGATTTCAACTCGGCGTTGTCGGTTGGTGCGAGGCCTAGAGCTCTGGAGGTTCAAAGACATGTCAGTATCATATTTCGTCTCTATCATCGGTACGCGAATATCAACAGTCGCTCACATCAACGCCCGGCGCACATCCCGAGTTGCGATGACACCTTCTTTCTCAGAAGGATACTCGTCATTATCGGCTGCAAAAAGTTGAAAGGCCTCTTTTATCTCTGCTTCTTCCTCGCTGGTGATGTTATTCTCCTTTGCGAGCTTGGAAAGCCGCGGTTTCTTTTCTTTTGGCCCCGCAGAGGAGGTTGCTGCACCTCGACGTTTCGGAGGCTATTGATCGCATCAGTTGGTCTGCATATATAGCTATTGCTTCAGAGGAGAGAAGGGGGCAAACGTACCATGCTTCATTACATTCTCACGTCTTGGGAGGGAGTTTGTCGTGTTTATTAACGGAGATAACGACTTTAACTATCACGAAGGCTTGGCCGAGCTTCTTACGACGTCACTTTTCTTTCTTACTTCTTCCTTGCTATGACAGCACAAGGCTTAAGGGAAAGCTTAGGGCTTCTTTAACTGTAGAATGCTTCTCTCTCTTAGGCGTCCCATAACTAACTAGGCTTGGCAGTCGTCTTCATCCAACGCAAACTCACTGCTGCCTACAGCTGCCTTTTAACAGGGTATAAATACGGTCTAATGTTGAAGGCTCCCCCTTTGCTTTTAAGAGCCTCTAGAATATAAGAGTAATAGCCTATTTTATTCGAACAGCAATGGATGTGTTACTATATGTTTACGATCTGTCCAAGGTGACCTTAGGCATCATCCTCTACTCTCTTCATCCAGCTGCTAACTGTTATATAGGGAGTCGCCCGGGATGTATGTTATAGACATTATCCAGCTTTATTCTCTTCTGACGGGAGATATCGGCTAATACTTGCTCCTAGCTTTCTCTCTCATTGACGGGAGTGCAGATAGACGCCATATACCATACATCGCTTGTTTTCGATGGAACTGAATATTTCTTCGGAAGAGGCATCCAGCAAGCCGTTCCGGGGTCTACTCACCATGGCCAGCCGATGGAGACTATCAACCTTGGGCGTACTGATCTCCCTATGGACGTGATAGCAGAGTATATGCAGTCTCTGTCAGAGGTCTATCATGAGAGCGTATGGCAGCTATATCAGGCTCTTTTATGCACTAATCTAAGCGGAATGACTCTAACTATATATCCCTCCAGTCCTATGATCTGTTTCTCCGGAACTGCAACAACTTCACCCACGACTTATCCACATTCCTGGTTGGCAAAGGTATTCCAGAGCATATCCGAAATCTTCCCGAGACCTTTCTCAACACCCCTTTTGGTCAAATGATGAGGCCGTATATTGATGGTATGCTCCGTGAAGCTACACAAGGGCCTGATGTTCAGCCTACACGTCCATCTTTGCCTCCAACGACAGCTCTACCAGCAAGTTATAGGGCTCCTCAGCCACCAAAGGGCCAAGTGCGTAATGTCTCAACGCTTAGAGAGGTCGAAAATTTACTTGCTTCAGCAAAATCTTCATGTGCCGTTATATTCTTCACCTCTGCCACCTGTCCCCCCTGCCGAATGGTGTACCCAACCTATGACCAGCTGGCAGAGGAGGCAGGCGACAAGGCAGTGCTGATCAAGGTGGATATCAGTCGGGCATACGATGTTTCTTCGCATTACCAAGTGAGGGCAACACCAACCTTTATTACCTATCTCAAAGGAGAACGGGAGAGGCGGTGGTCTGGTGCAGATGCAGCAGAGCTCCAGGCAAATGTACGGTTACTACTCCAGATGGCTTGGCCACCACATCCACACTCCCGCCTCAAACTCTCAAGCTTAGAACGCCATATCGACCAATACATATGCTACAAGAAGGTTCCTCCGCTGGCATCATTGGTACAAAAGATTGGCCCAGCTTCTAACGATCCCAGAA